CTTATCTATTGATTCCACACAGTGTTCGAGATTTGAACTAGAAGAGAAACTCTTCTCTTACAGCATCGTTCATGTCGTGTCGGTTTGTCTTCATTACCAGTCTTGATTCCAGTCACGTCCAGACTATTATCCGTTTGTTTCCAGCATATATTCGTTGATTTCTTTTTCAAACTACATAACCTGAACAAGGAAATGTTCGACGAGATTTCGTAAGTAAACATTGTATTGTGCTTTCGACTTAGTCAAGTGTTTGTACGTACAACAAACTTCTTTTCATTTGACAAAATTTACAGAAATTGCCTAGAGGCATTTTTTCTTTGTAAAATTTGTTTGAATATTTCTATTTGTTGTTAGTGTAATGGTATGCATGTATGCATATCATTAAGTCAATCAATGAGTGTCTATACTCCAAATAGGCATTTTTTCATCAAACTGATAAATTGAGGTTTAGCACATATGAAGAACGAAAGCGAACGTCAACGATCGATTCGTGAACAATCGTCATTTGAATGTAGAGCAGACGAGGTTTTTCGTGAAATTTAATAGTATAAATTTAATTTAGATGATGTTAGGTTCATTAATTGATAAAGGTGTTTTATTTCACACGAGACAAAGCCTCGAGGGATTGTATGATTAATATTTCCATTTGATTTCCGATTGAACGACAAAAGCGTTTTTTGTTTTAGTTGGTTCAAATTCAGGTTAGGCGCCGACCAGTTCGTCTCGAACGCGAGAACAAAGCCCTTCTGTGTTTACTCGTAGAATTGAGATTTGTGTTTTATAAATAGATTTCGATTTCAATATAAATATCACTTAATGATTGATTGAAATTTTCAAATGAAAGAAAAACTAAAGTCGAGTAGGAAACCTCGAGATTGATCCCATTTCGAGAAATAGTCGAGCAAGAAAATGAGTTTTCGAATTTTGAAGTGTATATCAGGTGAAGGTATGAAAAAAAAGCGAGAGAAAGTATCGAATTCTTTTCTTCTTCTTTTTTTTTCACTACTTGACATTGAGTGATGAATTTATTTCGAGTGTGCTTCATTTCTATAAGATTTCGACATAGTAATAGAAAGAAAAATCTCCGCCAATACGTATCGTCATTTGCCGCCATCTAGCACATGTCAAAATAATGTATAGTGTCGATGTTTATGTCTCCGAACTGGTTAGAAAATGCTTGTTATTATTTTCTTTTTTTGTTTCATCAGTTTCTTTAAATAATTGCGAAGCAAAAGTGCAACGTTGCTCAAGATATGATTTTGTTTTGTTTCAGATGAGAAGAATTTTATTTTTTTGTTTCTAAATCATTAACCAAATAATCCGACAAACGACAACTATCGAAGAAAATATCATTCCATTCTCTTCAACTTGTTATTCGTGTTTATTTTCAAAGACCGGTGTGTATTTTCATTTGCAATACGATGAAAATTTTTTCTATATAAACAACTCGAACAATGTCACGACGATCATCCAACACGACCGAAGACGATCAAAAGAATTTTTCGCTGAAGAAACGTTGGTTGGCGTCACACCACGACGATCAACAACAAGTGAACAATCGGACGAGCAATATCTTGTCGCAATTGGCTCCTCTTATGCGTGAATACAACTTTCACGATTGGCAAACCATAACAGTTCTCGTCGAAAGAAATCCGAACGAATACGTATCCGGCAAAATCCATCAAATCGGTCCCAATGGTTGTTTAACCGTTCAAACAAATGAGATGCTCATTGCCATAAACGTCTACGATAATGTTTTCGGAATTCTATCAGATAATGCACCGTCGATACAAGATTTAACTGAGGGAAAACATGTTCTATGTAAAACGCTGTCGAATGGATTCATATACCAAACGGCAGTTATTGCAGAGAAGACGAGAGAAGGAAAATTTCAAATTCAGCTTCAAGAACAGAAAGAAAGCTTATGTGTACCGAGACAATCGATTCGATTATTTTTACCACCGTGGCACGATGGTTCGTGTTGACCTCTGAAACGCTGAAAGCAATATATTATTGTTTTCTTTTAGAATTTCCAATCGACTGGAGTACATTGCTGCAGCAAGTACGAGTATTTCCTACACAAAATGGTAAGAATAGTTTCGACAACTCTAACGAATACTTATTCTGAATCGTAGATTCTTGTATAGACTCATCCGTGGAAGAAAGTTCTCGATCAAGTAATCCTTCGGCGGAGAAATCGTATCGTAAAGGTGATATTGTTGTAACGGAGACTCATGTACGAAAGCGATTCAATGGGAAACAATGGCGACGACTATGTTCGTTCAAAAATTGCTCGAAAGAATCGCAACGATTTAACTTCTGTTCGAGACATTTATCTCTGAAAGAAAAACAACACAACTCCACTCTTCCTTCATCATCATCATCGACAGTACCGATTACTTCATGTGAACAAACATCAAAAGAAAAGTCCCCTCGACGTCCCATCAATGCTTTCATGCTATTTTCACAAGAGGAACGAGGCAAAATTCATCTCGAATATCCTCATCATGACAATCGAAACGTTTCGAAAATGCTCGGAGAAAGATGGTATTCATTATCACCCAATCAACAGCAACAGTATAAAACCCGAGCGAAAGAAATCAATGAACAAAACAATGAACAATTACGACGATCAGCACGATTACAATCGACGAATAACAAATCAATATCTCCTTCGTCCGATCCACTCCAAGCATTTGCACAAGTATGTTCTTTGACTTGCTCGCGAATTCGTCGAGAAATGTTCGTTCGTAGATTTGTACAAATATGCCCAAACTAACCGAATGTTTTTCACCGATCAACAAGCCGTCGAGTGAAACAACATCAGTCATCACGAATCTGATTACACCCGTTCCTATTCATGTCAATCTAACATGCAATACTTCGGATCAATTGCCAACCAATGCTTCACATTATGGTAAAATTAATCGATTGAGTTAGCCTTACAGATTAGTCGAACTTGAGATATGACACTTTTCTTCTCATTGACATCGAGGTCAATGTTTAAAAGCCCACGTACATCTGATAACCTTAATAAATAAACTGCCTGATAATCATGGCAAGAGTTTTTATTAAATTACAGTCAATAAGAGGAAAAGAAAACCTCAAACCGTTGTTTATGTTTCTTCTAATTTGTTTGGTATTGACATAAGAGCTGAGACAAGAAATCTAACACGAAAAACAGATTAAGAATAGTTAATGTGCATCGCAGATGATTCTTTGATTAATAAATGTAGTTCAAGATTAGCTCGGGTATATTCCCAGCATGTCGATTAAGAACTAATAAAGAAGAAATCTTCTTACAGGATTTGATATATCAGACAGTGACGAACAAATCCGATTGTTTACTTTAGAAACGGAAACTAGCAATAATGTTCTATCGGATTCAGATAAAGCATCGCATGGAATTGATTCTTATCCCTGTTCAACTGAACATTCACTCTCGAATTCACCGTCACAAGTGTCCGACACAGAGGCTTGCCGAACGATATTTTCATTATTGATCAATCAACGCAAGGCAAATCTAGATCTCGAACAGCAATTAAAATCTTTAAAATCATCAACGAAATCGACTTCTTCGGACGACCATCCAACACATTCATACAGTAAGCGACTCCTCCTTTCGATCGTTATCATTTCACCTTTATATTCTTAGCATTATCATGTTCATCGTCGTCAACGGGCTATTCAAGTGGTTCATCTATCGATGGATGTAGTACAATTCTATCAGCATTTAGTTCCCGATCGAATAGTTCACTATCAGAACGAAGTAAAACATCGCCCACGTCATTTAAGCCTATGCCACCAATGAAATATCTGATACCAACCGATGACGATTTGACATATAAACCTTTGTATCAACAAGAACAAACCATCGCAGATAAACCAATAAATAAACGACGAAAAACAATCACATCCGAGGTTTGAAAATGCATTTATTTCGTCCTTTTCTGTTCTTGTTACAGTTCATTACATTCGTATAGGATAATCAAGGTCCAAGGACTCGATCTCACAGTATTAGTGATCGGACTGGAATACCTGATGTATCTTCAATGGTCACGCGTAAACGAAAAGCATCGATTATCAACGAACAAAATCAAACTGACATCAAACAACCAACGATTGACTACATTAGAAAACTAGAAGGTAATCGAGAAGGTTTTGTGAACGAAATGATAAAACTCAAATTGAGATTTGTAGAGATGAAAGATCAGTATATAAAGTCAAGTTCGACCCGCCATACAAGCAATGAATCTGCGAATCGAATCCAATTAGCATCACGATTGAAAGTTATCGAATTTCTCAAGCAACAATTGTATCCATCAGGTAGAAAACGACATTTATCACAGCGAATTTTCAAATCTAATTGAATTTAGACACCTCGATAACAGCATTTCAACTGTCAAACGAAGAATTGTTTCCAAACAAACGCCTTCTGATTCAACGTATTCGCGAGATTCGTCAAAAATTAATGAGTTACTCAAACCAAGAACGAGTCTTAACAACTTCTTCATCTTAACATCAACACCAATTCGTTTCATTCGATGTTGTGCCATACATATGTTGTGGTAGTCTTAGTCTCTTGAAAATTCTCCTACCAGAATGATATATCCTTTCTTTCTCTCTCTCTCTCTCCTATTCTCTTCTTCTAGTCCATGTTCTTTCGTTCACCTTTTAGACAACAACAAAAAACAAAAGACTATGTGTGTTTCTCTTTAGGTACAATTTATTGCTTTTCGTTTTCTTTTTCGTGGAATTCCTATCATTATCAAGACTCGTTAGTTAACGTGTCTCTAAAATAAAATTAAACAAGAATTCGGTCGTTTTCATTCATGAGTGTGCGCATACGTTATAAAACATTTGTGGTCGTCAAAACAACAACCCACCAATACTTGTCGACGAGTGTCAATAGTTTCTCCTTCACAACATGCTGCAAAAGAAATTTTTAATAAACGGCACTCACAAATCACATTTCGTTCGTCGTATTCGACAACAATTTCATGTCGGCAACTGCATCATTCGAATGTAACGCTGAGAAAAAAGCGATTGACCGTATCCGATCAGTCAGCAATGAAGAACGAGCTCAATTCATAGTCGATGTGTTTAGCAAATTTTTCGAGAAGGAGATTAGTACGAATCCGACGGCGTTTGCTGGTCGATTTCGTAAGATGAGTTCAACGGCCTTCAATTTCTATCGCGGTTCCGCCCTTCTGTTCTACCAAGATCTAAAAGTCGATCATGACCAATGGATTCAAACAAACAAAGCAGCCGGCAACATTTTCATTCATGTAAATCATTTCCCTCGACTACACTCTTGCATTCGACTATTTTCAGGGTGATCTACATGCTGAAAATTTCGGAACATACTTGGACAATCACGGTGTGCTGAATTTCGACGTGAACGACTTCGATGAAGGTTATTGTGGGCCGTTTACATGGGATGTCAAACGTTTAGTAGCATCGCTGTTTCTAATTTGTCATAGTAAAGGTTTTTCCGACAATGAAATTCGGGATGTTCTACGCGCGTATGTCAGCGCATATTTGAAAAAAGTTTATGACTTCTACAAAAAATCGAACGATCAATTTTCGTTGACCTTGAGAAACACGACCGGAAAAGTGAAGAAACTGCTGAGCGAAGCTCGGATGAAATGCCATGTTGCTCATTTGGATGAAATGACAGTTATTGAAAACTACGATCGCAGGTTCAAGCGTTCAAAAACGAATAAAGATGTCGACGATCAAACGCGAGCGGATATTCTCAAAGTAAATGTCATACGCTTTTTTTCAATGACCTCATCGCAAAGAAATATCTAGGCTTTTCAAGAGTATGTCAAATCAATTCCTGAAGCGAAACGAAATCATGATCACGAAGGACGAGAAGATTATCGAATCAAAGATATCATTGCTCGTTTGTCACCTGGTGTGGGATCAGCTGGCAAAGTGTCTTACTCGATTTTAGTCGAAGGTCCATCAGAAACACTTGAAAATGATGTCGTTCTTTACATGAAACCTGCACAAAAATCAGCGATTAGTTTCGTGATCAAAAATCCGGATCTAGAAAAGTATTTCAATCATGATGGTCTGCGAACTGTTCTCTGTTCATATGCAATGCAGGCAGCTACACCAAAATGGTTAGGTTATACAACATTCCGATCGATTCCTTGTTTAGTTGATGAAGTCAGTGCACATGCCGAAGATTTAGATTGGTCCGATATCAACCAGTTCAATGATATCATCGAAGTTGTCGAATATTTAGGGCAAGCGACAGGTGGGTGAAGTTGATTTATGTACGAAGAATGCGTTTGTTGGTTTCTCGTTTAGCTAAAATTCACTGTGTTGCTGACGCCGATTGTATCAACACGCCGAAAAGTGTTGCCTGTTTACCATTTTCGATCATTCCACAACATACAGAGAAAACTATTCGTGATGCTATTCGAGGACGTGATAATGAGTTTATTGACGAAATGGTCGAGTTCGGAATGGTTAGAACTGCTTTAACAAACAAAACAAAACATCATCTCTTGTCTTTCTTTAGGTCTATGGAGTTTTAGTTCAACGTGATCATAAATTATTCTTCGATATCATACGCAACAAACAATTCCCTGGAATTAGCGATTAGATCATTCTTTCCAATGAGAAAACGTCTTTTTTTTATATTTAAAATAAACATTTTAGTACAACGTGAGAAAACGAATAGAAATTAAGACGAAGGTATGAGATGCGATGGTCTTTCTGGCCAAATAATACTGTTTCCATGTTCTTCCGTACAAAGGAAATCTTCTACGAAGCTTAAAAGAGACGGATATTTCGCGTCATAATAAATGTCATGGTGTTGACTTGGATCACCCTCGTATTCATGGTCAATGAAGACGAGCTTTGTATGAACACCTGCAATATCTCGGAAATTTCGTCTGAAATCATCGACGAAAGCCACGGGATGTAAATCTTCAATGACTTGTCGTTTGGGATTATGATTTTCATTGTTGGGATCAAAACTAGTACTTATAATTTTGTCAATCGGAAAGCCATGCGAACGAAAGTTTTCTAAACGATGTTCGATATGACGAGCCGGCATGGCTGTCACACAAACTAATTCGTAACCAGCTTCATGCAATAAGTGACACGCTTTAACTGCTCCATCGTGTGTGGGCATTGTTCTCCAACCGTGTTCACGCCATACTTGTTCGAATTGGTCCTTTTCTTCAGAAGTAAAATTGACGCCATATGCTGTACGAGCCTGTGAATAGACAATATTTATATGTTAAAGTTCGATTAGTTAGTGTGAATAGATTTACATGAAATGCTTTTGGTGAAACAATGGCTGGCTTCGTTCCGAATGTCTTCTCGTAAATGTGTGCGAATTGTGAATGATAATCTAAGAGAACGCCATCACAATCGAGGGCTATGATTGGTTTTTTGCTTGCTGGTACAACTGAATCGTTAGTCATTTTGTATGTATATGTCGGTAGTAGAGTAGAATAGAAACAGAGCCGATATATATATATATATATTTCGTTTGTCCTAGATGCCACGTGTGAATACATGACGAAGTTATTTTGTAATTCTTACGTAATAACAATAGCAAGAAGGCTGGAATTTATACTGAATAAGAAATCGATTTGATTCATTGTGTTACTTTTCAGCGAAATTTCATGACTCAAAGTTCATGACAGAAAGGTCTGAGATATAGCGCAGTATGTAAATATATGCAATGTAATTTAGTAAAAGGATCTGACTCATTGCAATTCAGATAGTTTCAAAATGTATTCAATATGTCTGTGTGTAAGAAATACGATCCTATTGCGATGAACAATAATCGCGTGATGTGAAGTTTTCTCTGCATGTTATAAAGGACACAGATATCTCTTGAGACTGAAAATACAATGCATTCTTCGATACAAATAATATTCATTTTTCTTCTGCTGTTTATCGCAACCATCGATGCTGAAACATGATCGCCATGAAATCGAACGCATAGTGGTCGATTCTGTTTTTATGGTACTCAAATGGCTTGCATTAACTTGTGTAAAGTGTAGAATTGTGATACTGGCGATTGTCATTTAAGAGCCAGTCGTACAACATGTGTTTATTCAAGATATGCTAACGGCAGTGAAAGAATGCCTAGTCAATTTTATTCTCATAATATACTAGCATTGTTAACTTCAAGTTGAGCAAAGACCTACGCATAAATAAAAGAGACAGAATTAACGATAGTTTCTTTTCTATTTAAAAGCAATTTATGTGTTCTATTGGAAAGAAAGTGAGCTCTGAGTGACTACTCATATTTTCAAAACTAATTATCAAAATAAAACATTATTTCGTCAGACAAACAGGTAAAATGAGATTTCATCCACCTTCGTACATATCTATCGATAAACTTTTCTTCTGACTCTCATTAGTTATCGAATCTAGTTGTTAAACACATAACAATAACGATGATTATTATCCTATTCACATGACAGCTGTTACCTCTCTTTCTCTCTACTCGCGTTCAAATGAAAAAAAAATTATCTCGATTATAAACGATTTACTTCCTGTTGCCTTGTTTAAAAGTATTGATCTGATTCGAACGCGAAGAGACAGCACGTATGTTACATGTCAAGATGAATTCAACCTTCAATCAAAGGTTTAAGCATGAATAAAGAAAGTCAAATAAGTAAGATGAGATGTGTTGAGAAGAAATAATAGGGTCATTACACACCTTGATCGAATAGAGCACATCGCCGAGAAACAAATAAAAAGATAAATGCAGATCTCAATTCGATAAGAACTTTTTCGTTGACTAGTAGTCATATAGTTTTATCTTTTCATTATTGTTTTATATTTGAAAAGAATGTCAGAATATTCAACATTCTCACCATTACATTCTGAGCATAGTGGTAAAGCCGATAGAAAAATTTGTTTTTATGTGGCTTCTTTTATAGAGATAGATACTCTGCTGTAGTCAAACGTCTATATTGCTAGTAAATTTTAGTTTTACTGATCGCTAATTCGCTATTTGTTCGTTTCTCGATAGGAAATCAAGATGTTGTTTGTTTCTTTGTTTTAGCAGAATCTCCTCATACACCATTCTTGATGAATCAGAATAACGGACAAGTGCCATTGACTATTCCACACACCATTGCGTTACAAGATGACGTCGAAATCAAGAAAGAAACGACTATAACTGTAAAGAGAAGAAAGACTAATATTGAACGATTGCTTTTGATACTTGCAATCCTGATTCTAATTGCCACTATTATTGTTTTGATATTAGTTGTTATTAGACTGCCGCCCAAAGGCAACACAACAGGTAAATTCTCAATAGAGACTGTCGGGTCATAAAAACACTCTGTTCTAGTTACTTACAACAGAAAAGTGGTGTTTATTATTGCTGATGGCATATCCGCTGATACATTAGAGAGGTTACCTGTTCCTAATATTAGAAAAATTCAAGAAACTGGCCGATATAAAAGAGCATATGTCGGAGGTGACATTGGCACATATTCTCAGACTGTAACAATATCCGCGCCTGGCTATATGAATTTGATTACAGGTACCTGGGGCAATAAACACAATGTTTATGACAATGTAGTCAACAATCCGAACTACAATTACAAGAATATTTTTCGATTAGTTAAAGAACAGCAACCAGCAAGAACGATTGCTATCTTCTCTACTTGGATTATTAATCGTATTCGATTGGTTGGCGAAGGTTTAACAAGCGCCGGAAATCTCATGTTTAATTACAAATATGATGGCTACGAATTAGATTCAGGCGCATATCCACACGATTCGAATAGTCTTTATATTTATAACATTGACGAACGTGTTGTTAATGAAACAGCGAAATGTATTAGAGATAACGGTCCGGATGTCTCATGGGTGTACTTGCAATACACGGATGACATTGGACATAAATATGGTGACAGTGAACAGATGAATCAAGCCGTTGAATATGTCGATCAACAAGTCGGACGAATTTATGAAGCAATTCAATATCGACAAGCAAATTACAAAGAAGAATGGCTACTTGTTTTAACAACAGATCACGGTCGAGATGCAAATACTGGTAAAAACCACGGTTCTCAAACCGAAAGAGAAAGAACGACTTGGATAGTAACGAATTATCATGATACTAATCGTTATTTCGACGAATATCAACCGGCTATTGTCGATTTCATGCCGACGATGATGAGATTTTTAAAATTAAAGATTCCAATTGAATCCGAAAAAGAACTAGATGGTATTCCATTAATCGGTGACGTTTCATTAGTTAAACCTGAAGTTAGTTTATCTGGAAGCACATTAAATGTTCGATGGAAGTCGTTAGCTAAGGCAGGAAATGTTAAAGTATGGTTAACCACGACAAATGCATACAAGAACGGATTGACCGACGATTATAAATTGCTTGGTACTGTGCCAGTAACTAATGAACAAGCTGTGTTCAACATAACACAGTACCAATCCAACTTTTACAAGATTGTTTTGGAAGGAGAATACAATACGGTTAACAAATGGATAGTTCAATCGCGTGGTTAAAAAAACTCAGGATGAAACATATTCGACTTTTTTTCTGTCGTTACTATTTATGTCCTGAATAGTGAGTTGTACGTTTTCTGCAGTTTCTATGTTCGTGAGTTGAAAATAAAATCACCTTCTAGCTTCCTGCACACAATCAGAACAAAGAGATCGTTATTTATACGTTTATTTTTCATTACACTTCTCCAAATTTGAAAAAAGAGGGAATAATGTCAATTGTAAGGCATTCCAAAGTATTCATTGATGGGATTGTATTCGTATTTCAATGGTAATGATTGTTTTTCAAGCTGTTGTATTTCTCTCGTTGGATATAACCATGCTTTCAAATCAGATTGTTGACCGAGATTTTCAATAGCATAAGCACTTGCTTGAACCATTTTCTCCAGAGCAAATTTATTGATATTCGTCGTTTTATCACAAGCTTTGTGGTAACATACGTCAAGTCGAATACCCGAAGTTCCACCGAGGCCTGGACCAAGCATAGACTCGTATCGATTACGTTGTTCAACTGTCTTCGCTCCATCTGCGCCCGAGAAAAGACCACCTGCGGCGACACCAGCAGCTAAAAATGGACCGTAATCACTACGACCATCGAACTTTGTATTGTCCCACGGTAAACTATTCTTGGTGAACCAATCTTGAAATAATGTACTCATTTTGTTACTTCCAGGTTTAGCAGCTGCTGGGGTGGATGTCGGAGCTGTTTTGCCATCGTAAATACCGAAAATAAAGTTTGGTGACCCGATCATATCTAAATTGATGTTGACGAGATAATCCGTAATGCGTTCACCGACAACAGTAGATTTTTTTGCTTCCGATACGTGAAAACTAGAACCGAGAAGTCCTAATTCTTCTGCACCCCACCAACAAAAACGCACACGATATGCGTATGAAGTGTAACCTTCTGTTTGCATCAGACGAGACAGAGCAGCAGCCAGAGCAAGATTGCCAGCACTACCACTGCCTGATAAAGACAGAAAAACAAGAGTTCATTGAAATGAAGGTAACCGCGATTCGATGTCTTACCATTGTCATTGATACCTGGTCCTGCAGTGACACTATCGCTGTGACTACCGATTAAAATGGTTTGTGTTGGGTCACCGGTGCGTGTGTCAGCACAGATATTTCCAACTGAATCTAGCGGAGCAGTAGCGATTGTTAAACCCACGTTGACAGTTCGTGATGGATCATTGACTGCAGCGACGAGTGTTTCACCAAGATTGTACGATAAGAAGAGTGCTGGTACACGATTACTTGCACCGAGATTGATCGAGATAGGTTGAGTACCACCAGAAGCTCGTCCATCGTTGTAGATCAACAGTGCTGCGACTTTGAATTGAGTAGCAAGACGAGCTTTCTCCTCAAACGTACAATCGCCTCGTTTAACAATAGCTACCCGATTGGCGACGGATGGCTGTGCTGCATTCCAATCAGCTTCTGAACAGGCTAGATTTGGAATCGCAACAAGTGGAATGTTGTTCGACAGAGAAACCGATGTCGAGTATTGTACATGATAGAAGTCTGCAACGGCCAGATTTGTTGAATAAGTATGTGTTTTGACAACTCCATTCGTGACTGAGACTAGTGTTGGATTGCGAAGAAGTTTAAAATTGCCTCGCGAAAAGAATTGCTTTGTCACGATGAAATTTGTGTTCTCTGCAAGGTAACCAGTGATGTAATCCAAAGTACGATTGAAACCCGTGGTGTTTACAGCTCGATTTCCATTCGTATCTGTTGCAATACTCTGTAAAGCATCGAGATGATTTAAAACATCACTGATTTCGATCGCGGAAGCATATCGAGCCTTGGGAACTTGATCATTATCTACACTCATCGCTGCAATCAGCGCAGCACATTCGAAAACACATCCAATAAGAACGAGCGTTCGCCACATCGCCAACAGTATAACAAAAATATAAGAAACAGACTTATTTTTCAAAGATTTATAAAGATGATCGAACTATTTTATTGCTACTCTATTGATCTGAGTTTATGAGAATGTAATCCTTATCAATTTATATTGTTTCTAATAATAAAATATTTTATTATCAAAACACTTCAATATCCCTGCATCATTATGAAACATCGTATTTTGAGATCATCCTCAAAACGTGCTCGTCTACCTGGTTATACTTTGAAGCCAAAAAAGTACTGAACATGTTCGGTTTACATTTCATGTGATATTCGAAGAATGTCTCATAGTTACTAGTCTGTTTAGACTTTAGATAGAATATCAAAAAACGTGACACTGTCATTCGACAACGCATTTGCATAGTTGACTATCAAAATACAAACGGCTATGTTTAGAAAGATTTTATAACACACAAAACATTGTTTTCTCTTGTTTTTATTCTACCATAAAATGCAAAGGAAGAAGTCTTAAATTAGAAAAAAAAAGCTCGCAAAATTATTTGTACGGATTAGAATATTGTTCAAGCATGTTTGTTTTCTCGAAGAAATTCTTCTGTCGAAACCAATTTTGCATAAGCGAATCCGAGTGCAGCCATAAACGCAGCATGTGCATACTCTGCAGGAACTTGAACACCGTTGAATTCTAAATCTCGGGAAGCACAAGCATCATGAATAAGCACGCATTTATAACCAAAATCATTCGCAGCACGAGTTACTGCATCGACACACATGTGACTCATCGCACCACATATAACTAAGTCACGAATGCCATTACGATCGAGAATTTCTTTAAGTTTTGTATCCCGGAAGGAATTGACTTGGTTCTTCAACACGACATCTTCGTCTTCTCGATTTTGTACCTTTTCATGGATTTCCGCTCCTTTCGAACCGGGTGTAAAGAACGGAGCATCAGCTGTTGGAAATTCATGACGAATATGAACGACTAAATCACCTGCTGTACGCGCGGCTGCTAATAATCGAGCTGCATTATCCGCCGCGGCTTCCATACCATGCAAAGTCCATTTCCCATTAGGAAAATAATCATTTTGAATATCAACGAGAAGTAATGCTCGTTGTGATTTACTCTCATTTGTTACTAATGGCTTGTTAATATCTTCCGTAGTTAAATGAGCTAAATCTTCGATTTCTTCGGAACGATGAAGTGGGGGCTGGTCAACCATTGTTTATTCGTTAAGAACTGAGCTAAACTGCTTTTTCTCTCTCTCCTTTATGTTATGTCAGTCATGCGAATATGTGTCGATACCGGATCACCAATAGCTTTCATTTGTTAAGACTCACAATGACGTTTAGTGACATCTTTTAGTTTAAATGGAACGTTCATCGAATAAACAACAACAAAAAAAAACTTATTTTGAACAATGTCGACGAACAAAAAAGAGTTCACAGTTAGTCGAGACTCCGTAATCTTGCACGCGTCGATTGTTGTTCAATAATTGCCGTCGATCCGATGTTGACAGGGCATATTTCTTCCAAATCGTTTTCCAATTGATCTTCTTTTCGACAAAACGTTCCGTAATTGCTTTCTTCAATTGAAAAACACGAGCATCTTGAGAAATTTGAACGTTAATTAAAGAATTGTCAAAACGTCGAATAGAAATGAGTAATGCAGGAGAGGATTTCGAAAAAGTTTCTTTTGAAGACTTCTTGGCTATAATAGTAGATAAGCAAGAATAGATGTCGGTGAGAAATTCTTCGTGTGACATCGTAAGTTATTTCGCTTGAGTAGAATCGTAAGAAATGCGATCGATTTGTTCTTGTAACTTTTCCTTTATGTTTGCAACAGCCGATATTTGAACAAATAAATGTTGCTCATCTAATTTATGTAGAATAAACTTCTCTCCGAATGCTAATGAATCGTCTAAGTAAACTAAATATTGAATCACCGCTGGATCACATTTGATCAACGAGCCTTTCACAACATTCACCATACTTCGTCAACGATTAATCAATGAATAATGACTTACCGACCGGTCCAGTTTCATATGAGAAAACACTCACCAATTGTCTTTCGATTTCACGACATCTGTCGAATGTCGTCTGCGAGAGAAAAATCGGCGACAGCGTCTCCGCTATAAGGTAAATACTTCCTCTCTCGCTCTCTAAGCACGTGTCTTGGTCAATTGTCATTCTCTAGTGATCTGTCGGCGCATGCGATCTTTTTATTTGACCATAATCACGTTCTTGTCAATAGTGAAAGAAAAAAATGACTTCGTTTTGTTTGTTCGAAGATAATTGGCCTTCGACTTTAGTCTTAATCTGACTTCCGAGTGGTATAGAATGAAAAGTTATTAATTGTTCTTTTTTTTTCGCTTCTATTCGAACTGACAGGGTTTGAACATTGAGCTCATAGACTAAAAGCGATCGATCTCTTACGTGCGTCCTTGTGACAGCCAAAATCAATATTATTAGTAATTAAAAAGCACTCAACATTTGTTTAGAGAACTTTGAAAATTTCGATTGAATTTCTAATTATAATTGCTTGTAATTTATCATGGAGTATGTTGAATTATCAAGGATTATGTAATAACTTCGCGTATATTCACATTTAAATAATTGATTATGTCATGTAAGGGAGAAAATTCATTTTCTTTTTCATTTCGATTAACCAGACAGATGATTCTGATGAATAAGATCGCAGAAAATAAAGATCTTTTCTAATTAGTCATCGTCGTCGTACAATGGACGCAAGAGAATGACGTAAGATCAATGAATACCTGTGTTGAATGGAAATGCTCAAGTATTGTCTCTCACTTTTTTGTCTGAAATCATCCAACGTGTCGATTAGCAAGGTTAATGTTCAAGACATGTGAAGCAGAAAATGAATTTATGATATATGTTCTCTGGCATGAAGGGATTTGCAATGACACAATTAGAAAAAGAAAAGACGTTTTATTCGAACTAAGCAATACCTGAGTGCGCACATATTTGTTGTTACTTGAATAGTTTATCGTAGAAAAAAGAGAGAGAGAGAGAAACACCAAATCAATCATTTGCACAGAAAAAATGAACAGAATGAGTTCGTTCACCGGATCGAAATTATGACACTGCGAGAGAATTTATATTGATTGAATCCAATAGACAAATAAACTCAATAACCACCACCATGTCCAAGTAGATCGCTGTTTTTCTGAATGCGATAGGAGAATGCCGTTGAATTCTATATTCAATCCGAGAATGAAAATGAGGAAAAGAAGATTGACATAGTTACCGGTTGTACTCGCTTGGTTTTTCTGCCTTTTTGCTGATTTGTTCATTAATAATGCTGTACGACCATTTCGATTGATCTCATCCGAAGAAAATTTCTGTTTCACTCGTCGAACTCGTGGCACTACAAATGAAATAAACAAAGAGAAAAACAAAGAAACTTTACTCCTACTCTGTTGAATGTCAACATGAGCAGATTTCGATCCTAAGAGATTTTCAGCATGGCATTCGTACTGTCCAAATTGATGTTCATTTATATCCTTAACAAAATAAAACCATGAATTTGCATTTCTAATCGGTCCAATCACATACCATAATAGTCATCAGCGATTCGGAACATTGATCATCAATAGTTCGACTTTTGACATTGATATTAATATCGACAATCGTTTGATTGTCTCTTCGCCAATAGACATCGTGTACTTGAGGAATCGAACATACTCGACATTGAACTATCACTGTTTCATGCGGTAAAATTCTTATTTTCTCATTCAATATTAATACATGAGGGGCATCTAAATAGGATTATGTAAGACTTCGAAACGAGCTTGATTATCATAATTAAACGTCAATCAATAAGGCGACATTACTCTTAGCCTTAATTGAATAGTATATGTGTGAGAAGAGTGTTTTATACGTACACTGAACAGTAACATAGAAAGCACGACTGATCGATGCGTGGTACATATTCGAAACGATGCATTCGTATAAACCACTATCGGAGGATTGAATCGATGTTAAATACAAATCGTCGCTGTTATGAACATCTTCAATAGTAGAGTTTAGATCGTTTTGATAACAAGAGAAGTGTTCATTCTTACTTTTCGATTGTTTGAACTTATTCTTGAATATCCAACTGATGTTTACAGGTGGAATTGCGAATGCGTGGCACGAAAAATTCAATGTCGAATTTTCCGGCGATGAAATACTTCCTTCCAGTGGATAATACGACACGAAATGAGGTGCGACTAAAAGTAAAAGTATTGCATAAACGGGCTAATCAACTCCATCATGTTCACCTTTCATAATCCAAACAAAAATACTTTAGATATCACATAACTAACTCCTAGTTGGACGTATCGATCTCCAAAAGGTCAGCAAATCCTTTGTCCATACATATGGATCATTAACGCTAATTTATTGAGATGCCTGTCAAGATTATGATAGAGAAAGAGAATGCAATTAACACCAGTAGATACACACTATGGAATCGTCTCAAAAAAAAAGAAGAAGAAGGAAAGATAAAGAATGATGAATCAATAGTCGCTTCCTATATTTATTGTTTTTTTATTCAGACAATCAACACTTCTATTGGAAAAAGACAAAAGCTATCAGTCGCGACTAATTTTATTAGTGAGCGAGAATGAAGACTTACCCAGTATTTCAATCAAGAATGAGAACAATTTCTCATCGTTGAACATACATGTGTAAAGGCCAGAGTCGTTCAAATTCACAGATTTCAATTTTAAGTCCAAGCGATTGGTCGAGAATTGTTTCAATTCAATGTCAGATTGATGAATGAACAACTCCGAGCCAACTGATAATATATCGCCTGTCATCTGACGCATGAAGGATACCTGAAGAAAAGAAAAAGATTGTGTGTTAGTTTTCTGGTAAGTTTATTGATATAGACAGTTGTCAATTCTCAAGTATGATCAACATATGTTCAATTGTTAGGCGAAGAAAATTTTTCTTCATTAATTTGCTTTTTCTTTTTCTTTAATATGAATAATGATGAAGAGCTCTTGAGAAAGAAAATATATGTCCGAGCTGAGTCTAATTGTCATTGACCTATGAAATGATCAATCTATTGGACAATTCAATGCGTGTTACGCAAATCTGCTCATCGGGGATTTCGAAGAGTGGAATTGATTAAAAAGCAAAAGAAAACTTTCTTACACCTATTATTATCATCAACGTGTGCGTGTTCTGATTAAAATAGGCCCTCGACGGTATGATGTATCAACACATGAACGAGTGATCGATGAAGAGAAAACCTTCAAATCGAAAAGAACAATCCAAGAAGACGATATAGACATGTATCATTCGAATAGATGAGATATATGGATCGTTCTCGCGAAAGCAATAGATCACAAAAGAGATTTACGTTTCAAGTGTCACAATGCTCCACCTTCTTTCCTTCTTTCTTTCTTGTTTGATGTCTCAATTACCTGTTCGAGTTTGCCTTCATCAAATATGCATGACATGGTAATGTCTTGGCCAACATCGGCTTTTAAGACTTGATGATTATGTTGATAATCATCTGTTGAGTAAATTTTGTTGAAAAAGAAGATAAAAATAATCAAAGATTGGATGAGAGAGTTAGAGACACACCACGACGGCATGACTGATGATTGAATGAATGCGAAACGAGAAGAGAGAGAGAGAGAAAGAGAAAGAGGAGAGTGTGAGCGAACGAGAGAGAGAGAAGGAACAGAGGAAAAAGTCTTGCTTTTCTTCTGCTAAGGATTGTATGTCTAGTAAGATGGACGTTCGTGTGAGTGTGTATGTATAATTGTACCCTCTATTCTCTCTTGGACACACATTTATTTCATCTCATCCGCTTGCGGCACACAAATGAAGATGTGTGATGGACATTGGGCGTTGTTATGAAAGAAGAGAAGAAGAAAAACTTGTGTGCTCATTTCGTACTTTTCCTTTTCCTGTGCATTCATGTGGCAGAGGTGCAAATGACGATAATCATCATCAATTTTTATTGTCGATGACACGTTTTCAAGTAGAGGAGACAAATTTCTTTTTTCCGATGAACTCTTCGATGTTATGGACAGCAGGCAAAAGAACATGGATATTCTCAAACGAAACTTTTCTTCAAAAGGAAAGATAATTTCAGAAAGTTTATGTGAAATAAACACAAGTGTTACTCTGTTCTGCTGTTTGAGATAATGTAAATATGATTTCATTTGAAAACAAATTTTCACTTAATTTGAGAAAAAGAAGAGTTTGATTTTGTGAGAAAATCTCTTCAATCACTTCTGCACTTTGATTCGTAATATTATTTTTAGTCAAATCAAGATGTTTGAGCGTTTTATTCAGTCGTAATCCTTTCGCCAAAGCTGCCACACCATCATCACCAATATTATTATCACTCAGGTGTATATACGTTAACGATTTGTTGATTTTTAACATCACAGACAGTTTCATCGCACCTGTACTGGATATTTGATTTCTTTGTATATACAAACATTCTAAGGTTGTATTAACGTGTAATGCTAAGGCTATATACTCAACACCTTCGTCTCCGAGTTGATTATTAACTAGTCGAAGTTGCTTCAACGTTGAATTCGTCAACAGTGCTTTGCTAAGGCTTGCTGCACCAACCGATCCAATACTATTTTCACATAAACTAAGATCTTGCCAGTACGTATTTGTTGCTAATTCACTAGCAATAATATCGACATCTTCATTGCTCAAACTCTTTTCACGGAACTCAGCAAACTGAACGCTGGCTTTGTTATGAATTAAGTTTTCCAGTTCTGAATTGTGATACGGTTTTTTCATATGAGAAGGATGTGGTGGGAGGAAAGGATACTTCGGTTCCACCTGTTTTAAATGTATAATGTGTAGATCAGGTGCAGCATTAGTTTCAGCTCGCACCTCAAATAATGTGCCTGGTATAATGACAACTTCATCTACTTCTGGAAAATATGAATGCTGACGAATTTGTTTGCCTGATCTACATTCAATCGTGAATATAGTTCTCGTACCATTTCCACTTAAGAACTCGGCCGATTCGAGCATTCGAGGAGACTTTACACACGAACTAAAGACGATAAATAGGGATACCAGGAAAAGAAATATCGACGAGAAAGTATTACTTTAGTCCCCACCATGTAATTGTACTTCCAACACGGTATCGTGAACTCAGGTCAACCTTGACACCAGACCATACATTTTCTGTTATCGACGGTAATTTCTGTAAACCGGATAGAACCAACTTAAGGTAAGCAGTATATGGTGTCAAGAGACGACGATTTTGAGCACGAAGAGCACTATTCAAATGGAAATACAGTGACTGTTCACTTGGTTTCCATTCCATCGTACATAAATAAATAGCTGCAGATTCATCTTGAGTTAAACCATCCGCTGGATATTCCTTCGTTCTTTCTTTCGCTATCCTTGCATTATGTGTAATATCTGGAATTAAACCTTCCAATGGCTTCACACTAACGTCCAACGTTAGAATGGAACATTTCAGATAAGCGTTAATTCTAGAATTGATCAGTTACTTCGAATGGATATCTAATGAAAAGTAAGATATTGATACTTACGGCGATAACATACGATCTGATTCATTCTGTATATCCGAGAGACGTTGAATCGTGTAAACCGACATGTTTCACACTCTTTGATGTCTTTCTCGAATAATTCACTCTAACTAATAAAGTCACGTGTTATAAGAGAGAAACAGAAGCGAAGAACACGTATTGAGTTTAAATCATTTTTCACATCTTGTTTACCTTGTTGCTATAGAAAGGTTTTCGTTGTCGATGTTATATAAAACGATCCGATGAAAAAAGAAGTCTAATGGCGATACTCGCGAACGTGTTATTAGAAAAACATATTAGACTAAATTGAAATAAAAAAAAAGACCTAATCCTTCCTATTCAATAGATGGTTCAATCAGATGAATAGGAGACGTTTTCCAGTAATCATACAGACGAAGTTCATTGTATAAACGGCAAGCAATCAAAAATGCACGTCGATCTTTGTCTTTTTCAGTTTCGGGTAAGACCGAATACGCTGAAAGCATGTTCTTCGATGTTCGAAATTCATTGCGTTTAATCCAAGCGATGTGAATCTTCTCCGCAACCTGTTCGACGAGATCATGATCGAATGACCGCTTCCGTCGGACGCTTCGCAGAACTTGTCTGCAAGCAACTTGTGCGGTTGCTCGATTTTCATACGCCCAATCGTCCGGCAATTCATCATATGCCATATTCAAAATATCAACATAAACCAATGATGGATTGTGCCGAGCACGCGCAACTTTTAAGTTTCGATGGACGAGGCACGAGCCAACGGTGAGGATCATCGGATAGATAAAGTCAGCTGGATTGTAATTTGATGCATTGCGAGTTAATTTAAAGCGATTTCGAGTATGCGGATGTTCGCTAATGTAATGTTGTCGCCAGTTTTCATGAAATGTCGAAGCTACTTTTCTTACGAATAAGTGAAATTGTTGTTTGAATGAAATCGAGTTCGCATTTGTAATTGAGAATAGTAGAAGAAGGAAAGTACATACTAATGATGTTATTAGTTGCATGACCCATCCGATGAATGTCAAAAGTAAAGAGAAAAATACGTAAGACATTAGAGAAAGATAACTTTGACTGACATATTGTCGACAAGTTTGTCTTCGTTCGCTGAATGTTTAGAAGAATGCATACAATGATATAAAACATACTTGAAAATGGTTCTGATATTATCAGTTTAGGTACTTTATCGGATAAATGTATTTTTATTTACTGAATATCGAAAAGAGAAAGTGAATGTTTAAAAATAATAGTTATAAATAATGATTTCACAACAGGAAGGAGTCTGTGGTACATATACATTTCATCGCGTCGTGAATAATCTGTATTCGAAATAGTGAAACGATACGATATTTATCGCACGAGTTATCAGTGAGAAAAAAAAGCATTGTCGTTTCTAAACTTTCTCTTAATATTAACTCACAGAATAATATTTAAAACGAAGAGGATATCATTATCTTTTGTATTGTCATCACTCACGAGTAATACAACATTGCTGCAGCAAGATTTAGAATATGGCTACATTACCTAGTAAAAAACTATGCATAAAATGTAACAAAACTAAAGCTACTGCAAGATGCGGAGGTTGTCTTCAAGAATTTTGCATTCGACATTTCACAAATCATCGACAGGAACTTAATCAACACTTCGATAAACTTACAATTGAACAAACAACTGACATGAAAAATCATCCATCGATGAAACAAATTGATAAATGGGAATGTGAGTCGATTGAAAAGATTCGTAGTAAAGCAGAGAATATGAGATCATTATTGATTGAACGTATTACTAACAATATCAAGCAGATAAAAATGACACTTGACAACCTGACGAAGCAAATGACGACGATTTCGATGAAACGAATCTGCATCAATTTGAGAACGAAGTGGCACAGTTAACTGCACAGCTTAAAAGTCCATACCAAATTTCAATCGATGGCAATTATTCATCATCTAACATTGATATCTTCACTAATGTCTAAGGTAACGTTGTGCAATGTATTTTAGTGATTTAAAGAAAAGCTTGTGAAAAGAAATGAATAAAGACTAGAGTATCGATACTTCATCGGCTATCTGTTCATCATATAAGTAGTTTCACATTAGAAAAACTTTGACTTTTAATTGTTTGCATGAAAAATTGTATACAGATCGTCATGTTCAGCTGATCTTTTCAAGAGAAACAACTTCCCTATGTTCTTTTAACATCAACATGTCGGTTGATGTTTAGTCGTATTAAAATTCGAATTCATATATGAAATTTAGAACGTGACGCCGTTCCAGCCACACATAAAAAAGACACTCGAATGTCGAACATGGCGAAATTGCTAAAGAAGCTAGGTAGGATCATCTTCTATTCAAACATATTCACTCACATCTAATTATTCTACTACCAGGTACAACTCATCAACAAATTGATGAGTATTCTCGCCGTCGTACCGAACAAATCTCCGAAGAAGTTGCCGCAGTTATCAATCGAATTGTTGCTTAAACTCAAGTTCAACAACAAACTCTCTTAGTCGATGCCAACGCTCGTTCAGCTGTCGTCGAAGAACTCGATGTTGTGAAAGCTCAAAGCTTAGCAACGCTCGAAAGAGACTTGAACTTACGTCAAGAGATGATCCTTGACGAGGCTCGCAAACGCATCGATGAATTGAATGAAGAAGCTAATCGATTGAAAATAGGTGTTTTACGTGAAGCACAAGCTCAAGCTAATGCTAAAGTCAAAGCCATCACTGAGCACGTTGCTGCGTAAGTTATGGTAATTGATAAATACGAACAATCGCATCTTTTTACTTTAGTTTGAATACTGAAGATGTTAGTCGTCTTTTTGGCCAGTAATACTCAAAACGGATCATCGACTTTAAAAACTTTTTTGTCTTAAGCGACAATTGCGACCAACAAATAGATGCGTCCGACTCTTTACTACAAGAATTAACTTCTGAACAGCAATCGATATGTAACAGCTCTTCGTTGATCGTGTACCGTACTATGAATAGGCTTTTCCCCTCTATTATGTATTATCATTCACATATCTTTTACTAATCGACGGCTAAAGACTGTTTTCTATTTTGAATAACCTTCAACTTCAATGAGAATCCTTGATGATTACGTAATCAACTCGTAGATAACAATTTGGACTAACCATTCATATAATCAACCGAAAAACTTCTCAGGAAAGAGAAATGCGCGTTTATCCATGTATAAAAATATCTGGTCAGTTCAAAGCACTTATTCATGTATATCTTTGAATCTGACAGGTGACGACAATGTCTTGTTTTCAACCGCAAAAGAAGCTAAACAGATGTTGATGACAAATACCAAAAGTATTTTACAATTAGTAATAGATGATAATCTAGAAAGCCTTCAAAAACATACCATCTTTTATTGCTTTCTATTCAGTCAAATCGTGTCTCTTGTGACTAGTTCATAACAAGCAAATGTACAACGACACTTGGAGAACTATTGTACTTACGCGATAACTATTACATAGTTCATTAAACAAAAAACATATTCATATATATGACAAGTAAATAGAGCCAGTTTTCATCAATTCGATACAATCATTCTATATCTGTAAGATACCACCTACGATGGTACCCTGTCAAATGATACTGTCCTTTACTTGAAGGTTTATAAGTAGCAAAATTGAGTGGGCACTAGACGACAAATGTCACTCAGAAAGAACATGTTTCTTTCAAGTAATTGATTCGCACTTACAATTATTTACATACCAAAGAAAAACCCAATTCGTTTCTGCCCAATAGTATAAATACTGCTCTCTAATATGCACAAATCTATTCTTGTGTTTCTTCGTTTATCAAAAAGAATCTGTCTTTCAACAGTTGCTTTCATATCAGCACTTATAATTAAATTTTCTTCGTTTGCTTTCAGAAAATGTTTACTCTCGAGCAATTTCTTCAAAATACAACTTGGAATCCAACTTTGGAAGACGCAGGTGAAGCAGGCAAGAAAATCCTGCATATGCGTCTTCAAGTCAAACCTGGAACGACAGCCAACAATTTGGACATCAAACTCAACGGTCACGATTTACGTATCAACTTTGAAAACAAAGGTAAGTTTCTATGTCGTTTGATCTTCGTAAATAAACTATTCGATGTGCATTTCAGCTGGACCGGAATACAAACAAGTGACAATTTGGCCAACAGCGGAATTGGACAAACTCAAAACCGAATTGAAAAACGACGGTTTCCTTCATATTACAGTTCCTATTAAAGTCTAATGGAACATCATTATTATTATTATCTAGTATTTCAACGCTTGCTTGTAGGATCTTGTCTTATCACGAATTATTCATGCTAATCCAGACATTTTCACATCTTTTTTTTGCATTTTTGCTTGACTCGAATGGAAATAAAACATACTTATATCAAGATCATCTTGTTTTTGAATTCGTTTATTGAATAATAAATCTTTCGAAGCAAAGCCAGATTATCTTATTGTTCTGCAAATCCCAAAATAGTTTTTTTTTCTCTCATAGAGATGAATAACACATCTCACTGATAATGAATTCATATATCTTTCTCCACAGAGAAATATCTAATTTGTCTTATATCTCTGTGACATATGGGCATTAATCATTATCTCTGCTATATATTTACACAAGCTTGAGTTGATGAATATCAGCGACGCATATTATTTCTCTTTCTCTCTCTCTCTCTTTCCCAGTGCCCCAGAGATATACTGATCTATATATATATAAGTACGTTTGCTCCACCGTACTCTCAAAACATTAAGTATACACAATTTTAATACTGTACACAATGTTCAAGTGTGTGGCAACCTTATTAATTGTTGCTGGCGTCTGTTTGATTGCCGGTACCAATGGTTTTTTTCTCAGCAAAACTGATAAATGCCAAGTAGCGGTGTTCAAAGGTGGAAAAGAATTTGGTGGTGAAAAAATCATGGCGAATAAATCGTTTGTACCATACTTAAAATCAGTCGGTCAAGTTGCTAAAGCATGCAAAGTGAAAGTTCATGTTATTGACTCATATAAACAATTGAAAACACCCAAAGACTTCGTTTTATCATCTGAAATGCCCATGGCTCTTGGCACTGGTATTCATTTCGATTTACAAGATCAAAAAGGTGGCACTGTTTGCAATAAACTCTGTATGGTTTCCCGTTCATGGAAGACACTTCCCGACGCGACTTGCTTCATCAACGGTCTCAAAACTAAAGGAATTAAATTCACTGAACCAAATCTTATCGATGATGGCAGTGTAGGTAAATTAACATCGACACAACTCGATCAACTCAAAGTTCATACACAAGAACTATGTGCACCAAAAAAGAAAACAAGCAAAGGTTAAATCTTGATCAATGAATCAATGCAGAAAAACAAAGACACTTTCTCTCTGATCATTTTATGCTAGCATATCATTCATACTCAATCATAGAGCGATGCTTTAAGTCTTAATCATCGAATCTAGTTGTCAATTCTCATATCAATAAATCTGATTTTATTTAATCCATTCATCCGTATTTTTCAATGGAGGAATATCATTGACATTGGAGCAACATTTTTCTTTGAATATCATCAGATACAAGAGACAAAGAGTTTTTACAATTGGTTCATGATTGATTGTTTACTGCGACCTTTAGACCTAATTTTTTACACAAGTTCATCGACAGTGAGATTTTCGAAACCTGTTTGTTTATTTGATTCATTGTCTTGCACGTTGACAACATGTTTGCCCTTCATCTCTGCATCCTGATTCTACTACACGTTGTCGTAACACTTCGTTTATAATATTCAACTTACTAAACTTAACATCACATATGACAAAGTGACTTCTCACTGTTCTCGGTCATCACTTTCGAACCATTTTCACGAAGCATCGCTCGAATCTGACTATTTTGTTCATTCGTTTCTCGTGTCATATAATAAACCGATTGGCTAATCAATAGACCATTGACGCTCTGTTCTCCTACCATTGCCAATAGCAATGAGTCTCTGCTTGTTTTTTTCCTTCTTTATACTAGTCACATAGATCTGTCTTCTTTTTTTTTTATTACTCAACGATCACATCGAGCATGAGCTTATCGCGGTTTTAGAAAAGATCTTTTCGTTCTATTTGTCACATTCTTTAAGATCTTTATTTTGACTCGGTGTCGTGACAAAGATAAACAAGTGTTGAGACATGGCCGCTGCAGGGCCTACCTATTATTGCCATAAATGTGAAGCACACATTGGACAAGTAGCAGTAAGAACATCTTCAAACATTTCCCAGTGAATTCAATCTTTCGTTTCAGGATTTCGAATGTCCGCGATGTCATGAAAATTTCATCGAAGAAGTCGCACCTCGAGAAGTACCACCGTAAGCAAGATCGATGTCTTTGCTACCTATAACACCGAAATTCTTGAAAATTCTAGACAACCGCGCGCTACTGCAAGACGTCCTTATGGAGGAGCATTTCAATTTCACGGTGCAACACCATTTGGAAACACGACTATCATTGTTGGTGGTGGACCGTCAGTAAACGATGGAGGACAAATGCCAGGAAATGGTGATCTTAGTAATTTCCTACAAACACTATTAATGCAACTCACCGGTGGGGGTGTTGGTGGTGCACCGTTTCCTTTGTATGAGACCTTATCGTCCATTGATTGAAACTAAGATCTCTTCTTTTTCTTTTCTCTAGTCCCATACACAACGCTGCTGGAACAGCTTTTCTTGATCCAAATAATCTTGATGCTTTTCTTACTCAAGTAAAACCTCGTGCTCATTTCGGTTCTTCTTTCATTGAAATATTCTTGCGAGTAGTTTCTGAATCAAATGGGTGAAAATAGCGGACCTGCGCCAGCAACTGAAAATCGAATCAATTCGATTCCCACAGTAAAAGTAACTGGTGAACAAGCTCGTAAGTTCTCTCTCGACTCATTCTCCTATTTCATACACCTCTAACAATAGGTGATAATTTACAGTGTGCTATATGCATGGATGACTTTAAAGAAAATGATGAGGCAAAACGTCTTCCCTGTTCACATCATTTTCATGAGGACTGTATATCACGCTGGCTTCGACTTGTAAGTTACACATGCTCTCATTCTTGTTCGACGTTCATCTTGTTCCCATTTTAGCATGGTACATGTCCGACATGTCGTGTAACTTTAGATGGCGATAATACCACTAATCGTGAATACTTTAATAATCTACAACCAACAAATAATAATAACAACAACAACAATAATAATAATCGTCGCAATGACGGAGATAGTACTGGTGGTTCATCATCTGCGGCTAGCGGAGGTATTCATCCCATTGAATTCGATTAAATCAAATGTTTGGCGTGATGCTTTATGTATAAATCGATCGTTTTCTCTCTTTCCTTCCACTCGGAGGATCTATACAAGTTTTCTTTGTCGCTCTCTTTTTGTCATCGTCATGATTTCTTTTGTGTCGAAAATAAACGAACATACTTCGTACATCTACAACGATATTCAAGCTACTGTTCCTGCATGATAAGATGTTCGATTTGTCCTGACATGGGAATAACCTCTTCCCTGTATATGCATATATTTTTATTGTTGATGTTATGCAATAAATAGAAGATGATGATAATAATAGACAATAAAAATAAACTGTAATTGTTGTTGCGGATCAAAACATTTCTTCTTTTCTAGTTATTCGACTTTAGACGAGCACTTCGGGAAATTCAAAGTGAACATCTTTTCCTGTGAGTTTCTTATAAACTGATTGAAAAGCGGGCACCTAAGACAAATGAAATCGAAATGAGCATTGATTTGTCAACGAGAACTCACTTTGGTTTCGACAAGTGTTTGTTGGTTTTTATCGAGATGAACTTTGAAGAGACGTGAGCCATCTAATTTTATTCGAATACGTTTGCCAGTGATCTCAGCAGGGTAAACAAGATCGTGTAAGATAGCATCATGAACAGCAGTTAATGTACGACTGAAAAACAGCCAACGAAATGACACAATGAAATCAAGAGAAATCAAACGTACTTTCTCGGTCGTTTTTGTTTCGATTGTGTCTTCGATTTTCGTGTTGGTTTAGGTAGGATGCGACGCTAAAAAGCAAAATTATTGAAACTGTCTTGCCTATGTAACTGTCTTACTTGTCCAAGAAGAATGACTGTTTGACTGAATTTTTTTTCAAGTTCAGAAACAAGCAACGAATGAACTCGTTGGAAACTCTTGACTTTTGGTACAGGAATATAGATGACCAAAGCTGATCGCCCGTCACCTAAGTCAACTTTCTAGGAAAGTAAACAAACAAATGAGTTCACATTCCATTTCTCTCTTACTTTAGCACCAGTTATATAAAGTTCACGTAATTGACCTTTAAATTGAGCGTTGCCTTCGAGTTCAGATAGTTGCTAGATGAGAAACAGTTGGCGAAAGATTTCCAACGAAGAAAGTTTTACTTGTGAAACTTCAAGTTCAAGTGTGGTTGGTGGTTCACTACCAGTTTTCATAATTTTTGTACCTGTGCTCATCGTTGATGATGATGATGATGAAAGATAACAAATGATCTAAAAGATGTGTTATCATGAGATTTTTCGAAGACTTTTTTTCGATAGAAATTCAACCGACAACGACAAATAACTTGTTCGATCCAATAGTCTATTCCGGAGTTTACCATCGCAGATTTTCATCAACTATTCTTCAATAGAAATATTTTTCCACCGAAATGATATTTTAATGATAGAAAATATTCTTTGCATTTAAGGAAAGTTTTGTCGTGATTTTAAAAACTACTTCATCATTAACCAATCGATATGGTTCGACGGTTCTCCTATCGAAGAGCAGAGAACAGCTGATTGTGAATCATGAGAGAAGAAAAAAGTTGTATTTCATCAGCAAGATTTGAAATCGATGTTAAACTGTCGTTTAAGTACAAAGAACTAGTTGTGCACCCACCGAATCCCTCGAGAACAACAATAACGAAAAATTTTGTTTTTTTCTTTATAAAAAGATATTCTCCGTTCGATGTCAGATCGATTATGTTTAAGCTGTTCAAATAACGAACGTAATGACGCTGATCTCCCGTCGAAAAATCGATGTCATTTAGTAACCCGTCTAAACCGAATAACAGCGTATAGACGAGGTGAATATCTAATCGAAGAAATGTATTCATTGAGAACAAAGCTAAAATATGAAAACAAAACGAAATCATCGCCGAGGTATTTCTCCTCTTTTCGAAGGACGTTCTAGAACATCACATATATAAGTACCATACCGATGATTCGTTTCAAATGTCGTCGAGCTAGTTTGGAAGACGACCATATGTAAAAAGAACGAGCTCGCCGCTTTTTGTTTTGCTCGTATTTATTTATAGGTGTACTGTTATCGATTGAACACATCAGTTTTATGTCCGATGCGTATCGAAGTAAACGATCCGATCTTCTCTTTTCTAGAGTATTCTAGATGTCGCTGCGGTTACTCATTCTTTTTTTCTTCTTCTTCGTTCCTCCAAATGACAAACGTAACAAGATGGCGGCTCGCTGCATAACCTCATTGACTCTGTTGGCCACTCTCAACTCGTGATCGTTATCGTCATTTTTCTTTCCTTTCTCATTGAGTTGTTTTTCTTCTTTAATACCGATGTCAAAACCGCCATAAAAGCAGCGATAAAAAAGTTTTTTTTTTCAACAAAATAGTCATATCTGCTGAGGCAGCAGAAACGGAAAAAGAGAGAGAGAGAGAAAGAGCGAGAGAAAAACGTCTCTATAAAGTAAGTGTCGACAGATTACACATTATTCGTTTTCTTTTTCAAAGTGTGTAATAGATCGTGAAAAACATATATCTATAAAAGCAATGTTTTTTTTCTCTCGTTTTAGAATAAACAGGCCAATTGTTTTTTAATATCGTCATGTTGGTATAATTTCTCTTCACATTTTTGTTTTCAATCAAAACACACGTATACACATACTTAACCAGTATCGACGAGCAACTGCTGCCCGCAGCGGACTCTTTTAATTATCCTGAATAGTTACTGATTATTATCGTTGATTATCATGTCGACTATGTCGTTCCATTTCTCACAATATTTAACGTATAATGAGTGTGTAAACTATCAGTAAATGCTATTTACTTTAATAACGACTTCAGTCGAACAATAACAAAACGAAATAGTTTTCCGTTGGACAGTCAGGATAGTGCTGACCAAGAACAACAACAGGTTGGTGGATGAGAAGCGGAGCCTTATAAACATTTTTCTTGTCAATTTTAGGTAATAATCAGTGGTTTTGGTAGAATTCCTTTGTATAAATCTCCTCCAAATAACAATGGTCGTCGTCGTTTTGGGTCTCCGAACATCGGGACAAACCTTGAGCACTCTCACAGCATCATTGGAACGTTTATGTTTGAAAGAAGATCGAACATGGAAAGAACGTATANTCTAGTAAGATGGACGTTCGTGTGAGTGTGTATGTATAATTGTACCCTCTATTCTCTCTTGGACACACATTTATTTCATCTCATCCGCTTGCGGCACACAAATGAAGATGTGTGATGGACACTGGGCGTTGTTATGAAAGAAGAGAAGAAGAAAAACTTGTGTGCTCATTTCGTACTTTTCCTTTTCCTGTGCATTCATGTGGCAGAGGTGCAAATGACGATAATCATCATCATCGTCAATTTTTATTGTCGATGACACGTTTTCAAGCAAAGGAAACAAATTTCTTTTTTCCGATGAATTCTTCCATGTTATGGACAGAAGGAAAACGAGCATGGAAATTCTCAAACGAAACTTTTCTTCGAAAGGAAAAATAGCTTCAGAATGTTTATGTGAAATAAACACAAGTGTTGCTTTGTTCTGCTGTTTGAGATAATGTAAATATAATTTCATTTGAAAACAAATTTTCACTTAATTTGAGAAAAAGAAGAGTTTGATTCTGTGAGAAAATCTCTTCAATCACTTCCGCACTTCGATTCGTAATGTTATTTTTAGTTAAATCGAGATGTTTGAGTGTTTTATTCAGTCGTAATCCTTTTACCAAAGCTGCCATACCATCGTCACCAATATTATTATCACTCAGGTGTATATACGTTAACGACTTGTTGATTTTTAACATCACAGACAGTTTCATCGTACCTGTACTGGATATTTTATTTCCTTGCATATACAAACATTCTAAGGTTGTATTAACGTGTAATGCTAAGGCTATGTACTCAACGCCTTCGTCTCCGAGTCCATTATTAACTAGTCGAAGTTGCTTCAATGTTGAATTCGTCAAAAGTGCTTTGCTAAGGCTTGCTGCACCAACCGATCCAATGCTATTTTCACATAAACTAAGGTCTTGCCAGTACGTATTTTTTACTAATTCACTAGCAATAATGTCGACGTCTTCATTGTTCAAACTTTTGTCTCGGAACTCAGCAAACTGAACGCTGGCTTTGTGGTGAATTAAGTTTTCCAGTTCTGAATTGTGATAGGGTTTTCTCATATGGGAAGGATGTGGTGGAGCGAAAGGACATTTCGATTCCACCTGTTTTAAATGTATAACGTGAAGATCGGGTGCAGCATTAGTTTCAGCTCGCACTTCAAATAGTGTGCCTGGCATAATGAGAACTTCATCTTCTTCTGGAAAATATGAATGCTGACGAATTTGTTTGCCGGATCTACATTCAATCGTGAATATAGTTCTCGTACCATTTCCACTTAAGAACTCGGCTGATTCGAGCATTTGAGGAGACTTTACACACGTACTAAAGACAGTAAATAGGAATGCCAGGAAAAGAAATATCGACGAGAAAGTATTACTTTAGTCCCCACCATACAATTGTACTTCCAACACGGTATCGTGAACTCAGGTCAGCCTCGACACCAGACCATACATTTTCTGCTATCGACGGTAATTTCTGTAAACCGGATAGAATCAATTTAAGGTAGGCAGCATATGGTGTCAAGAGACGACGATTCTGAGCACGAAGAGCATTATTCAAATAGAAATACAGTGACTGTTTACTTGGTTTCCATTCCATCGTATATAAATAAATAGCTGCCGATTCATCTTGAGTTAAACCATCTACTGGATATTGCTTCGTTCTTTCTTTCGCTATCCTTGCATTATGTGTAATATCTGGAATTAAACTTTCCAATGGCTTCACACTAAAGTCCAACGTTAGAATAGAACATTTCAGATAAGCGTCAATTCTAGAATTGATCAGTTACTTCGAATGGATATCGAATAAAAGTAAGATGCTGACACTTACGGCGATAACATACGATCTGATTCATTCTGTATATCAGAGAGACGTTGAATCGTGTAAAACGACATGGTTCGCACTCCTTGATGTCTTTCTCGAATAATTCACTCTAACTAAAAAGTCACGTGTTATAAGAGAGAAACAGAAGCGAAGAACACGTATTGAGTTTTAATCATTTTTCACATCTTGTTTACCTTGTTGCTATAGAAAGGTTTTCATTGTCGATGTTATATAAAATGATCTGATGAAAAAAGAAGTCTAATGACGATATTCGCGAACATTTTATTATAAAAACATATTATACTAAATTGAAATAATAGAAGACCTAATCCTTCCTATTCAATAGACGGTTCAATCAGATGAATAGGAGACGTTTTCCAATAATCATACAGACGAAGTTCATTGTATAAACGGCAAGCAATCAAAAATGCGCGCCGATCTTTGTCTTTTTCAGTTTCGGGCAACACCGAATACGCTGAAAGCATGTCTTTCGATGTTCGAAATTCATTGCGTTTAATCCAAGCGATGTGAATCTTCTCCGCAATCTGTTCGACGAGATCATGATCGAATGAACGCTTCTGTCGGACACTTCGCAGAACTTGTCTGCAAGCGACTTGTGCGGTTGCTCGATTTTCATACGCCCAATCGTCCGGCAATTCATCATATGCCATATTCAAAATATCAACATAAATCAATGATGAATTGTACCGAGCACGCGCAACTTTTAAGTTTCGATGGACGAGACACGAGCCAACGGTGAGGATCATCGGATAGATAAAGTCAGCTGAATTGTAATTCGATGCATTGTGAGTTAATTTAAAGCGATTTCGAGTATGCGGATGTTCGCTAATGTAATGTTGTCGCCAGTTTTCATGAAATGTCGAAGCTACTTTTCTTACGAATAAGTGAAATTGTTGTTTGAATGAAATCGATTCCGCATTTGTAATTGAGAATAGTAGAAGAAGAAAAGTACATACTAATGATGTTATTAGTTGCATGACCCATCCGATGAATGTCAAAAGTAAAGAGAAAAATACGTAAGACATTAGAGAAAGATAACTTCGACTGACATATTGTCGACAAGTTTGTCTTCGTTCGCTGGATGTTTAGAAGAATGCATACAATGATATGAAACATACTTGAAAATGGTTCTGATATTAACAGTTTAGGTATTTTATCGGATAAATGTGTTTTTATTTACTGAATATCGAAGAGAGAAAGTGAATGTTTAGAAATAATAGTAATAAATAATGATTTTACAGTAGGAAGAAGTCTCTGCGGTTACATATACATTTCATCGCATCGTGAATAATCTGTATTCGAGATAATGAAACGATACGATGTTTATCGCACGAGTTATCAGTGAGAAAAAAAACTTAAAACGAAGAGGATTTCATTATCTTTTGTATTGTCATCACTCACGAATGATATAAAATTGTTGCAGCACGATTTAGAATATGGCTACATCAAATAGTAAAAAATATGCATAAAATGTAACAAAACTAAAACGACTGTGAGATGCGGAGGTTGTCTTCAAGAATTTTGCATTCAGCTTTTCGCAGGTCATCGACAGGAACTAAATTAACACTTCGATAAACTTTCAGTCGATCATGACTCATGTCAACAATTGCTTATTGAACAAACACGTGACATGAAAAATCATCCTGCGATGAAATGTTGATTGAACTTATTACTAACAATGTCGAGCAGGTAAAAATAATTCATGGTGAAGAAGATTTCGATGAAATGCATCTGCATCAATTTGAGAACGAAGTGGCACAGTTAACTACACAGCTTAAAAGTCCATGCGAGATTCCAATCGATGGCAATTATTCGTCATCTACCAATGTTATCTCCGCCAATACCTCAGGTAACGTTGTACAATGTATTTTTGTGATTTGAAGAAAAGTTTGTGAAAAGAAATGAATAAAGACTAGAGTATCGATACTTCATCGACTATCTGTTCATCATATACGTAGTTTCTGCATTCTACTTCGGTTTCACATGAGAAAAACTTTGACTTTTAATTGTTTTCATGAAAAATTGTATACAAATCGTCATATTCAGCTGATCTTTTCAAGAGAAACAACTTCCCTATGTTCTTTTAACATCAACATGTCGATTGACGTTTAGCCGTATTAAAATTCGAATTCATATATGAAATTTAGAATGTGAAGTCGCTTCAGCCGCACATAAAAAGACACCCGCACGTCGAACATGACAAAATTGCTGGAGAAGCTATGTAGGATCATTTTCCAATCAAGCATATGCACTCGCATCTAATTATTCTACTATCAGGTACAACTCATCAACAAATTGATGAATATTCTCGCCGTCGTACCGAACAAATCTCCGAAGAAGTTGCCGCAGCTATCAATCGAATTGTTGCTGAAACTCAAATTCAACAACAAACTCTCTTAGCTGCTATCGAAGAAGAGTATGAATTCAAATTACAAAATTTATGCTAAAGTCAAAGCCGTCACCGACCAGGTTACTGCGTAGCGTAAGTTACAGTAATTGGTAAATACGAACAATCGCATCTTTTCACTTTAGTTTGAGTACTGAAGATGTTGGTCATTTTTTTTGGCCAGTAATAGTTAAAACGGATCATCGACTTTCAAAACTCTTTTTTTTTTAAGCGACAACTGTGGCCATCAAATAGATGCACCCGACTCTTTACTACAAGAATTGACTTCTGAACAGGAATCGATATGTAACAGCTCTTCACTGATCGTGTACCGTCGTACTATGAACAGGATTTACACATCTTTTACTAATCGAAGGCTAAAGACCATTTCCTATTTTGAATAACCTTCAACTTCAATGAGAATCCTTGATGATTACGTAATCAACTCGTAGATAAAAATTTGGACTATCCATTCATATATTCAACAGAAAAACTTCTCAGAATAGATGTATGAAAATATATGGTCAGCTCAGAGCACTTATTCATGTATATCTTGAATCCGACAGGTGACGACAATATCTTGTTTTCAACCGCAAAAGAAGCTAAACAGATGTTGATGACAAGTGCTAAAAGTATTTTACAATTAGTAATAGACGATAATCTAGAAAACCTTCAAAAGTATACCATCTTTTATTGTTTTCTATTCAGTCAAATCGTGTCTCTTGTGACTAACTCAGAACAAGCAAATGTACACCGACACTTTGAGGACTATTGTACTTACACGATAACTATTACATACTTCATTAAACAAACAACACATTCATACATATGACAAGTAAATAGAGGCAGTTTTCATCAATTCTATACAATCATCCTATATCTGTAGGATACCACCTACGATGGTACCCTGTCAAATGATACTATCCTTTACTTGAAGGTTTATAAGTAGAAAAATCGAGTGGGCACTAGACGACAAATGTCACTCAAAAAGAACATGTTTCCTTCAAGTAATTGATTCGCACTTACAATTATTTACATACCAAAGAAAAACCAATTCGTTTCCACCCAATAGTATAAATACTGCTCTCTAATATGCACAAATCTATTCTTGTGTTTCTTCGTTTATCAAAAAGAATCTGTCTTTCAACGGTTGCTTTCATATCAGCACTTCTAATCAAATTTTCTTCTTTTACTTTAAGAAAATGTTTACTCTCGAGCAATTTCTTCAAAATACAACTTGGAATCCAACTTTGGAAGACGCAGGTGAAGCAGGCAAGAAAATTCTGCACATGCGTCTTCAAGTCAAACCTGGAACAACAGCCAACAATCTGGACATCAAACTCAACGGTCACGATTTACGCATCAACTTCGAAAACAAAGGTGAGTTTCTATATCGTCGGATCTTCATTAATAAACTATTCGATATGCATTTCAGCTGGACCGGAATACAAACAAGTGACAATTTGGCCAACAGCGGAATTGGACAAACTCAAAACCGAATTGAAAAACGACGGTTTCCTTCATATTACAGTTCCTATTAAAGTCTAATGGAACATCATTATTATTGCTATCTAGTATTTCAACGCTTGCTTATAGGATCTTGTCTTATCACAAATTATTCATGCTAATTCAGACATTTTCACATTTTTTTGCATTTTTGCTTGACTTGAATGGAGATAAAACATATTTATAACAAGATCATCTTGTTTTTGAATTCGTTTATTGAATAATAAATCTTCCGAAGCAAAGCAAGATAATCTTATTGTTGTGAAAATCCCAAAATAGTTTTTCTTTTTCATGGAGATGAATAACACATCTCCCTGATAATGAATTCCTATATCTTTTTCCACAGAGAAATATCTAATTTGTCTTATATCTCTGTGACATATGGGCATTAATCATTATCTCTGCTATATATTTACACAAGCTCGAGTTGATGAATATCAGCGACGCATATTATTTCTCTTTCTCTCGGTTTCTTTCTCTCTCTCCCAGTGCCCCAGATATATACTGATCTATACATATACACATATATATAAGTGCGTTTACTTCACCGTACTCTCCAGACATTAAGTATACACAATTTTAATACTGTACACAATGTTCAAGTGTGTGGCAACCTTATTGATTGTTGCTGGCATCTGTTTGATTGCCGGTACCAATGGGTTTTTTCTCAGCAAAACTGAGAAATGCCAAGTAGCGGTGTTCAAAGGTGGAAAAGAATTTAGTGGTGAAAAAATCATGGCGAACAAATCGTTTGTACCATACTTAAAATCAGTCGGCCAAGTTGCTAAAGCATGTAAAGTGAAAGTTCATGTTACTGACTCATACAAACAACTGAAAACACCCAAAGACTTCGTTTTATCATCTGAAATACCTCTGGCTGTTGGCACCGGTATTCGTTTCGATTTACAAGATCAAAAAGGTGGCACTGTTTGCAATAAACTCTGTATGGTTTCTCGTTCATGGAAAACACTTCCCGACGCTACTTGCTTCATCAATGGTCTCAAAACTAAAGGAATTAAATTCAGCGAACCAAATATGATCGACGATGGCAGTGTAGGTAAATTAACATCGACACAACTCGATCAACTCAAAGTTCATACACAAGAACTATGTGCACCAAAAAAGAAAACAAGCAAAGGTTAAATCTTGCTCAACGAGCCAATGCAGAAAAAAGAAACTTTCTCTCTGATCATCTTATGCTAGCGTGTCACTCATACTCAACAATAGAACGATGCCTTAAATCTTAATCATCGAATCTAGTTGTCAATTCTTATATCAATAAAACTGATTTTATTTAATCTATTCATCCATGTTTTTCATTGGAGGAGAGAGAATTTTTATAACTAGTTTACGATTGATTGTTTACTACGATCTTTAGATCTCATTTTTCGCACAAGTTCATCGACAATGAGATTTTCTAAATCTATTTGTTTGATTCATTCATTGACTTGCATGTTGACAATATGCTTGCCCTGGACCTCTGCATCCCGATTCTACTACACGTTGTCGTAACACTTGATTTATTATATTCAACTTACTGAACTTAACACCACACATGATAAAGTGACTTCTCACCATTCTCGGTCATCACTTTCGAACCATTTTTACGAAGTATTGTTCGTTCGTATCTGACTATTTTGTTCATTCGTTTCTTCTCGTGTCACATAATAAACCGATTGGCTAATCAATAGACCATTGACGCTCTGTTCTCCAACCATCCATTGCCAATAGCGATGAGTCTCTGCATGTTTTTTTCTTCTTTATACTAGTCACATAGATATGTCTTCTTCTTTTTTTTATTACTCAGTGATCACATCGAGCATGAACTTATGGAAGTTTTGGTTTTAGAAATGATCTTTTCGTTCTATTTGTCACATTCTTTAAGATCTTTATTTTGACTCGGTGTCGTGACAAAGAAAAACAAGTGTTGAGATATGGCCACTGCAGGGCCTACCTATTATTGCCATAAATGTGAGGCACACATTGGACAAGTAGCAGTAAGAACGTCTTCAAACATTTCTTGGCGAATTCAATCTTTTGTTTCAGGATTTCGAGTGCCCACGATGTCATGAAAATTTCATCGAAGAAGTCGCACCTCGAGAAGTACCACCGTAAGCAAAATCGATGTCTCTGCTACCCATAACACCGGAATTCTTGAAAATTCTAGACAACCGCGCGCTAATCCAAGACGTCCTCATGGAGGAGCATTTCAATTTCACGGTGCAACACCATTTGGAAACACGACTATCATCGTTGGTGGTGGACCGTCCGTAAATGATGGAGGTCAAATCCCAGGGAACGGTGATCTTAGCAATTTCCTACAAACACTATTAACGCAACTCACCGGTGTAGGTGTTGGTGGTGCACCGTTTCCTTTGTATGGGACCTTATCGTCTATTGATTCAAACTAAGATCTCTTCTTTTTTTCCTAGTCCAATACACAACGCTGCTGGAACCGCTTTTCTTGATCCAAATAATCTTGACGCTTTTCTTACTCAAGTAAAACCTCGTGCTCATTTCGGTTCTTCTTTCATTGAAATATTCTTGTGAGTAGTTTCTGAATCAAATGGGTGAAAACAGCGGGCCTCCGCCAGCAACTCAAAATCGAATCGATTCGATTCCCACAGTAAAAGTAACTGGTGAACAAGCTCGTAAGTTCTCTCTCGACTCATTCTCCAATATCATATACTTCTACCAATAGGTGATAACTTACAGTGTGCTATATGCATGGATGATTTTAAAGAAAATGATGAGGCAAAACGTCTTCCCTGTTCACATCATTTTCACGAGGACTGTATATCACGCTGGCTTCGACTTGTAAGTTACACATCTTCTGATTCTTGTTCGACGTTCATCTTCTTCGCATTTTAGCATGGCACATGTCCGACATGTCGTGTGACTTTAGATGGTGATAATACCACTAATCGTGAATACTTTAATCTACAACCAACAAATAATAACAACAATAATAATAATAATAATCGTCGCAATGACGGAGATAGTACTGGTGGTTCATCATCTGCGGCTAGCGGAGGTATTCATCCCATTGAATTCGATTAAATCAAATGTTTTGCGTGATTCTTTATGTATAAATCGATCGTTTTCTCTCTCTCTCTCCTTCCACTCGGAGGATCTATACAAGTTTTCTTTGTCGCTCTCTTTTTTGCCATCGTCATGATTTCTTTTGTGTCGAAAATAAACGAACATACTTCGTACATCTACAACGATATTCAAGCTACTGTTTCTGCATGACAAGATTGTTCGATTTGTCCTGACATGGGAATATCCTCTTCCCTGTATATGCATATATTTTTATTGTGTTGATGTTATTCAATAAATAGAGGATGATGATGATACTAGACAATAAAAATAAACTGTAATTGTTGTTGCGGATCAAAACATTTCTTCTTTTCTAGTTATTCGACTTTAGACGAGCACTTCGGGAAATTCAAAGTGAACATCTTTTCCTGTGAGCTTCTTATAAACTGATTGAAAAGCGGGCACCTAAGACAAATGAAATCGAAATGAGCATTGAGTTGTCAACGAGAACTCACTTTGGTTTCGACAAGTGTTTGTTGGTTTTTATCGAGATGAACTTTGAAGAGACGTGAGCCATCTAATTTTATTCGAATACGTTTGCCGGTGATCTCAGCGGGGTAAACAAGATCGTGTAAGATAGCATCATGAACAGCAGTTAATGTACGACTGAAAAATCAACGAAATGATACGATGAAATCAAGAGAAATCAAACGTACTTTCTCGGCCGTTTTTGTTTCGATTGTGTCTTCGATTTTCGTGTTGGTTTAGGTAGGATACGACGCTAAAAAGCAAAATTACTGAAACTGACTTGCCTATGCAACTGCCTTACTTGTCCAAGAAGAATGACTGTTTGGCTGAATTTTTTTTCAAGTTCAGAAACAAGTAATGAATGAACTCGTTGGAAACTCTTGACTTTTGGTACAGGAATATAGATGACCAAAGCTGATCGTCCGTCACCTAAGTCAACTTTCTAGGAAAGCAAACAAACAAATGAGTTCACATTCCATTTTCCTCTCACTTTAGCACCAGTTATATAAAGTTCACGTAATTGACCTTTAAATTGAGCGTTGCCTTCGAGTTCAGATAGTTGCTAGATGAGAAAAAGTTGGCGAAAGATTTCCAGCGAGGAAAGTTTTACTTGTGAAACTTCAAGTTCAAGTGTGGTTGGTGGTTCACTACCAGTTTTCATAATTTTTGTACCTGTGCTCATCGTTGATGATGATGAAAGATAACAAATGATCTAAAAAATGTATTATCATTAGATTTTTCGAAGACTTTTTTCGATAGAAATTCAACCGACAACGACAAATAACTTGCTCGATCCAATAGTCTATTCCGGAGTTTACCATCGAAGATTTTCATGAACTATTCTTCAATAGAAATATTTTTCCACCGAAATGATATTTTAATGATACAAAATATTCTTTGCATTTAAGGAAAGTTTTTTCAGGTTTTTAAAAACTATTTCATCATTAACCAATCGATATGATTCCATGATTCTCCTATTGAAGAGAAGAGAACAGCTGATTGTGAATCATGAGAAAAGAAAAAAAGTTGTATTTCATCAGCAAGATTTGAAATCGATGTTAAACTTTCGTTTAAGTACAAAGAACTAGCTGTGCACCCACCGAATCCCTCGAGAACAACGATAACGAAAAAGTTTTCTTTTTTTTGGCAAAAGATATTCTCCGTTCGACGTCAGATCGATTATGTTTGAGCTGTCCGAATAACGAACGTAATGACGCTGATCTCCCGTCGAAAAATCGATGTCATTTAGTAACCCGTCTAAATCGAATAACAGCGTATAGACGAGGTGAATATCTAATCGAAGAAATGTATTCATTGAGAACAAAGCTAAAATATGAAAACAAAACGAAATCATCGCCGAGGTATTTCTCCTCTTTTCGAAGGACGTTCTAGAACATCACATATATAAGTACCATACCGATGATTCGTTTCAAATGACGTCGAGCTAGTTTGGAAGACGACCATATGTAAAAGGAACGAGCTCGCCGCTTTTTTGTTTTGCTCGCATTTATTTATGGGCGTGCTGTTATCGATTGAACACATCAGTTTATGTCCGATGCGCATCGAAGTAAACGGTTCGATCGTCTCTTTTCTAGAGTATTCCAGATGTCGCTGCTGTTACTCATTCTTTTTTCTTCTTCTTTCCTCCAACTGACGAACGTAACAAAATGGCGGCTCCCTGCATAACCTCGTTGACTCTGTTGGCCACTCTCAACTCGTGATCGTTATCGTCATTTTTCTTTCCTTTCCCATTGAGTTGTTTTTCTTCTTTAATATCGATGTCAAAACCGCCATAAAAGCAGCGATAAAAAAGTTTTTTTTCAACAAATAGTTATATCTACTGAGACAGCAGAGACGGAGAGAGAGAGAGAGAGAAAGAGCGAGAGAAAAACGTCTCTATAAAGTAAGTGTCGACAGATTACACATTATTCGTTTTCTTTTTTGAAAGTGTGTAATAGATCGTGAAAAACATATATCTATAAAAGCAATGTTTTTTTTTCTGTCGTTTTAGAATAAACAGGCCAATTGTTTTTTTAATATCGCCATGTTGGTATAATTTCTCTTCACATTTTTGTTTTCAATCAAAACACACGTATACACACACTTAACCAGTATCGACGAGCAACTGCTGCCCGCAGCGGACTCTTTTAATTATCCTGAATAGTTACTGATTATTATCGTTGATTATCATGTCGACTATGTCGTTCTATTTTTCACAATATTTAACGTATAATGAGTGTGTAAACTATCAGTAAATGCTATTTACTTTAATAACGACTTCAGTCGAACAATAACAAAACGAAATAGTTTTCCGTTGGACAGCCAGGATAGTGCTGACCAAGAACAACAACAGGTTGGTGTATGAGAAACGGAGCCTTCTAAACATTTTTCTTGTCAATTTTAGGTAATAATCAGTGGTTTTGGTAGAATTCCTTTGTATAAATCTCCTCCAAATAACAATGGTCGTCGTCGTTTTGGGTCTCCGAACATCGGGACAAACCTTGAGCACTCTCACAGCATCATTGGAACGTTTATGTTTGAAAGAAGATCGAACATGGAAAGAACGTATATTTAATCAAACAAAGTTGGTAGGTACTTTTTTTCTATTTACTTTTTCTTCATTCGGACGACAGACAGACAGACAAAAGTAGGAAAGAAAACATCAAAACATAAAAATTTCATTGACCTTGCTTAACATAACCATAACACTCTCAATCTGTTTTTCTCGATGTTACTAGCAAAGCAAACATGACTATTGTTAAAAACGAGATAAGCGAAACGTGTTTATACGTTCTGATAGTGCGAATGAGACCGATTCGTTCTTTGAGAGATAAAGTCAAAAAAAAGGTGATATCTAAGAAATGAATTTTTCTTCATAGGATGAAGTCAATAGTTCTCAACGTAATCATGCATCATCATGGCTTCGCAAAGTGGCTGCATCCATGCACTTCGGCATTGATACCTATGCATTGAGTATTGATATACTCGATCGATTCTTAGCGACACTCAAAGTAAATTCGAGATCATTTGATTTTCTTGCAGAGTTTTGTTTTCACTACATTCTTGCAGGTTCGTCCGAAATTCTTGGAATGCTTGGCCGTTGGTTGTTTATACATCGCAGCTAAATGCAAGGAAGAAGATGATACAATTTCGATTACCCCGGAATTTGTCATCGATTGTAACTCGTCCTGTTCACCCAATGAACTTCTTCGTATGGAACGCTTGATCCTGGAAAAATTCGATTGGTACGCAGATTTCGTTACCACGGTTGACTTTCTGCAAATCGTAAGTCGAACGATTTCCTATCGAAATGATGCATTGATCGTTTTCATTCTTTAGTACTTTGCACTCCTCCTGCTCAAAACGAATAATCAACCGGAAGAGAATTGCGAGAAGTATATTGATTTAGAGATTAAACTAGCTTCGTGTCTACAACATCATCGTTTGGCCACGTTTAAGCCACGCATTCTTGCATTGGCTTTGATTAGTTTAGAATTTGAGAAACAACAGCAGACACAAGAATCGGAAATGAATATTGATTGGCTGGAATCGATCAGTTATTTACAACAACTAGCCAAAGTAGGATCCGTTGTCTTTCCTTATTTCAATTCTTGTTTTCTTGTCCTAGGTTGAAAGTGATGCATTATTATCATGTCGAGACTTGATTGTTCGTCTATTACCATCCTATAAAGTTGTTCGATTGGAATTATCTGACTTAACCTTCATATCCCATGCCTATAAACCATTAAAACCATTGATGAATTTATCTGATCGACCAACCTATGCCGATGTTGTTTGTGGTCGCACTTTTCCTCCTGTCCAATAAGTTTGTGTATTATTCTTTTTCTTTTCATTTCCTTTGATTTTTTAAAAAATTTATATATGAAAGCATTAAGAACAAACACGAAAAAAAAAGCGAAACATCATACTGCCCGACTTGTATGCTTTTCCTCTCGAAATCTTGCTCTGTTGGAATTTTTTGTTTAATCTGAAAATCCACGTGTTGCTTTTTTTGTCTGATATCAAAATCTATTCTCCATACGTTCGAAAAGAAAACCGAGAATGTATTCGATCTCGCCAAAGTAAGTGGACAAGGCCATGGTTTTTCTCTTGGAGAATGGATTTTCACTATTTTGTCCTATATATAAATATATTTTTGTTTATTTGATTTATCATCTGTATAGAAAAGAAACCACATGTATATGTAAATAGAAAAGATCTCATTCTAGACATAAAGTTTACTATGGCGCTTTTTTTTTGTAATATTTATCTATAGAGCTTCTCTCTCTCTCTCTCTCCTCTTTTTTGTCATCTTCATTCCTTATTTTTTTTCTCGACCTGATTTAACGTCTTTTTGTGTATATAAACCAAACGAAGAACGAAATATATGTACATACATATCACGAAACCCGAGTCGCTTGCTATTTTGTTTATGTTTTCATGGATCGAAAAAAGAACAAGGTCGTGTTTTGACTAAATCGCAATACAAATAAATCAAAGTGCGCAAAAAATCAAGATGACGTGGAAAGAAATGTAATGCGTTGATAGGCAAGGATACGAATGAAATACTTCGTATGATAGATCATGGAGAGGATATGTCAAGATGTATCGTTTCGGTTATTTATGGCAACGGTAAGTTGATATGGGTCAGTATCAGAAGGGAGAAACTGCACCTGACACAATCAAATTAGGATACCTTCGGATTTTATCTTTGTCATCACAATGAAATAACATGACTCATTCGGTTATCTCGTTCTAGACATGTCCTATGAAATATACTGCAAGAAAAGTTTTTATTTGTTGGATATGTCAGTGGGATAGAAAACGAAACTGATTTCAGTCATCGTTGAAAGTTATAGTTCTATTTGTATGTATTCGACGACGTGCTCGGTATGACATTGATCGATAAAATTTAAAATAGTACACTAAGCCTATTGTCGAGAGTACTGTCATGGGTAAAACCAAGCCCACGCATAGACCAATGATCAACGCAGTATTGACTATGAAGAGAAAACGGGCGTTTTTCTTTGAAATTTTTGTGCTGAGATGACTTACTGTTAGACCTCGTCATAAAAGCAGATGAAATACTGGATGAAGACTGGGTCGTTGTTCGAATACTGGTAGTTGCCGTTGAAGTATTAGTAAGAAGTTGGATAGTTGAACTGAATGTTTCTTCGCGTTTCTGTATGACAAACAAAAGAGAAAAGATGACAATGTGTAACGAAAAAGTTCGACATACAATTGTTGTGAAGATTGAAGAAACTTTGGATGTCGAGACGACTTCTGTAGAATATTGTTGATTTGCAGTTGATGCTCGTGTGGATAACAAGTTGGATATTAGCTCAAAATCTGAACTAGTGCCTATATCCTCAGGAGATGTATTTACCAAAATAGATGACGATGATTGAGACAACAATGTCGACTGATCTGAATCCGTTGGAATATTTGTCGAATACGATTCGCTTGAACTAATATTTGTCGAATACGATTCACTTGAACTAATATAGTCGGTAGATTCATCTGTCTACAATGTACACGTTAATCGAGGTGATCAGGACGGTGTCGATGAACTTACTACATCGATGGTGAAGTTTTGTAAACTCGGTTCTGCAGTACTACACAAGCCACTCGTGATTGATATATCATCAACTGCAAATGTGAAGTCATTAGAATTGCTGCCGCTATCGCGATGAAATTGAAATTTGAGGAAAAAATTCGATGAATTCGTCACGAAAGAAGTGTTGCTTTTATACCACTTATTTTCTCGTTGGGATGCTACTTTAATAATACTAATATGATCTTCACTATAGGGTGTTAAAGATTGCCAGAGCACTTCAATGCTTGGATTAAACAGATGATTTGTGAAATAATAGTAGAAAGTAAGACATTGCTCGACTGCTGTATTGTTTCTTACAATTGTCGAATAAGTTTGGTCAAATGTTTTCGTGTGATTGATCGTGGCATATCCATATTTACCTGCTGTACATCTACTAGCATTTGACACATCAGTTGGACATGTGTAAACATCTGCATCATCTTGTTTCAAACAAAAGTGCATGTCCCAACCGTTGATCTGATACGGTAAATTGCATATGGACCCATTGATTGGAGTAACTAAGAGATAATCACACATGAGGATTCGACGCCATAGATCAAAACTCACTAATGGAAGTCGCATCTGATGCTGGCCGTTGTGGTTCGGTTGAATCAACAGCAGATCCAGATGAAAATTGAAGATTCAAGCCCATTACTGTCGGAAGAAATGAACACTCAAGTGTTAATCCTGAATTGAAATCACAACTGAATACTGTTGTACGATTCGCATGAGTTTTCATCATAAATGCTACAACTATTGAAAAATCACTATGAAAATGAAAAAATCTCTAACGAATTACTCACCTAAAGCCACGATGGTGATTGAATACATGATTATGCTTGAAATGAAAAGATCAAAGAGAGAGAATTCGGTATTATTTTTCTCGATTAAATACATCACCTGATCGCTTTTTTTCGCAGGTCGAACCAATAATCTCATAGAATCTCAACTTTTCCTTATCATCAAGCAGTTACAGATATATGGCAGTATCAACTCGACGTCATTCAAGATAAGTATAGAAAGCAAATTGATATAACGGATAACGATAAATTCGATGCGAAAGTTAATATTACTAATTCAACTGATGTGCGTATGATTATAGATGCTACTAGAACATCGGCATAGAATCAGTAATCTTGGACCAAGCCGTATTCTCCTTGAGGATAAATATCAACGATACGAAAATAAATAGTATACTTTCCTAGTTGTTTATTTATGCAGATCGCATCTCGGATTGTTTTCGACTTGCAACGAGCATCATTAATAGAGCGTGTTCGAGCAAGAATGAAGTTTACTCTTTTGTTGAATTTGAATCTTCTTGTTACTCATTTCGATTGTCGATCGCAATCACTAGGATATCATCACAAAATTGTTGCTGTTCATACAAACGATAGCAAAATCGTTATTTATCAAATCAGATGATGGATTTATTCATAGAATGGAAACTTTGCACGAAATTCTTGTTTTTATCAATAGTTCACACGGAAAAACGAAATTAGTATAGACTTTTTTGATCAAGTAGATGAATGGATCATGATTTTTTCGCGCGTCACACGAATAGTTTCATAAGAACTACAATTTTCGTATAATCGAACAGTCAAGGAAAACCTCATCCAATCGATTGCATCAAAGGCACAAGTACGAAGTAAAGTGCTCAGCGAATGATGATACATTTTACACGAAAATTCGTGTTAATGGTCGAAGTCGTGAGTGTAAGATAATAAATACCATTGGATTATCTCAAACGACTTTAGCATAACGTGGGAATATACGAGTCATAGATCGTACAGCTTCTCAGTGAGAGTCAATGCTAACGAAACAAAGATTAAATGAAAAAAAAACAAGTGAGTTATATCGAATTTATTGAATAAAAATTAATGACAGACAATACCAGACTTATTTTGAACACAGATATGTTGCTTGATTAATAAAAAAAAAGAACGTATCAACGCGAAAAGGAAACATAAGACACATGACTAACTAAGTACTGAGATGAAAACAAAAACACAGTTCGTAGTTTATAATTCAGTAGCTTGTCGTTTCTTTTTCTGTGCTACTTCACTAGCTTCTTCAGCTGTTTCTTTCGCTTTTTTTGCGGCTTGCTTTCGTGATTCTTTCACATAGTTTTGAGCAGCTTCAAGAGCATCGGCACCTAAATTTACAAAGATATGTCGTTTCCGAAATCATTACGATTACAAAATATTTACCTGCATGACGACCAGCTTTCAAAGCTTCATTGGCTAAAAGAATACGAATGGACATGCACCAAAAACGGCAGTAAGAATGTGTCAAACCTACCTTTATCTCGACTTAATTCGACGGCTTGTTCAGCTATACAGAGTATCAAATAGTAGAGCAGAAAAATGGTGAAGATAACGTACCTAATTTTCGGCCTTTCTTTGGTAAACCAGCTGCTGTTTCAAGTGAAGCTTCATATGCATCAGCACCTAAAGAATTGACATAGAACAAACCGACAAATATTTGGTTAGATAGACTAACCAGCTTGTTGAGCAGCTTTGAGTGCTTCATTAGCTAGTAAATGGGAAATGATGTGATTGTACTGAATTAATTTTAATCTAACCTTTTTCTTTGCCAAGTTCGATAGCGTCATCTCGTAGTTTTTCGCCTCGTTTAGCACTATCTTTTGCGTATTGTTCAGCAGCTTTAACTGCATCGTCAGCGAAGTTTTGAGCTAGAACGATCGATGTTTTTGTTGTAGAGATGAAAAGAAATCCCTTTCAGTTTGTTTCTTTACCTGAAGCTTTAACATCTTCAGCAACTTTAGCTAATTTGTCTTTGGCTAAAGATGTTTACATGTAAAAATGAAAAAGAACGGTCAGTTGTTCTTACCAACTTCAGCATATTCACCGGCGAGTTTGCCTGAAAGAACACTCGATAAAGACGAACGTGAAAGTTATTGTTTTTTCTTACTTCCAGTTTCATAAGCTTGTTCAACTTTAGGTTTAATTGTATCAAAAGCTCCGTCAACAGCTGGTTTAATTGCATCCAACGCTTCAGCAGCCTTATCTTTGACAAATTCGGCACCTTCTGCTACTTTTGGTGCAAGATTATCATAGGCTTCACCAGCTTTTTCTTTGACGAACGCAGCACCGTCTACGACTTGAGGAGCGATATTTTCGTATGCTTCACCAACTTTTCGTTTGACAAATGCGGCACCATCAACAGTCTTGTCTTTGAGTGCTTCGGCACCTTCGACAACTTTTGGTGCAAGATTGTCGAATGCTTCGGTAGCTTTATCTTTTACGAAAGTAGCACTGTCGACAGCTTTGTCCTTAACGTATTCGGCACCGTCTACGACTTTCGGAGCGATGTTTTCATATGCTTCACCAACTTTTTGTTTGACAAATGCGGCACCATCGATAGTCTTATCTTTGAGTGCTTCGGCACCTTCGACAACTTTTGGTGCAGCGGCATCGTATGCTTCTTTTACCTAATAAAAAAATCGATTTCACAGTTCAAATGAAATAATATATCACCTACTGTTTCGACAACTTTATCTTTCAACTCAGCGGCAGCGTCAACTGCTTGTTCTGTGGCTGATTTCTGCTTAGCTAATGAAGCAGAAACGAAAAGTATCAGACAAAGAATTGATATAATTTTGTTCATTTTTTCGGGTAAGTTTCGTGCAGTCTAATGATAAAAATCGTCAAATGAATGAATCTAAACAAAAATACGTATGTCTGTGTGAAACAGTAAAACGAATGCATATGAAATAGAAAAGAGAACCATCTTGGCGAGTCACATGTTTCGAGCTGTCTAAAAACGTGACACGATGCACTACCGCATACACATATATAGCTGCGATTGTCTTCGGCCGATGAAGAAGAAACTATATTTGGCCAAATGAACATGATCTGATATAGAGGGCGCTATATGCCAACGGATTAGTAAATACATCATCGTTCGAAATATTCGTTGATGGAATTTGCATTTACACAATGCTCCTTTTGTGGATTTTTGTCATACGAAATATACTGAGAATGTCCAATTGGTTGGGAAATTTAGCTGGTTGCTATGAGATACAATCCTTATAACGGATGAACTGAAATAAAAGAGATATTTTGTCTGTTCTTCGAGAATCCATTCCGGTATGTAGTCGCGTGCAATAATGAACGATCACAGCTACTCATCTTTTCGTTTGAATCGACGTTCGCTGAAACTTGAATTAGTTGATGGTTCAATTCAAGAAATCGAATACGAATTACCAATTGACCGATACGATCTATTACGCATTATATATCACGATCTGAAATATGATCAAACTTATGATTGGGATACATTTCATGAATCAACAGCATTTATTCGTACAGATAATGGAATCACGACATCATCACCATTGAATTACTCATCAGATGATATCGTATACATTTTAGTTTTGCCTAGCAATACGAAAAGTACGTTCGATGATGTTTATCTGTGTAGAACGTTGCGCTATTTTGATTATCGTTTAGGTCCATTTGAACGATTTAAACAATGGTTATGGTCTTCTTAAAAATATCTACATGAATTTTTGTATTTACACTCTATCTCAATAAAGTCTTTCCTCGCCAAACCGAATTATTTTTTTCATCATCTTTTGTTTTGCTCATATTACCTGTGAATAACCGCGTATCGACTGCTAATATTCTCAGCTTATTTGTTTATCGAGAGATAAATCATCCTCTTTGAAAAATACATCATCACTTATGTTAAAAGGTGATGCACCTACGTAACGAGAATACGTAGTCACAGTATGTTGACTAATTCTTGTTACTTTATAAGCGTCACTCTGCTCCATTCATATGAGTAACTAGTTCCTACAGGTAAGTCATAAAAGTCGTTAAATCATTCGATCACGAAAGCAGTCTTTCACACTTGACTGATTATGCAGTCGATTTCATTTGTATAAATATAGACTGTATTCGAGAAAGTGGACTTTTTCCACTGAACTTGTTTATTGTTAAAATTCTAAAGTGCGTAAATACAGTGGCAAAAACAAATATGTATTGGCTAATTTATCTTATCGTCTATACATCACATACTGATGCATTCATTCCACAACCATTGATTGCTGATGGTGCTTCTACCGGCGAAAGTCAGTTCTGTCTATTATATATTACTCACCCTTTAACGACGAATGTATGTGTTTTCGTGTCACATAGGTATCACACATACAGAAATCACACAAATCGCTTTCATTCGTAGTCTTACCCGGTTCTTCTATGAAACACGCATTGCTCCCAATAATAACAACAATGGTACTGTCAATCAACAAGATTACTTCACTAAACAGCATACTATTGATGATCTCTACAAACTTGCACATCCCGAATACAGTAGTGCACAAGTCGAGTTCTATTCACTTCCTTTGAAATTCACACTGGATTTGGTGATGACATACAATGCTTTGGTTGATTTCGATCCAAGTACAAGAATATTATCACCTGCACATTTCGATAGTGAAGCTTTCAACAATGGCAGTCGCCGCATTATACAGCTCCGACAAAAGGGTAACTAGTAGTTCACTACCTGAACTTTATCTTTATAATATTTTTCAGTATTGAATGAATTACGTACTCCTAACAGAGATCTAACTGATGCGCGGCAAAAGACAGGACAGTTACTTCATACCCTGCAAGATTTCTATTCACATTCTAACTGGGTAGAAATGGGTAACACTGATGTGAACACTTTGATCGGACGAAACGAAACCGTTGGACAAGTTGCTGCACCAAATCAAGCGACATGTTCTGATACGGGTTGCACTAAGAAAACACAAAAATGTGTAAGTAATGGAAATACTTTATCTTTGTCATGCACTGTCATCTTCTATTATTAGTCTCTTTGGCAAAAAATTACGATAAGAAAATGTCCACTGGTGTATTATGATTGTACTAATAACATTTTAGCTGCTATCAATCGCCAACGAATACTCACAAGTGGCTACTTGTTCAATCAGACAGGTGAAAATGGTCAACCACTGAATAAACCAGCTAATGTTGGTAAATGTTCACATGGTTCTGTTTCGGATGATTCGGCAAATGTACCAGCCATCGGTGGAATCAATAAAGATTCGAACAGTTTACTCTTTTCACCACATGCAAGTCTTCAGTAAGAGAGAGTTTTTGAGTGAAGATGGTGCGGTGCAATGTGGTGTTTTGTTTTTCAGTTATCAAGCGGTTGAATTTGCAATCAATGCAACTGAACATTTTTTCAATGATCTTCGTCAAGAGATTGGCAATGATAGTTTTGATCGTCTTTTCGTGATTAATCCAGCGGACGCTGTCGCACAAGAAATCTCGAATGAAGTCGCACAAGGAAAACGATTTCGATTCTTCACACCATATATCACGGCTAGTGTGAAGAAATCTGATGATTTCATTACCAATTTGAAGAATACCATCAAATATGCTTATAACAAAGTGCTATCCTTTCTCAGCAACATAGTCTCGAAGACCAGTATCAGTGTTCCCACGTATGATATAAGTGATATGGGAGTGAATATAAAAGATGCTGACAATGTGCGTGCTGCACCATTTGTTCTAAGCAATCAGAGTAGTCGACGCAAGAGACGTTTGATCCATGATCTTCGTAGACGTGCATAATGTTCATGAACAACACATTAAAACGATCATTTAGACAAGTAATACAGAACATTCTTTTTCTTCGCATACGTCGATGTACGTAGTTGAACCCGAAACAGCACATTGAACATTGCATACTTCGATCAGAAGTTGTCTTATTTCACCTGACTACATGTGACTGTGCATAAATAAAAATTTACATACGCTTGTGAACAGAGTTAACATTCTATTTTCATTTCTTTTTATTACAAAACTCCCTGCAAAAAATTCTCGGATACGTTGGAGAAAGAAAAGTACGACGGATCGCCTATAACCATTGTTGAAAGTCATAGTTCAGTCTACACCTTGTTTATCATGTGCTCGATTACATTTGCAATACTGCCATGGATAAAGTCAAACCCTATTATGGACCAACCATCAACGTAACATTGTCTTGTGAAGGAAAAAATAGACATTTTTCTCCAATAAATACAATACGATTCTTTATTGGGAGAAAGTTCTTTCAAGAATCTAAACTTGATAAAACTACTAGTAGTCGTATCTGGGAGAGATCGAGAAGAATGTTTACTGCATGAGCCTTTGGTGATTGATATGCTATCCACTATAAAAGTGAAGCCATTAGTATCATTGTCACTACCACGATAGAATTGTAAGTGAACTAATCAGTAGTTGATACAAAGATAACGTTTTTCAACAGCAGATATGAAATCTTACGAGAACCTACGTTGATTCTATCATGAAAGTGGTACTAATTCTATATCATTTATTTCTTGCCTGTGGTGTCACCTCAAAATTGGTATTATCAATTTTACAACATAGAGCATACATAATCGCCACAGCACCTCAATTGTCTAATTAAACAAATGATTCGTAAAATAGTAATCGAATGTTAGACAATACACACCTGATAATCCCTCTCTTTATTTATTAATCTCGTCCTATATATCTGGTGGAACGATTCAGTCTGATTTATTGTAATATATGCATATTTGTCGGCACGATTATAGTTCCCCTCTAATGTTAACAAACTGAAAAATTTCACCGCTTGCCCATTCACTTATTTTTGACACATCAGTTAGACATGTGTAGTAATACATATCACTTTTATTCAAACAAAAGTTCATGTTTTAACCATTGATTTCATATGAAGTCGTTGATTGGAGTAACAAAGAAGTGGTTTTATGGCATTCGATGGAATACAACGAAACATACTGATGGACGCCACGTCCGAGGTTAATCGTCCTGGTTCAGTTAGACCAACCGAAAATCCAGATGCCACTGAAAGTTCTTCTCATGATGTAACAGGAAGAAACTCGCAATTCTCTTTGAATCTTGAATTAAAATCACAACTGAACCATAGTCTTTTATCAGCGTCAGTTTTCACCATAAATATGAGAGTTATTCAACAATATCATGAGAAGGATAAAAGAGAAAAACATTCATTGAGTTCTTACATAAAATAGCGATGATCACTGCATGCATAATTGTAGAAAGAAATAAAATAATCAAGGAAAAAATAACTTATTATTGACTTTTTCGATCTAGTAGATCAACGGATTATGTATTTTTCGCACGTCACACGAACAGTTTCATAAAATCTACAGTCTCTGTATTGTTAAATAATAGTTGAAAACGTTTTGAGATAGGCGAGAATCTCTTGTCAAATCACCGTCATCGAAAACCAGTGTCTTGTATGTGGTGCAGCGATTGACGAGTCAAGCCTTGGATGGAAGTGTATAGATATTACTGGAATATCACAATTGACTTTATCATCGCATGAAGATGAATGTCACATGTGTTCGAGATTTCTTAATACAACTGTATAAATTCGATATAAAAAATATAGACAGATGAATTTTATGGAATTTATCTAATATACTGTAAATGAAAATCGTTCTACTTATAAATTACAACGCGCGGCAAACGTATGGATATATTTCGATTATTTTCATATCGATACCGTCTTAAAGTCGATATCTGTTTGATGTTAAAGGCGTGTTCAAGATCAGAAATCAAAAACATGTTCTTGAATATGAATTCGAACTTTCAAAATAACGTTTCTAGAGTGACTTTTTATCATCAAATTAAATGAATTCTGTCGCATTTTAGACGTTTTGACACCATATTTCTATAGGTGTTTGTTCGCTTTTACTGAGGAAATGTATTGCATATTCACATAGTTTGACGTTTTCGTCTCGTTCAAATGTTCATTAAGCCGGTAAATCTTCTATCATTTGGTCGAACTATGATTCTTTTCTTAATCATCAATTGAAGAGAAACACCAGGTCAAGTGGTATCAGCTTTTGTTTTGCAAGACATTCGTTACCTTACGATTATAGAATTCCCAGTTAAATTTATTCAGATAAATTTCCTAAATAACAACATATAATGCGTATTCACAATGGCAATGAACATCTTAAGTGTAGAAGATGAGAAAAAATAGGAACGGTAATAGAATACAAAACTTTTCAAATATAGTTCTTTCGATCAATACTGGATGATCGTCATCGTATTGTACAAGCTTACTCTTGCTTTGTGCAATATGAAAAATAAGACTTCCATCTCGAATCAGTGGTCTTTGTTTCTCAAATATCAGTCGATTAGAAATGTTCAGTTCTTGACCCATACATATAAAACTTGCGTGGTCTTGACAGTTCTTGCCAAAATTATAGTCGATGATTTTTAGAAAATCACTTCGCGTAAATTTTCCAGGGATCTTCGACACTATTCGTTCTCCAGATGTTGTAATGAAGTACAACGTTATCGAGGTATCTTTCTAAATAAATAGAAGAGAGTGAAAAGATATTCTTCGACGAACATTTACTTTGCTTTCTTCTCTGATTGTTTGATTTCGCTCGCATGATGGTATTGTTTTGCCTATTAGGATTACAGCTCCATTGTTGATTAATTTGCTTTTCTGAATCTGAAAGGCAGCTGGATCGTTCAATAGCAAACGTCTACCCTTGCAGAAAAATACACAATCTTCGACAGCATTGTCATATATTTGACTTCTTATCATATGAAGCATGTCACTTAATTGAAATTCCTTAGGCAATGTGATCAGTGTACGTTTTCCAGGTATCGTAACAAAATGAAGATTTACGCTGGACATAGTTCTATGAACTTCTGATATTTTTGTTCTCCTTTATCTGAAGATGGTCTCTTGTTTTTACCAACATGGTTATATACTAAAATTAGTTATCTATGTGAGAATGTTATTGCGCCACCAGTATTTATTTTGACACGTACACTACGTCAGAGAAACAATGTGTCAGTTTTTTTCCTGATAAGATGTGTACACGAAAAGGAAAAATGAATAACAGATGACACGTTAGGTAAATCATGCTACAAAGTAATGACTTCCGTAGTGCTAATGAAGATATTGCGTATAATAACTTATTAAACATTCCGAGGAAGAAAAACATCATTTTATTTTTTTTTCTATTCTGTGCATGACTTGAATATCAGTGTCATGTATAAATGTAGAGCAAAATAAAAGTCGATGCATGAGGAATATACAAAACCTATATTATATGCGAATTTAATATTTGAATGTGTCATCAAGGTAAAGCGAAAAACGGCTCAAGGACGATTCTTTACCTGTGACATATGTATGAATATATGTATATACTTGACTAGCACATGTTACAGATAAACAGATACAAGCCAAAGTAAATGTTTCGTTCCTATCAGCGCTATCCCCATCGGTCAGCTAGCAACATACGTGGTGTGCACCATAGACGTCATAATGCTATGCCATATCCCAGGGCTCGATTATCTCATCGACAAATGATGATTCGTCGCCCAAGGTATTATTCAATACCACCATCTCGTCCTGTACAATCTCTTGGCTTTTTTGAAAGTATACTTGCATTCCTTGCTACACTATTCTGTCTAAACAGAAGTAGACCCGGTCGAGGCACATCGAGTGGGGGAGGTGGTGGTATTACTAGTGGTGGTGGAGGTGGTATTACAAGTGGTGGTGGCGGAGGTGGTGGTAGTACTAGTGGTGGCGGTGGTGGAGTGACAAGTAGTGGAGGAGGAGGCGGAGGTGGAACAAGTGGTGTTGGCAATGGCGGAGGAGCAAGTTGTGGCGGTGGAGGAGGAGCAAGCTGTGGTGGTGGCAGTGGAGGAGCAAGCTGTGGTGGTGGCGGTGGAGGTGCGAGCTGTGGTGGTGGCGGCGGAGGTGCAAGCTGTGGTGGTGGCGGTGGAGGTGCGAGCTGTGGTGGTGGCGGCGGAGGTGCAAGCTGTGGTGGAGGCGGAGGAGGTGGTGATTAAGTTACTGAGAGCATATATAGTGCCAGACTTTTCAAAATTTTAACGTGAGATGAAAAATCTAACAGGAAAACTACATGATCACGTTGATAAATAACGAGTATTATAACCAGTACCGGCAACAAATATGACTCTTACTTGTACATAAACTTACGATGAATAATTGAATAGAATTTATAGTTTTTAGGATGACTATACGTGTTTTAATATGCCAAAAACAAATACTGGAACCAGAGGATAGTATGTTTAAATCAGTGCAATTTGTTCATTCTTTTGGATTTCGCTAATACTTAGTCTTTGATCATTGCTCATATGGCAGTTTGTCAATATTAATCATATGAAAGATCGGTCCTTGATAGTCACGAAGTATCGAGTCTCGTCGTGTTGAAATCATCGTTACTGTCACGATTAATTGAAATAATACTGGTTCACATCAGCGTCGTATCTACTGATTTGTATGTGACAATTTCCACAATTCATGAAGATCCGTCATCTATTATGGTACATTTAACTACTCACTTTCTAGTGTACATACGTTAGCAGATGAATACGCGCTCTTCTTATCGTTCTACATATACTGTCGTGAATAATGAGTCATCTCCTATTCGGTGCGTTCTCCTTCCTAGTTTCACGGTATATATTCAGTAGCATTGTAAACAAGTATCGAACACAAGCAACTCAATATACAACAGGTACGTATCACTTGTGTGATATATTTATTTCACTGTCCGACGCATTACACAGGAGCAAATATTTTACGTATACATTCCTTTACATACGCGACCATACATCACGTGGTACGGAAGCGTAACGTTGTTGGAAAACAATGATTCGTTCCTATAATCGATATCCCAATAGGGCATCAAGTGGTTCCTATCGATATTCACAAGCACAAAATAATGCTCGACGATATCCTAGGCCACAGTTCTCCAACCGGCAAATGATGTACCGTCCAATGAATTATGCATCGGCGCCGCCAGGTCAACGCCCTGGCTTCTTCGGCGCAATTCTTGCTGCATTATTCGGCCTCAATAGTAGTCGACCAGTTGCGAGACCACCATATAATAATTATAATGCGGGTAGAGGAGTATCGCCAGGCAATATCGGTGGTGGTGGCGCAGGATACGGCGGACCTGCAGGATGTGGTGGACCTGCAGGATGTGGTGGACCTGCAGGATGTGGTGGACCTGCAGGATGCGGTGGCGGCGGTGGTGGATGTGGTGGTGGAGGCGGTGGCGGTGGTGGATGTGGTGGTGGTGGTGGAGGCGGTGGCGGTGGCGGTGGTGGATGTGGTGGTGGCGGCGGCGGTGGCGGTGGTGGATGTGGTGGCGGTGGCGGTGGCGGTGGTGGATGTGGTGGCGGCGGCGGTGGCGGTGGTGGATGTGGTGGCGGCGGCGGTGGCGGCTAACTGGATCAAGAATGTCAATTATATCATTGAAACGTACTTTGTAAACTAACTATTGACGAAGGATCCCAAAAGAGATAAACAACAGTGACAATAATTGAATTCCCATCTTCCAGACTACTATTTTACTCTTATTCCTAAGATTCTATTCTAATTATAATATCATCAGTAGATAAAGACACATCACGATATTACTACTCGAGAAACAATTTAATTGTTTGTGCTTTGTAATTTTTTTTCTGCCAATTAAGATAAAATATTGAATACAAATATAGTCCTAATGTTAGTTTCCCACTTTGTACTGCATTTCAAGATGCATATAAACTTACCAAAATCAGCCACATAGGTAATGCATATGCGACTTGAAGTACGAAGAACAATCTCGGCCAAATGTGGCAAATTCGTACAGATACAAAACTCATGCTTGTTCAGTCATCTGAAAACTGCCAGAAAAATACGTTAAAACCGTGATTACCTCCGTTGTTATCACACTGTCACATCACACACTTCTAACAAGTTACGGCTCTCTCTTTATTTCTCTTGCATGAACGTTCTGTGCAAGCAGCGATATCTGGCGGATAGAAATAAAGAACGTTCAACGTATTAACAAATGATATTTCAACTCACATATGGATATATCGATCAACTGACCAGTGACCATTCAAGGAATGAGAAATGGCTGAGGACCATGATCATGAAGATATTTCGTTTAGAACCTCATCTTCGATTGATCTCATCGATATTCCATTGAAAAACACGGATTTCAATTCATCACTGGACACTTACTCGAATGTATTCGATAAAAATCGTCATAATTTCAGCGCCAGTTCAGAAATTCCATTCATTAATCAGAATAATGACCAGCCATTATCTACGGAATACAACAGAACCTTTACTAAAGAAGTATCGAAAACCATTATCAATGCTTTCACAGGAAAACCAATTAGTCCCAATCCTTGGAGAAAACTATGTACAAAAAATATTCAACGTCAAATAGAAACAGACATTGCCATGTCAAATGACATTTTGTCACCAAATTTACAAACGGTTGAACTGCAACGTATGAAAAATGAAGTAAAATTGAGAAACTGAATAATCTTCTTTTCAAATTTAGCAGCTCCATTAGACCAATTCAATAATCAGCCCGTACGTCACTCACGCAAGTACGCAGTTTATTTCGAACGTGCAATATACCCTTGATTTATTCTTTTTCTCTCTAGAGATATGGTTCACAATCAGCGCGCTAAAGACAGTAGTATCGAAGATGAAGCATTCGAACAGTGTAGGTTTTCATCCGCAATCATTTCCGACCAATAATGGTTGTCATAGTTTTACAAGGTCATCAGAGTCCAACTGCGATTCAACAGCAGAACATTACACCGATTCACCGACGACGAAAGAAACGAAATAGGTATTTCATGTTTTATACCATTACCACAAATATTTTGTTTCTGTGTAACTCTAGTCAGAGGGATTCAATTGACAAATTGTCATCTTCGTCCGAAGAAATCGTCAAGGTGCCTCAATTCGCTACTCCTACGAAAACAAGTCCATTTATTCGCGATGATCCATCGTGGCATAGGTAATCCAATTGAAGAAAAGTAAATTTATACGAAAATATTCATCGTAGACTAGCTGATGTTTATACTTCCGAAGATTCGGATGAGAAAACTCACTTATTATCAGCCAATTTGAACTACAGGTGAGTTCGACAGAATACTCTTCACACTGATCAAACCTAAAATGATTTTTTCCGGCGTTCTAGTCTTCATCTGAAATCCGAAGTTTATACATCAGACCAATCCTCGAGTTCGTCTTCATCATCATCGAAAGTTGACAGTCGACTATCAGCAACAGGTAGCGATAGAAAAACAATATTCAATTTTCTTCAATCGCTTGCTGAAAATATTCCATTTGAACAGAAACATCCGAATGCACAACCGTATGTCTTTCTCCGTTTCTTAGTAACATGTATTGTTCATGAACTGATGTTTTGTTTCATGTAGATATTTCATGCACTCAGATTTTAATCTTAAAAACAAACGACAAGAACTCGCTGATAAACTTTTCACTCTATACAACCAAGATGTTTTCTCTTCAAAAGTAAATTTTATACATATTATATAATGATGAAACTCGTTTTGTTCTCCGACATTGTAGCTGTCAGATAAAGTCACCGTCGTTTGGAGTGGTCGTCTTACTGCAACGGCGGGTCATTGTACTACTCGCAAGGCAACACGCACCGCCGTGATTACACTTTCGCATAAAGTGTGCGATTCGCCCGGTTAGTTTAATCTTCTACGCCAAAAATATGAAGAAGAATATCTCCATCTAGAACGTTGCCGTGATACACTTCTGCATGAAATGTGTCATGCAGCTGTAACTCTTATTGATGGCGTCATGGAATATGGCCATGGACCTTTATGGCGACAATGGACCTCTATAGCTGCAAAATCGTATCCATACCTACCACCGATATCAGTTCGCCATACGTACGATGTGGCTTATAGATTTATCTATCGTTGTGGTCAATGTCTGCATGAAGTCTATCGACACTCGAAATCGCTCGATTTAGAAGTGGACTATTGTGGTAAATGTATGGGGAAATTTGATTTGATTACCAATGGGATCAAAGATGAAACACAAACACCGAAAAAGGCAGCTAATAAATACAATTTATTTGTTAAAGAAAACTTTCAAGCAGTGAAACAGGCGAATCCTCATTTATCGACACCACAGTTAATGCGACAATTGAGTAAAGAGTATAAACTTCAGAATGAACAACAGAAAATGATTGATTTACCGAATTTTGATCAATTGAAATTGTAAATTTTTGTCTTCCCTCTCCTTCCTTTCTCTCTCTCTCTCTCGTCTAGTCAGATATTCCATTTTTTTTGTAATTCGAAATGACCTTTTCTTTTCTATCAGATGTCTTACGTATTTTCTGTGTATGTATTAGAAAATCAACGAATGAATTCGTTTTTCTCAACATCAATTGAAAGACTTTCAAAGTTTATTACATTTCAAATTCTACATCGATATTGAGTGTAAAATTATCGAAGAATCTCATTGGTTGTATACAGGTGTCTATGAATTGAATTGGTAGCCAAGTTTGAAAGTCATGAGCTTTGATTCCGTCTCTACTTGAACGGTACCTTTCAGCGTAATACAAGTGTACAGTTTCTTCGGTTGATATTGGCAAAGTAGCGACATTTATTTGACGAGCAGGAACTGTGAAATTTGTTCCATATGGATCATCAATTGAACACGGATTGATCGTGATGTCTTTCAGATGTTCGGGTGGAGCTCCTCCATCAGCACAATAGTTCAATTGACCGAGATACGTCCAATTTCCAAGTATCTTAGTACTGCGATAGATTCGTGCATCCGAACCCCATTGACAAAAACAACAATCGAAGGATAACATCGTGTAATAGAATTCTTTTCGTTTGAACATTCCACCTCCACCATACCATGGAAAATCATCTTTTTCAAGGATAATTGCCGATTGTCCAGTACTTGCCATCCAATCTGGTGACAGTTTTTCTACGATATGTCTCGATGGTTTATCACGTGTATTGTACCGAACATACGCTGTACTATCGCCGTCGACGAATAGATTAATCGTGTCACTGATTATTCTTCCACCTTGCATTTCCAACGGCTGAACATTAACGAACGGACCATAGGGTGTCGATGAAACAGCAATTGCAATACGAGAATTTTGGAAACCATATCTGCTCGACCAATAAATCATGACGTATTGTTTCGTTCGAGGATTATAATCAACATTCGGCATCCAATAAGTGATATGTAAATTATCCTTCATCATTTCCGGTACAATATTATTGCTGATCAATGTCCATTGAACAAGATCCGGTGATGTATAAAGAGAGAATGTATTGTTTATATAACCACATATACCATCACAAACTGTTGTCGATTGACGACATTGGTCGTAAACGGTCCCATACATAAAGTAAGTTTTATTGAATTTCACTAGACAACCATCGTGCGCATTGACAATATTTCCATTTGTATCCAATCGAGGAACAACATTCGAGATGACGATCTGCTTGCTAAAAGCAAGCCAAACTTTCGACAGAAGAAATATCCAAAGAAACTTCATTGACGAATGAATGACACAACTATATGCTTATTTCAACAGAATGACGGTGAAAATATTTTTATCTTATCTTCTGCTGTTGAGATAACAACACTTACATGTATTTTCGATTAATACATAATGAAGATAAAAATAGAAAATAAATCAAAATGATTTAAAAGATTAAGATGATTTTTAATTATAAATGAAACAGAATAGTGCAAATGCAGACATTCCTTCGATACAACAAAATGCAAAGAATCATTTTCTTACTTCTGACTTTCACTGTTTCAACCGGTGGCCTATTCTATGGAACTACAGATCTACCTGATGGTGATGCTGAAATGTTCTGCTCCATACAAGCTGGTTTCGATATTGGACGAGATCTACCCGAAGAATGGACTTGGAACTACTCTCAAATACCGAAAGGGCAATGGTTTCGGATGCATGGTCAAATTCGTCGTATGTCTTATGATGCACCGGATTCAGTTCTTCGTCGTGATGATCCTCAACGGCAAGGCAATTGTTATTTTCAAATAGAATCGAATACGATGACGGAATACATTCAAAATATTCCATTTCCACGAGCTACTGCGATGAGTACGCCGTACAATTATTACTTTTCGGCTTCCATGTTCGATGACAGTGGTCGAGTTCGTATCGCTTTAGAATGGTACGACGAGCACAATCGATTAATGAATTCGACTAGTATTCAATCGAATAACCAAATCGATTCAGGTGAGAACTGAATGAAAACAATGATTAAAATTGAATTGATTTTCTCTCGTACAGACAATGTTTCTCGATTGAATGAAGCGAAACTTGGAAAAATTGTGCAAGATGCCCAGACAATGTTAATTCGAATCAAAACGAACCCGTTGGTTTCGAAATCAGAACCAATGTCGTATTCAATTGATATGATTCACGTGGTTTTCTTTCCGGACCATATTTTCGGCAATGGACGACCGTCAAAATGATTTGTCTTGCTCTCTTCGATGAGTTTAATGAGAATATGTTCTAATGAATATCGTTAAATCACGGATGACAACTAAGTTCAAAGTTAGAATAGGTCATGATTGGAAAAGAACATCGTACGTGCACCAGATGACTGAAAATCCATTAGAGATAATAGCATAATCACATTCTTTTCTTTTCAATTCATCGAATATTTATCAACTACAACAGGAATTCTATATTCCACCTAATTATTTGCATTAGGATGTACTGATTGACATATAAAACAGAACACAGTCATGTATTGATCATATCGAGTGAAAGTAAAAGTCAAATCAACAAATAGACTATAAAAATTCTCATCGATAATGTCAGAATATGAATCATATGAGGAAATCAAGATGTTGTTCAAACGAATGACTCAAAAAGTGATATATTCGAGAAATTTCTCTTTGTAGAGTCTCGATGTTATTGCTGAAACCATTCGAAACAAATTTGAGTCCGTCTTTCGCATCATTGGATCGCTGCTGTCGCATTTTCCCATTCTTAATCGATACTAAACGATAAACATTTTATTTTTCTTCTTCCCCCGCTAGCATCTTTTGCCATATATGACGTATTCATTAATGCAACAGATGGTCAGCTTTAATCACATTAGAACAAGAAGAAAAAACAAGATGAATAAAGTTTGATTCAATCGACATTCATTGTCGTCTTTCTTTTTTATCAACATCAGCAATATCCCTTCGTCCCGACGGCAAAAAACATCCTTCTCTTTCTAATAATTAAATAAAAATGCTTAAAGTTACCGTTCATAATGCTGAACACATACCCAACGTCGAACGTTTTACTAGTGTGGATCCACTGGTTCGACTGATTTTTCAAGGTATGTACGTGTCTAAACTTTACTAAACATATTTATTCATTTCTGTGGGCGGTTAATGGTGATATAAAAGAGAATAGAGTGTATGAGAGATGTTTTATGATTGATGTAACACAGCGCACACGATGGGTGACGTGAAAAACGATGGAATTATGAGAATTATCGTGCATAATGCTGAGAAAGTGCCATTGACCGAACGTTTTCGAGGATCGCCCGATCCCTATGTGAATATTTTTTGTTATGGGATAGTTTGATAGTTTCTAATTGAATTCAACGTATTCATTCGTTTTCTTGTCGATTAGGAGTGAAAAAACAAACAAACTGGCAACGCTCAACATGTGATCCCAAATGGGATGAAGTAAATCTGACTGCGAGTTTGATTATTTTTTCTCTTATCAATCGGATTTTAGACACTCGATTTCCCGTTGAATGGTGTACCCATTCAAAACAATGATATTCTCGAAGTTCAGTTGAAAGATCATGAAACTATTGGGTCAAATAAGTAACTATCGAATGAGTATGAAATTTATCTGTATGCCTCCATTGGATACATTATTAGACTCATTGGGCAAAGTACAGTACCATTGAGTGAAGTACTGCGTGTTGGTACAATAAAACGTCGTCTCGTTCAGCTAATGAATCCTCAAGGTGTCGTTCTCGAAGCGGTAAGTTTCTAAACAAAAGAAGATCTTCTCTATTTTGAACGATAGACGAAACTATACATTACATTGGAATACGTTTCACCTACGGGTGGTGGAAAAGTACCAACGAATGGAAAAGCCGGTAAGGAAGAATAAATACGAGTATGTGAGTATCGAAGTGTGTGTCTTCTTAGCAACCGATTCAAATCAATTCGATGATGTACCACTGCAAAATGGCGGTGACACATCCTGGCAAGCAGATTCTACAGCTGATCTTGCTTTTAAACGACAAAATAAACCACGATCAACAAAACCTCAAGATTTTCAAGTGAGTTTAACTATTCATTTTGTTGAAACTTATGAGTGAATTTCAGATTCGAATAAAAATCTTTCAAGCTCGACAATTGGACGGAAGTAATCTACATCCAGTATGTCGGGTGCGTGTCATTGGAGACGTTAAACAAACAAAAATTCAAAAAGGAACAAATCAACCGTATTTCAACGAAGTCTTCTTTTTTAATGTTCACATGTCTGAAGCTGAATTGTGTGATGAAATGATCGAATTTGAAGTTTGCAATTCACGAACACTTCGATCGGATATGAAAATTGGAACGTTCAAAATGGATATCAACTACATCTATGCACAAGCAAAACATTCCATCAATCGAAAGTGGTTGTTATTGAGTGATGATGATGATAAAATGTCCGGTTCAAAAGGTTATCTGAAAGTAACAGTAAACATCTTAGGACCAGGCGATGAAGCACCGGTATGACTATTCCATCAATTCGATAAAACAAAGTTTTGTATCGAATGTTTTTAGGCGCAAGAAAATGATGGCGATGATGATGATATTGAAAGTAATCTACTAAGACCAGCGGGTCTTATGCTTCGGCCAGCAACGTTTATTCTAAAAGTATACAAAGCCGATGATTTACCAAGAAGTTCGTTTTGTTCGGAAGAAGAGCTAAACATTGTTTCTCTCTCTTTCGTGATTGTAGTGGATAGTGCATTTTTGCATGGAGTGAAGAAGATCTTTCATGCTACGGATGATATCAAAGAATTGATCGATCCATACGTCAATTTTTCATTTGCTGGTCAGCAAGTATCATCAAAAATTGTTTACACATGTTCACATCCGGAGTACAATCAAGAACTTCGACTCGGCCTTAAAGTAAGTTGTTGCGGTCTTTGATCGGATTGCTTTCATTGCCATGTAGTTTCCATCAATGTGTGACAAAATTACATTGACTGTTATGGATTGGTAAGTTAACGTTTAGTTTTCATTTTTCTTTCGACTCGATACATCTTGAGAATATGATTATAACAAACCTGACATGTACAGGGATCGACTACAATTCGATGATACAACGGGCTGCGCTTTGCTTAACATTAATCGATTATGTGATGATCGAGAAAATGGTACTGATGAATGAATGTTGATTTTGTTTTACTTTTCTATTGCACATTTATATGTTTTCATTCGAATACGAATTCATCATCATTGGTTGGGTATTTTGTCTTACTTTTCATTTCATTCAAGGGACAAATTCACGCGTGATGAAAAGGCTGGAACGACTTCTCTTAAGATAATACTTATCAGTCAATTGAGCGATAAGGGTATTCATTCTTAGAGTTCGATGCGCTTCGTAGATTGAGACTAGGATTCCATTGATGATTAGATCTGCTGGTATAGAAATGCTTGCTTTTCAATATATGTTTTGCTTTGATGCTGAAGGGATCGGTTTACACACAGCGATATGATTGGTGTTGGTTTAATTGATGTTTTCACGAGAGATAATGGTAGAAATCAGAATGAATGTGAAGGCATACTGATTCGATTTGTTTTTCAGGTTTTCTACCAACATTTGGTCCAAGCTGGATCAATCTTTATGGTGCGCCACGAGAATACTCCGATGTTCCGACTGCATTGGACGATCTAAATAGTGGCAAAGTAAGTTGACCAGAAAGAATCACGTTCATAGTTCTGATATCTAATTTTTCCATCGTAGGGTGAAGGTGTCGCTTATCGTGGTCGAGTGTTTGTTGAATTACAAACCATTCTTGGTGAAACGCCGTCTGAACCAATCGGTGAAATATCAAATTCGGATCTTGTTCGAGTATTACCATATCAAGCACGTAAAAAGTATAAACTCCATGCCGCATTTCTTGATGCGTGTATGCTATACGAACATGAATCGACGCTGGAATTCGAAATGAGTATCGGTAATTACGGTAATAAATTTGATGATCTCGTTGGTGCTGCAAGTTGTTCAACAACACCACCATCGAATCCTGTTTTCGATGGAACATCTTATTACTTCCTACCATGGGGACATACGAAACCGTGTGTACAAGTCGCTAGTGAATGGGAAGATGTTAGCTTTCGTCTAGAAGCGATGAATCAATTGTCCAAAATAAAATTGTTCATCGTATGATCATCATCGGGGTTTGATTTTCCACTGTACTAGGATATTGTTTTGTATTTAGACGGGTCTTCTCTCAACATTAGACCTATTGAAAATCAAACAGACATCTGATGAAGTTCTCATGCGACATTACAAGCAATCACTTGACTTGGTCATTGGTCATTTGAAGTAACATGAAGATGATCTTGTTTTTAAATTAAGTTTCTCTATGTCTAGAAAACCGTTACCTGAACCTGAACCTGGCCGTCATCATACAAATGAATTGGATCGTTTACGACGCAACATGCGTTTGAAAGATCTCAAGGATATGATAAGCAGACTAGAGAATTTGAAAACGCACGCGAAGTCTTCGCAGGAAATTATCAATACATTGGAAGATATTCGAGAGAATCTTGAATATCTGGAAGCTGAGGTAATCCGACTTGTTCGTTGGAAAAAATGAATATATGTACGTAAATCATTTAGCCACAAGTTAGTATTCCTGATGTGATCATTTGGTTATTATCGAATGGCAAACGTTATGCATATTATCGTATTCCCGCGAATGAAGTGTTTTACTCATCCAATGTCGATCGTCGTGGTCGACTTTGCGGTAAAGTGCAGACAGTGACAATGAAATGGCCGGGAAAAGAAAGCGATATCGAAAAAGACAGACGCAATTTTATTCCAGCGGAAATCAGAGTGAAAATCTGGCTAGGCCTTGCTACTCATGAACAGGATTGGTTATCACAACAGAAAGGCGCAGATTTAGCGATTTATGCAGAAACGTATGAAAATCAAACGAATGTTTTGGGTCAATGGACGTCATCAGGACCACTGATGAGTCGACCAGCATGGTCGGATGCTACCGGAACGGTATGGATCCTCTAAGTTGAGACTGTTTTCTTCACGGAATTGAAACTTTTTAGATCAGCTTACCGAAAAAGAACTTTCAATTGCCACCCAAATGGCGATGGGATGGTGATTGGTACATCAGTCCAGAAATAAGGTTTGATGAGTGTCTGTAGAAAGAGATTTTTACCGTGTAATTTAGTGCTCGATATGCTGAGGATGCTGGACATCGAAAGTTTACGGAAGAAGTGTACGAACATCAATATCGTTTGATTGCTGGTGCTCAATGGCAACCGAAGGCTGTCCCATGGACGGATCTGGTAAGAAAGTCGTGAAAGGAAACAACGAACTACTTATTCTATTGCGTGTTAAGGCTGGGGATAAAGTGCCGAGTAAAGATGAACGAACGGAGCCACCATCAGGATGGGTTTGGGAAGATGAGTGGACGATCGATTCCAATCGAGCTGTTGATGAAGAAGGTAAATATTTTTGATGATTGATATGCGGTCTAATTTCGCAAGCTAGGTTTTGAATATTGTGTTAATCAAACTCTCGGTGGATGGTGTTCAACCGAAAAAGTATTTCATTTGAATCGTCGACGACGTTGGTATCGAAATCGTATTATCAAAATCGATGCAACACCTGAAGAACGAAAAGTAATTGTATTTGATAGATGTGTTCTGTTTGATTAACTCGTATTTCAGGATAATTTTCTTTTCTTTGACGCGTCGGATGAGCGAACTGCACTGCTCGGTTCATCCGATGACAGAGAAGTGGGTTTTAGATTTCCCTTAGATTTAGTTTCCACCTAGTTGTAGTTCGATAAGTCCATCATTATTCTAATTTTCTATAGAGAAAAGATCTTCATGAGCCATTGAAAAACGACGGATGGGAATACGCTCCGATGTTCAATATGAAATTTCACGCTGATGAACGTAGCATGGATATGACACGTCGTCGACGCTGGCATCGAAAGATGGTTCCATCTGCTGAACAGACATTCGATGCTTCAGGCACTGAAGTTGCAACTAATACGGATATTGTTTTTCGAATGCAATCTCAAGTACCAGCAATTGCTGATTCACCGATGAAATCTGAACAGCAAGAACAAGAACACTCCGATGAGTCACCCACTACTGTTGCAACAACGAAAGAAGTGAAAATTGAATTGAATGCACCGAGAATGTATTTAGCTTTTAAAAGTACTTGTCTATCACCAATATATAGGAGAGAGTAGGACTAAACTTGTTTAATCTTTGTAGAACCTTATTATTATGAACTTCGTGCATATATTTATCAAGCAAGAAATTTGATCTCGGCCGATAACGATAGTTTTTCAGATCCCTTCGCTCAAATTGCATTCATTAATCAAAGTCAACGTACAGAAGTCATTGAGAAATCCTTATGTCCTACATGGGATCAAGTAATTGCTTTTCTTTCGTTCCACTCTATTCAGTCGATCGTTTTGTTTTCTCATTTAGACATTGATCTTTTCAACTGTTGAACTATTCGGTGAACCTGACGAAATCCATCACGATCCGCCGAATATTCTTATTGAACTATTTGACAAAGATCAATATGTAAGTTTTAATCAAACTATCCATCATGATGACGATATGTTTGTACATGTTCAGGGCGCTCCGGATTTCCTCGGTCGTGTGCAATGTGCGCCTATTGTTCGTTTAACACCTGACGAAACTAAACCAGCAATCAAGTTGAAATGGTTTCCAATTAAAATCGGCAAAGATGACGCCGGAGAATTATTAGCTGCTTTTGAATTGTTTTTGGTAAACGGTGGAAATAGATCAACTAGTTGATCAATCTTGTCTTTTTCTAGTTACCGGAAACTGACAGCGAGAAGAAAATGCCTCCACATCCGCCAAAACGTGGCTCATTGTTTGTTGTACCGCACTCCATTCGACCACAGCTTGTCCGCACTGGAATTGAAGTTTGTTGACACACGAAAAACAAATTTCAAATTGAAAGAAAGTCATGGTTTTTGTTTTAGATTCTTTCATGGGGTATTCGTAACATGAAGACATTCATGCTATCGGACGTAGACTGCCCACAAGTAGTTTTTGAAGTCGGCGGACACGAAATCGAGTCCACTATTATCAAAAATGCGAAGAAAACACCAAATTTCGATCGACCATTGCTCTTCCTTGATGTTGTATGTATATGTCCATGAAGATATTCTCGTGATTTCCATATCTTGCTTCCTTATAGATGTTACCAAAAGAAGATCTCTATGCACCGCCTATGAATATTAAAGTGAAAGATCATCGATCGTTCGGAAGAAAGCCCATTGTCGGTTTCCATGTTATTAAATCACTCGAACAATTTCGATGTGATCCAACCACACCGTCATTGACTCTTATGGAAGCAGCTCGTAAGTTCGACTATCCCTAATCAATCATTTTCACATCCATATTCATTCGAAGATGCCCCAACACCAGCCGAAACACCAATGGAAGAAATTGCCACTCCAGTCGATAAGAAGTCCAAGAAGAAATCGAAGGACGTAAGCACGCGACTCAATCCGAATTAACAGTACCTGCTATTTTCCTTTCACTAGTCATCTAAATCAGCCAGCAGTCTAGCTGACGGTGCTATGGCTACGACGACAGTTGCACTTACAACAAATGAAACGGAGACAACCATCGTCGATAGAAAATCAATGAAAAAACGCGTGAAACATTTCTTGAAAAAACATAAAGGAAATGGTACACCAATGAAACCGGAATCGAAATTGGCTAAAATACAAAAATCCATGATGGGAAAAAATCTTCAAGAATATCGAAGTATTCCCTTGATGGAAGAAGTAGGTCAAAGATTTTCTCATAGAATAAGACAATTGATCTCTTATTTTCAGCCGGCCGTTGAAGAAGATATCGATTGGTGGTCGAAATACTACGCATCGAAAGGTGACTTCAATAAATGTGGCTCTTACACCCAGAAAGGCTATGAAACATTAACAGTAAATGAATATTTATTTGATTGTACTTGTATCGATAGAGATCGTTTTAGATTTTGAACCATCCACTAGAATTGCATGAAATCTACGAAGGTTTCAGTGACTTTTGTCGAACATTTCAATTATCTCGTGGCAAAACGAAATTCGAAGAAGAAAATGAAATCGTCGGTGAATTCAAAGGTCTCTTCAAAGTTTATCCATTACCTGAAGATCCAAGCGAACCATTACCACCTCGAATCATGGAAAACTTACCGTCGAGCAGTTTAGAAGAATGTATTGTTCGAGTTTACATTATTCGTGCAATCGATTTACAACCAACGGATTCGAATGGCAAATCAGATCCTTATATTGAGATTGAACTAGGCAAAACTCGTATTGATAATCGTGATGAAAAAATACCGAATACAACAAATCCCATCTTTGGAAAGTACGTCTCTTTCTTCTCGAGATCGATTTCCGAATGAAAATTTCCTTCTATCTCTCTCTCTCACTATGTTTGTAGAATGTTCGAATTGAAAACAATCATTCCAACTGCCAAAGATTTAACTATTCGTATTAAAGACTGGGATTTGTTAACATCTGATGATGTCATTGGTCAAACAACAATCGACTTAGAAAATCGATTTTTAAGCAAATATCGAGCCACCTGTGGTCTTCCATTACAATACAATGTGTAAGAGATCGGGCAGGAATCGAATTTCCCTAATAGCGTAATACTGTTTATTTAGAACGGGTCCGAATCACTGGCGGGATAGTGTTCGTCCTCGAAAGATTCTTTTCGATGTTTGTAAACGTAATAATCTACCTGTTCCGGAATTAATCGATGATCATACCATTAAAATTGGCGAGTCAGTTTTTCGTCTGGAAGATTTCGGTTCGTTCTTGTTGCTTCCGCTCGCTCATTTCATATTCATTCGTTTTAGAACAAGAAAAACATCTGACAGTTCATGTTGGAGACGATGAAGAACGCTTAGCTTTATATATCTTGCACAAATTACGTCTCTGTCCGGAACATGTCGAAACTCGACCATTGTTTAATCCATTACAACCACTGATCGAACAGGGTCGTTTAGAATTGTTCGTCGATATCTTTCCAAAATCGTTAGGATCACCAGGACCAACTTTTGATATCACACCTCGAAAACCAAAACCGTAAGAGCACAAAAGAATGATGTCCGATACGAAATCAAATCATTTTTAGTTATGTTCTTCGATGCATTGTTTGGAACACCAGCGATGTTATACTACAAGAGACATCGATTACAGGAGAAAAAATGTCTGACATCTATGTGAAAGGTTGGATGAGTGGTGTTGAAGAGGATGTTCAGAAAACAGATATACATTATAGGTTTGTATCGTTATCGCTATTGTTGACTTATGTCTTTATTCTTTGATTTACAGATCGATGGATGGTGAAGGCAATTTCAATTGGCGTTTCGTTTACGATTTTGCATATCTACCAGCTGAACGTTGCATTTCGGTGAAAAAGAAAGAACATTTCTGGAGTTATGATGCAACTGAATTAACTGTTCCGCCTGTATTGAATATACAAGTTTGGGACAACGATAAATTCAGTGCAGACGACTTTCTTGGTAAGCTATTTTGTCTTCTCTGCGAATCTTTAGCGTGATTTTGTATGCTGGCTAGGCGCGTTGACACTTGACTTGAATCGTTTGTACAAACCAGCAAAAAATTCGGAATTCTGTACAATAGACATCTTGAATGATGATTCTTCGAGTCATATATCATTATTCGAAATGAAACGGGTGAAAGGTTGGTGGCCTTGTATCGATGTTGCCGGTGGTGATCCAGAATTAACAGTAACTTCAGTTTCTATACGTTCGCATTACTTGCATACATGTGGTATTTTAGGGAAAAGTCGAACTTGAACTGGAAATTTTGACCGAAGAAGAAGCGGCGAAGAGACCAGCTGGACGTGGCCGAGAAGAACCGAATGAAAATCCCAAACTGGAAGAGCCTCAGTAAGGAAAAATATAACGCTTAATTGATGCGAATTCTATGTCGTTTGTCATTTAGACGACCTGAGACGTCGTTTCTCTGGTTTCAATCACCATTTCGTACATTTAAGAACATTATCTGGAGAAAATTCAAATGGCACATTATCGGCGCTATCTTTCTGGTCTGCTTTATCATATTCTTACTTTTATTCTTATGGGCTATGCCAGTAAGTTCTATCCTGTTCATTTCTTCGCTCTTGATTGTCCGTACTTCGTTTTTAGGCTGCTATTTGGTCTCGACTTTTAAAAGTTACCGGGTGATTGTATTTATTCATATTCTATAAAACTATTTTTCTTTGAATCTATTCTGTCTACTAAATAAACATTTCTTTCTTCCGAATATTGTATTTTTATCTAAGAATTTCGACAAATATTCACTACGAAACTCGCACGATCGATCGTTTCTAGATGTCACTTTGAACTCAACCCGATTGGTTCTCGTCTGATACATATCCCAAAACCAATCGATCGAGGAGATAGATTATTTACAAGTTATAATTGAATATCTTTCATATTTCTGAGCTACCGAAAATGAAATTCAGTCTTGTTCGTTTCGGCGGCGGTAGTCACGCAGATATTCCCGCTCATATTCAAGCAAAAATGTCCACGAATTGGTATGTTCGTCATTTCAATTCATTCACAACTCGTGGTCGAGCAAATTCGGTTCTTGCTGTTCTCGGTGGTTGGGTTCTCTTCGGATATACAATGTCGAAATTGGCACAATCGCGTAAAACTAAACAACTCGTATCGTAGTCATCATCATCAAAGCAAATTTGGTCCCTATCATAGTTCATCATTAGGTTCCTTCTAGGAAATGCCTCAAAGAACAGTCATAACCGCCTCTTTGTATTGTTTTTCTATCTCCCTGCTTTTTCTTCTATAAAAAGAAAATTCAAATTGAAATTAAAGTTCTCACCGGTGGTATTAATACTTTACAATAATCATATCTTTACAAGTCATGATTTTTTTACGCAAATAAGCACAGAGCAAGTCTAATTATCAGCATCGGCAGATTGTTCCTGGCTTATTATAAGTACATGAGTTCATCTCGACTGACACGAACATGTCGACTAATTTCGATGACGGATTTCAATGGAATAAGAATATTCGAACCAAGCAGCTCGTTGTAGGAAGAAACTCCTTGTAAGATTCAATGAAGCATAATAAAATAATTGCAAACTTTCTTTCGAGCTCTTACGCCTTTGTTTCAATCGACGAGCCCAGAACAATATCGATATAGTATTTCTACGAGAACGAGTTTGTAATGATGATGTTGTTGTTATTGTTTTGGGCATAAACGCCTATCAGTCGATCTGAAAATATCCAATTCGTAATAGAAGATTTCAAGCGATAAGTATTTTTTTATTGTGAATTGATGCCGTTTTTCTTTCAATAGAGAGAAGATGTGTAAAAGCTAATTATTTCCGTAGAAAACATCATCGTTGTCTTTTTTCCTATTTTTCTTTTTGTCACTCATCGAACTGCTCTGGGATCATAACACTTCACTCGATAGAAAGAAAATATCTGACAAAGGTTACTGGCCGTTAATTTCTCCTCTATTCGAGTCCAATGCAGATCTCTCGAATAAAGCAATTATTCTCTCGAAGGAATTGTTTGTGAACTAGAGAATACAATCAAAATTCTTTGTTAACTAATATGCATAATAAAATACTTGTCTGATCGCAAACCTAATTATTCTTTGCTCATTCTTTCTCAGATAGACGCGAGAAGAACGTGTAATCTTCACGATCATTTATATTAAAACAAAACGAATCGAAATGAAATACTGGAGTCAAACATCGGCATATTCTGGGCTGCCATGTAATACGATAGGAGCATTTCTCATCATTAACAGCCGTTGAGAACGACAAAAACACATTGATTATTCTTGTCCATAAACGTTCGAAATCGTATTCGCCAGAGGAAATTCTCGACAGCTCTTCGATCGAATGATTTCAATACCTTGAAGATTGTCGACACTTGAAGTGAAAGACAATATAATTTCCTAGTAAATAGAATGTTTTTCTCTAGTCGCACTCGATACATACACTGAGACAAGTGAGGAAGTGGTTTGTATTTGATTAGCTGACATTTGTCGAGGTAGTCAGATGACGGATAATATTGAGTTTTGCTCATTTTTCATCTAGTTTTTTCACTGTTCAATGAGCATGAGAATGAATCAATGTTATGACAATGTTTTTCTATATATTCCAAAGAGTTCTGATTAATTTTATTTTATATACACAGGTTTAGTTCGATTCAGACCAACTCATATCGTTAGTCAATGATGGTTTTGTTCTTTTCTTTTCTTCTCTCCGTCTTTTCTTTTTCTTATTATCAATAGAACTCATAAAGAGAGAACAAGAATTGATAGAAAGACACAATAATAATAATCATGATGTAAGGAATCTTGTCCTCTATCTCTTCTCTGAACAGTGTTTCACAGCTCGCTGTTCGTCACTTTTGATTGAATATAATCGTTCTCATCCGCTGTCTAGTTGATATTTTCCTCCCACATCTTAGTAAATACATGTCATCAATCGTAATTGAACTTCTACTTGCAAACAAATCATAAAAGGTATGATATATATCCTTTTCTATCTTTATTTATTACTCCTATGATACTCGAATTCATGTTTGATGTTTTGTTGGCATCGTATAACAGGAAAATAATAATGTAAAGAAAATCGAGAACGAGAAACAGAGAAAGAACAGCTCGACAATAACGTATTGAAGCAAAATATTAATGTGTGAATAACTTCGTCGGCCAAGCGATATGTTTCTACTTTCCAGATTTACTCTATCATTAGGACGATAGACTCAAACGAGTATGCATTGCTCTACGAAGACTTTTCTCTGATAGACTAGTCAACATATTTCAAACAGCATGTTCATCTTTTCGAGAGATTCTTCGAGCTAAAAGCTGGATAAACTTCTGACATTGTCAGACTTTATTTTCTGTCATTTTCTCATCATCATTCGTGCTTCTCAAGTGTTCAATTACAATGTATATCGAAGCAATAGAATGGAATGTTTAGAAGTATGTCACATAACTGCGAGAGTTAATCATGTTTGCATAAGACATACCAGATCGTACTTTCAGTTTTGTTTCTTTTACTTCTTCACGAGAACACTGTGATTTATTCAATTAAGACAGACAGTGTAATCATCTTGTGTATGTCTTTTTTCTTTATTTTTCTAGATTCATTCGAGTTTTCATTGTTAGAATTGCAAATGTCGGTGACAATTTGTCAACAAGGAGGATTTGTCTTCTTACCAGAGAACAGAAAACTTTTCTTCGATCATAATAAATTAAATTGAAAGTGTTTGCATGTTTGAAAAGAAGGTAGTTCTGTTTTTTTTCTTCTCTCTCATTCTATTTTAATGATATAGATGTAATATGAGATCTTAAAGAAAGAAACGTAATTAACTATCACTAGACGAACATTTTCACTTGGAACAAAACAAATTAGCTTATGTCTGAAAACAGCCGAACATTTGCCGTTTATTTTTTTTTCTCTCTCAAGATAATAGAATTGTTATATATATATATATATTCATGTAATTGTTTTCTCTTCCTCTTTCATTTAGTTTTCATAATGCATTTCGATTCCGCTACATTTGAAGACACTATACCTCATTTTAATAATCTACATCTACCACATTCAAATGTATTAGTCTATAATCTCTCGTCATCGATAGAAATTACTCAAAACAATACAATAACAACATCCGAGGATCCTTATCGTAATCTAGCAGACAAACTCGTATATAAATACATATGTTTAGCGATTTTTGTTATCGGATTCATCGGCAATTTGCTTAGTGTATTAGTTTTTAGTCGACCAGCTCTACGACGTCGATCTTGTGCTATCTATTTTCTCGCATTAGCTATTACTGATATAGCTTCCTTGTGTTCATCGTTTATTGATACCGTCCTTCCATCTTTTAATAATGTTTCTTTGACAATGAAATGGGCATTTATTTGTAAACTAAATCCTTTACTGGTCTATTTCACTACTGATTTATCGAACTTTCTATTAGCTGTTGCATCGATTGATCGAGCAGTATCGATTCAATGTCCTGTGAAATCGCAGTACTTCTGTCGAGCACGCATTGCGATATATATTATTCTTGTTATGTCAATTGTATTTCTTCTTATCAACGGTCATCTCTTCTGGGGCTTTGAAATCATTGACGAACAATCATCAAAATTTTGTCTCGCATCAAAAACAAAATATGTGTATTATAATGAGCCGTATTCAATGACTTATGATCGCTTCTACGCGATATTCGACTCTTTAGATATGTTATTCGCTGTTGTTATTCCATTTATTGTTATGTTAATATGTAATATAATTATTCTGATACGTGTTATTACTTCTCGACGATCGGTTACAACAACTGCTTCGAACGCAGGTCAGTCAAAAGAAGCTCGAAAACGACATGATAAAGAAAAACAATTAACTATTATGTTACTTGGAAGCGCAGCTGGTATGTTTTATACATTGTTGTCCTAGGAAAATAAAGAATTGTTTTCGTTTCCTTTTTTAGCATTTTTAGTATTTACATTACCGACAGAAATAAATGATACGATACGTGCTTTTCATCCACCCGATGTTCCTCAGACTCAAGGTCCTGCAGCCTTAGTCACAGCAATCTTTATTGCCATGGGACAATTGAATCATGCGATTCATTTCTATATTTACACGTTAACTGGTCGAGTTTTTCGAAATGAATTGATACAATTGTTTACTCTATCGAAATATAGCGTTTTAAGGCAAAAGACTGTCTCGTCAATTCGACAAACGAACGCTGATCAACGACTTTTGAGTCTATCGAAGAAAAAACCTAATCCTGATGATTTTGATGCTTAGAAAATTGGCTGGCACGTTTCTTTTTTGTTATTTATTTAGTCGCTTTTTTTTGTATCTCTTATCATAAATTCCACCACCATGTACCGGTTTGAATTGATAAAGAAAACTTTTGAGGTAAATGCATTATCGCAGTTATTTCGTCCACCATATTAGAGAAAAGATCGTAAGCTCCCAGGGGCTGAATTAATATCCACCATGGATAAAGAAATAATGTCAATGGATAAGCAAAGATGAAGAGAAGAATGAAGGATAATATGTGAATTATTATGCTCGACATTTTCATTTCCGTCAGCGCCAAAATCTCAATTCTTATTAACAGAATGTCAAAAGTTTCTTTGTAACTAGCTCAATTAAAGTTCATCAATCCGTAAACTTAATTCACAATAACCCAGGTGTAATATTATTACCTGTTTTGCACATGTCCTGTCTATTCAAATTATAGATGAACGGCAACAAATCGTTCTTCTAATCGAGTCCAATGCTTTAGCATATAAGAAAAAGCTTCTTGCTGGAAAATGACGGAGAACTACGTTCTACCAGCCATTCATGGGAATTCTAAGAACATAAGACCTTTCACTTTTCTCGTAATAAAATAGTCGTGCATGAATGCTTCGCCATGAAGAACAATTCGGAGATGTTGATGCCGTTCAACGTTATAATGAGTTTCTAGTCAAATTACGATCGGTTTTATCGATTAGAGATGAATATCTTTTCGAGCAATAATTTTCTTCTATATTTTATTCATCTTATATATGATGTTGACACAAGATGAAAAAAATCAAAACAACACGATGAAAATTTAGCATATTTTTCTGTCGTTTTGGTCGTTGTTTCCTTCTCTATTTGAGTGGAATGAAACGGGATGAGTGTGTTGCACCAATACCAGGTCGACCGTGTTTAACTGGTTTGTATGTAATTGAAAACTCGCCGAGATAATGACCAATCATTTCAGGTTTGATTTCAACTGAGTTAAACGTTTTGCCTTGATGAACACCAACAACACAACCAACCATTTCGGGGACGATGATCATGTTACGTAAATGTGTTTTGATGGCTTTTGGTTTTTCTAATTCAGGTGCTTCTTTTTTGGCTTTACGTAAACGTTTGATCAAAGCCATTGGTTTACGTTTAAGACCACGTGATAGACGACGACGAGCACGGCAGTGTATTAATGGCATTAATTGTTCGGTGTTTAAGTCTAATAATTGATCAAGATCAACACCACGATAGGTGAATTTACGAAATGTACGCTTCTTTTTTAATTCAGCAGCGCTTAAACCAGCAGCATCTTGATCAGCCATTGTTTGTTGTATGAAGTTGTTTGTTGATTTCGAAGAAGATGAAAAGATCTAGAAGAGAAAAGAAAAATTCCATATGAGATTGATACGAATTTTCTTCATTATTCGTTTATTTATTTTATACAATTGAAAAACCAGAGAAAAAAAAAGAGAAAGAGAGAACCTTCTTGTAATAGTAGAGTATGAAAAAAAAAAACGAAATTGAGAGAAAGAAGCGGCGACACTGCAACGCAACGATTATTGTAGTTCAGACACACACGCACACACGAAAAACAAAAGAATGATAATATAAAAAAAAAAAAGAAACGAAGAAGAATGCTAAAAGCGATAGACAGAAATTCAGTCAGATCGAATAGTAGACATTGAAATAAATGTGGCTATTGCATGATGGACACCACCAACGAGTATTGTTGTCATTCCAAGAATTGAACAATGCGTAGAGAAAAGACACAATAATCAACGACAATAACAACAACATAGAAATTTCGAAGAGAAACAGACTAGAGAGCAGCAGCAGTAATAATACGCGCAGTGCGCAAGTACAAAACAGAGACGAGGTATGTATATATGACAAACAGAAGAAAAAATCGAGAAGAAAACATTGTGTGCGTGTGTGTGTATGTGAGAAAGAGAGATTGAGTGTCACTGTTTGTTTAATAAGTGTTTTCTCTGTCGAAGCGTGTTCAGAGAGACACAAAAACGAAAAAAACGAGAGAATTGTACTAGAGGAAACAACTCGAATTTGACTTTGAACACGCACACTGTACGAGAAAACACACGTAAACTGAAAAACAGAAGAGTAAAACGACCATTCTAATATAATAAAGTAGAGTGTTTGAATAAAGAGAATAAGTAAGGAGAGACGAAGAGAATGAGAACGAGAGAGAGACAGAGGCATATATTAATATATGTCTATTCGGGAGATTTTTTTGTATTTTTTCTTGTTCAAATAGTTCTAAACCAAATTATATTCTTTTAGATTTAACTGAAGGATTGTGTCTTTAACAGCTGCGAATACAAATCGGATATTCTCCGTATCTGTAAAAGAGAAGGCAACGAAAGTTGAAATGCAAACAAAACAAATAAGTCGAAAACTTTACCAGTTGCACAGGTGAAATGTGAATAGATAATCTTATCACTATCTGGATTGAGGTCAACGTACATTTTCAGAATAAATTCGCGTGCAGCTTGAGCATCACGTTTAGGACCTAAACAAGTGTGCCGATAAGGAAACATCCTGAAAACGAACAGAATTTAGATTTGATCATACCATCGAATTCAGGAAAATAATCAACCAGGTGTGAATGCATGATTTTTTCTTCTAATAAATCTTTCTTATTCAAGAAAAGGATCACAGATGAATTCGTAAACCATGGATAAGTTATGATCGTTCGGAACAATGCTTTGCTCTCTTCCATTCGATTCTAAATGTTCATTCAATCATTTTTTGTTTCTTCATTTGTATGCAAATTTCTTGAAACTTACTTCATTGTCAGATTCAACAAGAACTTGATCGTATTCACTTAGTGCAGCAAGGAACATTATCGAAGTGACATTTTCAAAACAATGAATCCACTTTCGACGTTCAGATCGCTGGCCACCGACATCCACCATTCTATAACAACGAGAAATCAAATCACATAAAACAAAAAAGAATTTAAGTGAAGATTTCTACCGAAATATAATATTTGCAAGGTCAAATGGATATTCAATGATTCCCGTCGTAGGAACTCGGACACGAAGAACATCTTGTTCAGTTGGTAAATAATCTGGCGTGTCGATTCGATCGATACTATCCAGATAACTAAAAGGAGAAATCGTTTAGTAAAACTATTTCCAAAGGTAATCAATATCCATCGTACTATTTGGCTGAATCTGTTAGTTGATACTCTCTTCTCCTATCATAACACTCTTTGATGCCAGGATCATTCCACAAACTTTTAATTGCTTCTACATATGGAGGTTCAAACGTTGTCACACTTTCATAATCTACTGATCGGACCAACGGAGCATATTCCACCTAAAACGAAGTACAAATTTATTTGAGCGGATAGCCCGTCTGGCAACTTACTTCATTTCGTTTATCTCTGTACTGTATTTTGAGCGTATCCATAGCACGGATCATTATATGCATTGCCATGAATATATTTTGATAAACAAGTTTAACAAATGAACGTTTGTCTTCTTCGGAATAGCCTGTTCCATGAATAATTCGCATTTGTTTGATGAATGTTGATTTACCGGATTCTCCCGTCCCTATTTCGAAGAGAAAAAAAAAAGATGATCTTCTTTCAAGAAATCAATGTCGATTGCGAAAGTTTCTTACCCAGCAGTAGTAGTTTCAATTCACGCCGTTGATTTTTCTTATCAAGACGCAATTGTTTCTCGATTTCTCGATTGATTTGTTTCTGTTCACGTGCTTCGGCAGACAAACAGCACATCATCTTGAGATGTCTGTTCTATTTGAAGATATATATATGTATATATCGAATACAAAGAATAAATTGACTAGTAATTTAGAGATTGAATAACAGTGTCGAACATCTGCGGGATGATGTTAAATGATTGAAACGAACATTGAAAGAATTTCTCTTCATGAATATCAAACCTTCGTAATCAGACTTCATACCATCTAAATAATAAACGAAGATTAGAATGATTACTGAACCTAGCCAATCATTGAGCAAGTAAACAAATAAATAAGCAACCATCACCACAAAATTCCTCTACACAGATTTTACAAAAAAAAAGAAAGTATTTTATGGAAGACCAACGCGTTGGAATTTAGTTATGCATTTGCGACTTTTCTACAAACTGTATCTTTATTATATTTTTTAAAATTTAACATTACTGAAAAGGATGTTTATTGTGTTGAATAACATTGAAAATATTTCATAAAAATATGTTAGAAAGTCGCTCATTGGTCGATCAAGTAACCTATCGTAATGCATGACTATGGTACCATCAATTAGAATAGAAAAAATAGCCACGTTCATGTGAGGCATATGGATAAAACCGATAACATACAGATAGAGTTTACCTTACGGCTAATCTGTGAAAATCTAAAAAGTATTCATACGATGTATGCAACAGATCTCTGTTATATCAATTCCCAATTGTAGCTTTCTTTTAGTAATTGCGCTTCAGGAGACATACTAATTTGAAAGATTGTTGGTACTATTTCACTTGACGCACCACGTTCTCGTGCTCGCACGCCATATTGTGAGTGTGTTTTGGATACTGTGTTTAAAGCAAAGTGGTGCTTATTCATATTTTGTTTTGTTTAAATATGACTAAAAATCATTCGAGAAGACTAAATTCGTCTTGTCTTTAACCCGAAATATAGTAGACATGTTTGGTTTTACATATTATAGAAGTCAAACAGATTGAAAAATAAACACTGACTGAGCCGATAGAATTCACGTTGTCATGTGAGAATGAGAATGGATGTTCAATTGCAGAGTAGAGACGGCGATTACAGTTAGACGTAAATTGGATAATATTTGGTATTCTCTATTTACTTGTGGGTGTAAATTAACGATCTGATAGATTAACGCTTGATTATACTCATGTTCGTGATCTTGATTTCATCCCCAATGGCAAATTCAAAGAATATCATCATCAAATTTTCGATCGATTTTCTACAAGTACTTACTGATGACATGCTTTCTTTTGGAATATGATTATTTTTATTGTCAGTGCAAAATAATGGACTACGAACATATCGAATGTTATCAGTGACATCCGTTACATTTCTTCATCTGACTGACTGCTCTCAATCATGAATTGGCACACACGAATTATGTTGAGCAATTTCTCTTTCTACAAGAAAGACTCGTTTACCGTGTCTGTCACATCTCACCATCCGATGTGATTCAGCAGTTGCCGTAACAAACAAATTTACACAATGGTTACAGTGTCTAACGAGGAAAAAGTAAACTGGAGGCACTCTAATTAATGGTAACTGACAAAAAAATGTGCCGGTGCCTGACACTTATTGTAGAAATGTGTGAAGGGAACAGTAGAAAGACATCAGAAAATTATTCTTTGTCCAGCACAGTTAAAGACAGACTCACTGTATTGGTGGTGCTACAATAGATGCTTTTTTTTTATATCACATATGATCAGAATTGGCTAGTGCTACAACCAATGAGTAGACAACTTCAAATCTACCTAACTAATCGTCTTCTTATTTCATAATTTTGAAAGAAAGAAAATATACATAAAGCGTCGAAAACTTCAATTTTGATCTTGATTCTACATTACTAAGACTGAATTCTAACGGTATTCTGCTTATATATTTTTGGAATTGAGCAATGAGCAGCAGTAAGTTATGTCTACTAGAATCAACATCTTAATTACTTCTTTATCGTCTAAAATAGGACATCATCATTACAAAAGTTCATCCCACAATCGTCGATCTGACGATGATCGAAATCGTCCACATAGTTCCTCTCAAATGTCTTCACGTACTGTTATTTATGAAGAACCATCTTCAACATCTAAAACTTTGAAATCGTCGGTTCGGCAAGTTACGCAAACATCGTCCTTTTACAACACAGCAACAACGAGCAAAAATGAAAGTTCAAAGCCATTAACCATCGGCAGCGGAAAACAATCGAGACCAATCAATAGTGATATATATCATTCGGAAATCATCGAAGATGACGATGATGATGAAGGTGAAATCGAATATATCCCAGCTGATCAAAGCAAACGTCCATCAAGACGAAGTAAGAGAATCTATTTCCGTCTTTGATTTAGAGGTAAAATATTTGTGTTACGATAGGTACGAGTAAAGAACGATCAAAACGGCGACATCATTCGTCTAGTCGATCTTCAAGATCCGACGAGAGCTCTAATGATGATACACCCAAACATAATCAACAAAAGCATAGGCGAAAAGCTTCATCAAGAGAACGACGTTCGCCATCGGAAGAAGGAGAGGAAGCTGGTCTGTTGGAAAACTTTCACCTGAGTTTCAAAACTTCTTTCTTCAATTCTAGAATCCGTTTCAGATGCTAGTGATGATCAACATTCCAAAGAAGATCATCCGTCAACTGAAGATAAACAAGATCATCGTAGACAATCGTCTCCTGGTAAAACTAGGCAATCCCTCGTTTTCGACGATAAGCTTTATTATTTCTGTTCTAGATGATGCTTCACGTGACAATCAAGAAAAACTTGAAGAAGAAGAAGAAGAAGAAGAAGTACAAGAAGAACCTGCTCCACCACCACCTCATCGAAGCCGTTTCGACGATGAGGAAGATGATGACGATCAACACGAAGACGATGAAGACGAGAATGACAATGATCGACATCAACGTCATCACCATCATCATCGCCATAATCATCATCATAAACGATCAAGACGTCACTCATCCTCGACACCCGCTTCGTCTTCATCAAAATCCGCTATGACACCACCTATATCAATTGATCATCAAGTCGAAAAAGAATTGATCGAAGAAAAGCCCAAATTACCCAGTTACTATCCTGCTATACAAGGTTGTCGACGCGTGGATGAATATTTATGTATGAATCGAATCGAAGAGGGTACTTATGGCGTTGTCTTTCGCGCACAAGATAGAAAAACAGGTGAGAATTGTTTACTGAATATTAATCCATTTAATTGACCATTGTTGATTGATTTAGGTGAAGTCGTTGCACTGAAACGATTGAAAATGGAAAAAGAAAAGGAAGGTTTTCCAATAACGTCACTACGAGAAATCTGCTGTATTCTTAAATCACAGCATGAAAATGTTTGTACTGTTCGAGTATGTCACATAGTGTATATCTTTTCTATCATCAATGATAAGTATGATTGTTTTTTTAGGAAATTGTTGTTGGTGATGACATAAATCGTATTTACATTGTCATGGATTATGTCGAGCATGATCTCAAGAGTCTTATGACCCATACAATGAAAAAACCATTTTCGATTAGTGAAGTGAAAACTTTGATGTATCAATTACTAGCCGGTGTAAATCATTTGCACGATAATTGGATTATTCATCGAGATCTCAAAACATCCAATCTTCTGCTCAGTAATAAGGGTATTCTCAAAGTATGAACTTTTTCCATCTCACTTTCGTTCACACATCGAATTCTATCTAGATCGGTGACTTTGGTCTTGCACGTGAATATGGATCACCATTGAAACCGTACACACCCGTCGTCGTCACACTTTGGTATCGAGCGCCGGAACTTTTACTTGGAATCAAAGTAAGATCATTGTTACTTTTCTTTCTGAACTGATAGTATGCAAAAATGTTGTTTCGGCTTGTAGGAATATTCTACACCTATCGATATATGGAGTGTAGGTGCTATTTTTGGTGAATTATTGACAATGAAACCATTGTTTCCCGGTAAATCAGAAATCGATCAACTGAATCGTATCTTCAAAGATTTGGGTACACCAACAGACAAAATTTGGCCTGACTATAATTCGCTTCCATTCACTAAGAAAATGACATTCTCGAACTATCCTTACAATCGGCTTCGATCAAGATTTGATGTGTCCCTGTCGGAAAAAGGCTTCGATCTGTTAAATAAGTAAGTCATCGAAAAGTTCAACTGAGTTTAGATCACACATTTTGTTTAAATAGATTTTTGACTTATGATCCATCGAAGCGAATATCTGCATTGGCCGCATTGAAACACGATTATTTTGAAGAAAGTCCTCGTCTGATTGATCCATCAATGTTTCCAACATGGCCATCGAGAAACGAAGAAAAAACCAAAGTAACTGCGCGCAGTGGTACTCAACATGCGTCTGGCTCAAGTACAGCAACAGCTCAAAAAGAACCAACTCCACCGGCAGCTGGAAAGATGTACGAGAAATTGCTTGGTGGAGGCGATGATGACTCATATTCCATGGAACAGATAATACCATCAGGTCCTGGTTTTCAACTTCGTGGTTGAACTAAGTTGACGAAATTTTCTCTGTTGTTCAATATTTTCTAGACAAACATATACGTATATGTGTGCGTAATTTCTTTGTACAGTTCAAATAACACCCGGATCGATTCACGTGCGAGAGAAAATAAATCGAAGAGAATTTTATTCAACGTAATGATTGACTAAAACCTACACTGGAAAATCCTTGAAATTATTTATGCGCATGTGAAATTGTAGTAATATTCTTGATACTCATCTCTTTCAGTATCGATTCGACTGAGATATGCTGCTAGTACCATTATTTATTTATTATTTTTATCGGAAAGAAAGAACGTGAAACTTTTCTATATCTATATATTATCAAAAGGAAGACCAGAGTTATACTAATAAATAATCTGTTTATCTTACGACTCACATTAACAAATACTTTACTATGCCATTTATTGTCGCCATCAACAGATATTTTTGAGTTTGATAACAAGTAAGACATATTCGGCGAACAAAAAAAATTGCCTGACTTATCTTTATCTAGAAATAATATCTTACAACATATGTTTTGAGGAATTGACTAAAAAAAGCGATTTATGCCAGCGAAATGTTTGATATTAAATTTCTTCATTGTTATTGAAATAATCTCGAGTAAGACGAAATTACGTCGTCAGTGATGATTATCTGATCAGATGACATCGCATACAAAGTATCAATTCTGTGTACTTGATTGTTTATTTACCTTTGACAAACTACAGCATTAACTAGCGCCGCGTCTTTTATTTTAACATATGCTATACTTATCTGACTGATGTTTTCTCTCATATCGAAAGAACCCCTTGATATTCAGATTCTATCTAGCATTACTAATCATCTATTGAATGATCCGGGATTACTCGCAAATATAGACGTTTACGCCAAACCTTTCGTCATAATCTATACTCAATTATAGATGTTCTAATCGTCAATCAATGTGCGCTGGTTATTAACACACATGAAGCGCATCTTCGAGTTTCTCAACCAAAATCCTTATGTAATTAAATATGTATATTGAAGAACAAAATTCTACATATAGATAGATAGATACATAGATACATAGATGTATTGATGAGAACCGTTCGAGGTAATACTTGATGAAAAAAAGACGACAATGTATGCCTAGAAGCTTTTGTAATCGTAGTATTTACGGTACAATATGATAATTTTCTTTGCTTGACGTTCTCATCATTCGTTGTTGTCTTTCATAATATCGTCTTCTATTTAGCTCCCTTCTCCTCTTGCTTTCCTTCGTCTCGTCTTCTCTCTATGCTTATTGGCGAGCTTGCTATTTTCCTCTCATTTCTAGTATGTGTATATGTATAGATAGATCAAATAACACACAGATACATATATATCTAGAGAGAAAGAGAAGAGAACCGAAGATAAGCAGACAAAAGAAAAGATTCTCAAAAATCTATCATCACTCATTTACCGCTAGCTAACCAAACATTTCTTTTTCGTTTTACGACATCCAAGTTCAAACTTTACAAATTGAAGAACAACGAACGAAGTCCATTGCGCTGAGTTTTTCCCTTCAAAGTGGACTTATCCATCGGATCTCATTCATGGGAAACAATACCCGTCAAAGTATAACAACACATGAACACAGTGTCCTTCGGTCAGCCACCGACAACGATCACTAATTGGGTAAGTGTTCTAAGCAAGGAATTCTAAATGTCCATGGATACCTTTACTTGTAAGTCAGTTCTTCTTTTGGTCTTCTATTGGTAACAATATAGACTAGAAAATAGATTTCTATCATATGTATCTCTTTTTGCGAACTATTTATGCTTTGTCAATTAGTTGTTTCAGCATTTTCCTATTAAAGAAAAGATAACATGAGAACGGCTGTTGTTTTCTCTTTTTTTTTTGTTCCTCTTATTCTTTTGAATGTTACATAAATCACAAGAATTTGGTATGCGTATGATTGTCCGATAGAAACATTAATTCTAACGATTTAAATCGTTTATATTAGATGATCTGATTGGCATGTTTGCCTTCGACGACATTCTTATTTATTTTTGAGTTTCTTCTGATTGAATTGTAAATGAGTAATCAATGTCGAACTTTCATTTAGGCGTACGTAATCGATAGATTGTCTTTTATCCGGTTCGGATAAAATGAATGTTTTCCTTTTCATGTCGTTACAACTACGTGCGTCATCAACAAAAAAAAAAGAAACTAAGCAAACAATATACAAATCTCTAATTGTCCGCGCGTCTGGTTTATATATTGTTTTAGTCATCGTATCATTAGAATATTTCTTTCAAATCATTCATTTGCCCCTAGACAATGGAAACTATGTCAACTCACATTGAACTCGTTTCCCTTTTGTGTCTAGTGGTACAATATCGTATTAGATAAGCATACATGTGATTTTACTCGTCGAATGTATGTACGGTATTCCGCTTTGCTAAAAATACCATCATGCCATGCGAACTATGAGGGTAAAACTCGAGTGTGTGTGACATCTGCGAAAAATATTATGTGTTAATAACGGTTAAAATAGGATAAGAAAAGCAATATGATCGTTTTCTTCTCTTTCAAATATGTGACATTTGCAATGAAGACTTTAGAACATGAAAAAAAAACCAAATATCATTTGTGACGAAGAAAAATGCTGAGACGAAAGAATAATCGATCAGTGCCACATCTTTTTCCGAGTCGATCATTAATAACTGAAAATCATTATCGACGATATTCTTATGATCTAATTAATCGATACCGCGACGATGAATTAACGAATCCGAAACCGATTTCAAACAGAAACTCGTCTCAGACGCCATCCGTGCCGAAGTTTTCCTATAAAACAATATGTACACCGTGTATCGTACCCGAATATGTTCGCACTGCTAAGAGAAGAAGTGAAGAGATTGACATTGAATTACTTTACACATACGATCCATATAATATCGAGGTAGGAACTGCAGAAACTCACATTCTTTCCTGTTCACTATCAAAATATTTTCTACTTTCTACATGACAGCAACAAGAATGATATCATGGTTATTTGTTTATTGATATTGTATGTGAAAGACAAGGTTAAGTTTATCATCATACTGACGTTTTACTAGTTGTTTTTGCTCATTGAAGTCGATGACAAGTAGATCTTTTTTTGATTATGCTTGTATTGTCAACGAAACGTTATCTTTGTCGATGTACACTTTGTAGCATTGGTTGATAAAAGACGAAACTGTTGTCATATTGATATATCGTATGAGAAATCTTTACTTTTGCTGAGATTCTTTGTTAGTGAAAAATGCAGTCTAATCTAATTAATACGAATCATTTTCGTATTTATGATAATCAACAGGTATTAATTGAGTAACGTGGAATTTATCATTCATCAATAGTTTGTTTCTGGTTTTTTTTATAGCTTGAACATTTTACTGAAGAACAAATCCAAGGTAGACGAAATTCTAGAAGAAAGATTACACATGATTTGAGATACTTTCTAGAATTTCGACAAGCTTTTCTCCTGTACGATAAAGATTCCGACGGTGCGATTAATCCCAAAGTACTTGGAAACGTTATGAGAACTCTTGGGCAAAATCCTACAGAAGACGAACTTAAAGGATTGATCAATGAGTTTGATTGTGATGGTTTGTGATTCTACGCATGAAATGTTTTCTTCATTCTCTTGACTTTTAGGTAAAGGTTTGATCGACTTTGATGAATTCCTTCAGATGATGGCTAAACGAGCGAAAGAACATAATGAAGAAGATGAATTAATAGAAGCATTTCGTGTATTTGATAAAAATGGTCATGGATATATAAAAGTTGCTGAATTGAAGTAATACATTTGTTCTTGACAAAGAAAATTGCTTTCTTCTCATCACAAAAACTTTGTTTGTTAGACATATCATGACCAATTTAGGTGAACAGTTTTCAAATGATGAAGTTGACGAAATTCTAAATGAAATCGATACTACTGGCAATGGAATAATCCGATATGAAGGTACGAGTGTTGATGAATACCAACGTACTCTCATTCTTTTGTTTTGCTAGAACTTGTCAAGATGATTACTGGCAAATAATAATAATTTTCATTTAGCACACTATTATCTGTGATACTCGTGTGTTCTCAAATCGGTTCGACGCTCATAACTATTCATTCACACCAAATCTCAAAACGGTACAGAAATCGACAAAGTTAAAGTTTAACCGATTGCTTTCTTTTTCTGTTGTGTATTTCTTGATTTTTTTTTCGGTCTTTTTGTTGTTTTATCAAAGAATTATATTTGGGAATAGTCCTACAAACAGATTACGATACCATTTCCTTTAACTGATGATGAATGTACATGCCGATAAAGTTTTCATCTTGTCACAAGTCCTATTATCAAAACCATTGGGAGAATTGATAAAAGTAAATTACAAAGATAAAACCGGCAAGTCATATTCGCACTTTCGACTAGCGCCATCTATGTACACTAGTTCTAAAAATGCTTTTTCGTGTGTACAATTCACTGAGAATCGTAGAGAAAATCGAATATTATAATTCATTATAAGATCAAGAGAGGAAAGAGGCCAATGGACAATTTTCGCGAACCAATGAGTTTAATTTAGTATTGCAGCTTTGTTCTCTTATGACTCGTTCGTTGCGCCAAAATCGTGTTCTTTCGTATTTTTCTACAGAATTGTTGAACAAATTATTTTTCTAATAATACAATATTAGTAATCTATGGCCGGTATCGCAATAGCACGTTTAACCGAAGAGCGTAGAGCCTGGCGACGAGATCATCCGTTTGGTTTCATTGCTGTAAGAGAAAAATCCCTCATGCTACTTCACACTTCTAAATCTATCCTATTCTCGTGATTAGAGACCAGTGAAAAATGAAGATGGAACATTCAATCTTCTCAATTGGGAATGTGGTATTCCAGGTATTTATCGGAGAGAGAGAAAAGATCCTTCGCACAGACTGAACCTCACTTATCTCCCTTTTAGGAAAAGTCGGTACTTCGTGGGAAGGTGGTTTATTCAAATTACGTAAGTAAAAATAACACATGAATAATCCTATGTGATTGTCAACTCTCTCGTACAGGTATGCACTTCAAAGATGATTATCCATCAACGCCACCGAAGTGTAAATTCGAACCGCCGTTATTTCATCCAAATATTTATCCGGTAAATGAATTTTCGCGAAAAAAGAACACGAAAGGTTCATTGAGTTTGATCTTTTCACAACATAGAGTGGAACAGTATGTTTATCACTGCTTGATGAAGAGAAAGATTGGCGTCCAGCCATAACAATCAAACAAATTTTACTTGGAATACAAGAACTACTCAATGAACCGAATGCTAAAGATCCAGCCCAAGCCGAAGCTTATGGTATTTATATGCAAGATAAAGCTGAATATGACCGACGTAATCTAACGAAACGAATGTTGTGTTTCATTGAAAAATGCATAACGTTCTTCTCGTTTTAGGCATTCGAGATCAAGCTGGACGTTTTCGTGCTACAGACATATAGATCGTGAAAACAGAATTTACTACGTGTACAAACGAAAAGGCAACTGCACGATTCGCACAAGTCTTCTTTGCTTCTATTCTTGTACTTATTTGTGTTTATTTTTCTGTCTTTCTCGTCATATCGTTCGAGTGTGTTAAACTCGAAATGGTTTGTTCCGTTGAGGAACGCGTTTTTTTTTTCGTCTCTATGTGTGATTTACTCATTTGGATTCCTTAGTGCGCTGGATGAAAAAAAAATAATGAACACACCAAAATCGAAATAAAGAGCATTTAATGAAAATCCTATTTCAATCATAAAACAATACCTGTAGAATGTTCCACAAAAGTTTCGTGAATAACTGACGTCGAGAAAAGAAACATTAATGAAATTTGTATTCATAGAGTACATCAATATCTTATGTAATTTTTATTCATTTGGAATTTGGACGTTGATTCATCGGTCTGTGGCACGTGTCGTATCTACATTATAACAAAAGCAAACATTCGATGCGTACTGTTTTACTTCGATTTTTATCAGTATATCAAAGGGCATGTTTGTTATAAATTTATCTATCTAAACAGCTCATCTATGAGTCATACTCACTGTTTCTTTTTGAAATTTGCTCATGGAATTTGTCTGAAAGTGGAATATGTTGAATTGAATGATTATTCCGGTGAATAATCTTGATTATTTAGCATAATTTCGATGATTTACTTTATTTTTACTGATTGTTACCTTTGGTATCTGTTCTATTCCACGTAAATAGAGAGTACAGAGAAAGAGGACTTTGTCTGATAAGATATAAATGTGCGATGCAGAGATTGGTGCGTAAGTTTGAAAAATATAGATAACAACACGAATGTTACATACATATAAAGGACGAGAATGCTGTGAACATTCACTCATTCGTTTCTTCATCTACCTAACAGATGAAGTGAATAGAATTTCTATCTACACTCTCTTGTTATCTTGCTGCACATGAGTCAAACGGTTGAAATATGTCTTGTTTATTTCTTCTAGATATTTCGTTGCAATCTTAACTTTACAAATAAAATGTCTGTTGTCGCACAAACCGCCACTTCTACCACCGGCTCAGCTGTAGCTCATACAGCTGTTGCTGAAAATGTTGCTGTTAAATCAGTCGTCAGCACTGAAACTCAATCCAAAGTCAGCTTGGAAAATACACAAAAGATGGCTGCTTTAATGAGCAAACTTGGTAATATTATTCTTGATCGAACCTGTCGTTTTTCTTATTTGCATCATTCCATTTTCAGGTACAACTCATCAACAAATTGATGAATATTCTCGCCGTCGTACCGAACAAATCTCCGAAGAAGTTGCCGCAGCTATCAATCGAATTGTTGCTGAAACTCAAATTCAACAACAAACTCTCTTAGCCGATGCCAACGCTCGTTCAGCTGTCGTCGAAGAAGAATATAAACTTAAATTACAAAAGTTCGTCGAAGAACTCGATGTTGTCAAAGCTCAAAACTTAGCAACGCTCGAAAGAGACTTGAACTTACGTCAAGAGATGATCCTTGACGAGGCTCGCAAACGCATCGATGAATTGAATGAAGAAGCTAACCGATTGAAAATGGGTGTTTTGCGTGAAGCACAAGCTCAAGCTAATGCTAAAGTCGAAGCCATCACCGGACAAGTTGCTGCGTAAGTTTCGAAAATTCACAAATACAAATATTCATACTCAATTTTTTCCTTTAGTTTGGGAGCTGAAGATGCCAATCGTCTCTTGACATCCACTGCAACCACAGTTATCACAACTGAAGCTGTAGCTACTGGTGCAACTCATGTTGAAGGTGCAACAGTCACTGTTGGTGGAACTAAAACCGTTCAAAGCGAATCACATTCATCTTCATCTTCATCCTCTTCGAAAGCAGTCACACACTAAATCCAATGTCCAATTCAATGATACTTTTCTTTTACTATTCAATCAAGCATTTTGTATTTCGAACTTTTTTTTTCTCTCGTACTTGTTGTTACTTGTTATCAGTAATATAGAAAGTCTTTGAATAAATATCTTAGATAAACAAAAGCATTCATCTTGTCTAATGTACTAAAGAACTTATCTGGAACATGTCCTGTTTACACGTGACATGTGTTTTAGTTCTAACGAGCATGATGCTGAATATATACTTATAACTTCGACATACGAATGTAAAATACAAGATCTCATCTGAGATTTTTGTTCAAACTATTGGTTAGTAATACAGAATGAAGTTATTGCATTTTATTATTTATTTTAAAAAAAAGCAGCACCGTCATATAGTAAATGTAACACCATTTGTATGGTTATGAAAAGTCGAAAAAGAAAGGAGTTTATGGTAAAACAAATCGATGTGTTTTGGATAAATCCAACGCCAATTTAGTCATCTTCAATACGTTTGTGTTCGTATCGAACGTCCATTTACTCGTTGCTAAGTCTTGACCATTCCAAACGATTTTACTCGGTTTTTTACTTAGACCAAAGATAGAAATTTCATCTAATTTATTTGTCATATCCGGATATTTAAATGTCCATGGCTCGATCGTTAAGCGTTGTGCATCATAGTTGAAAATAAAATAGTTATAATGTGATGTTTCGTATGTATTGATCGATTCACCATCGTCCCAAAAAAGATCACCTTCGGCATGTTCGTTACTATCGAGAGTTACACATAAATAAAAGGAGTTTCGTCGTGCTAAGACTGTATTCATAGCCGATAATTGATGTGGAATGATAGAACCACCACGTAAATATAATGGAATGAAGTCACGTGCTGCTGGCACGTTCACTGTTCCTAATGTTGTTATCTCTTTACCGGTATAATAGTCAAACCAACGTTCGCTCGGTGGAAGATAAACAGTTTTTGTCGTATGTCCTTCGTAGATGACTGGTGCAATTAAAAGATGTGAACTCCAAAGAAATTGTTCATCCAATCCCCAGCATTCTGGATCAAGTGGAAATTCATGTGCCATTGAACGAACAACTGTTCCACCAGAGATATGAACACGATGAAAGAGTGTGTAGAGATATGGAATTAATGTGTAACGTAATTCAACAGCACGACGATTCGATGCAACAATTTCCGGCCGGAAAATACCGGGATCTTGGTCCATGTGTCGGATACCATTGTGATTACGGAAGAATGGATTGAATGCGCCTAATTGCATCCAACGTTGACACATTTCTTCAGTTGTATTACCTTCAAAACCGCAGATATCAGCACCAACATAAGGTATGCCAAACAAATTAAATTCAAGCATTCCGATGATATTATATTTGATATGTGTCCATGCAGCAGTATTATCACCCAACCAGTGGCCAGTATAAACGCCAGATGTAGGAAATGTGGAACGACTGATGACAATTGAGCGTTTATTCTCCGTTGCACGAGCTGCTGGTAATGTTGCAATAGTTTCTGACCAACCGTACAAGTTGTGAACATCGTAATGTTTATAGATCTTTCCGCGACCATCGTTCTGTTCACCAATCATGCAAAGAGTTTTGTCGGATAATAAATCACCATGAATAGCCGTTTTATATCGTGGCGATTCTAGTGGTTCTTCGAGTGGACAGTGAAGATTCCATGGTTGAGAATGAGGCCAGTTCCATGGTTGAACTTTATTCGTATCAAAATTAGCTGGTTCGCTAGAATAGAACGAATGAGCCTCAAAAGAACTTATTATTCAATTCAATTTACTTCATATCAATCCATAGGCCATCGAATTTCAATAGTTTGTAATAATCTAAAACTTGTTTTTTCCACCAGTCTAAAGCGGGCGGATAGAAATAATCCGGAAATACAGTTTTACCTAAAAGATAATTCCATAAGAACTTGTCGACAATATGTTCATTTAACTTACCGATAGGCCAAACATATCCAAGCATATTTCTATTTCCAGTTTCATTAAATTGGATATTTTTCGCTTCCGGCCATTTTATCCATATATCAGATTGTTGTCCTTCGCTGAAAACTGCGTAGTTAGGCTCTTCAGAATCGATAGCTGGATCAAGAATGGTGATAAATTTCATGCCTTGTGTATGTAACCAGTCAACATATTCTGGTAAACCTTTGAAACGAATTGGATCCCAAGTGAAATCGAGTTGATTTCGAAAATAATCGATATCACCATACCTAAACGAACGAATAAGTAATCGTGATCAAGGAAAAGATCGATCTTACATGACATCCAACGGAATTTGTCCATCGAGAGTTCGTTGCATGGCTGCTTTCATGTTGGCAAGTGTATCGTAACCGTATCGGCAAAGTTGAAAGCCTAATGCCCAATAGGGTGGCATATATGGATGTCCAATGACAGTTTGATATTGTCGAACAACATCTTCGGGTCGTGGACCGGCAAAGAAGATGATATCTAAGATACCACCGAGCGTTCGATAGGTTAACATCGATTGATTATCTTCGAATTCATCCAATTTATAATCTTGAGCATTAGAGTTGAAGATCAAAACACCAAATGCTTGTCCATCGTCTTCAATTGTCATGTAGAATGGATGCGTACCGTATAAGTTCTCATTGGATCCTATAGGTGGCTGATCTCGAGCAAATATACCATAACGTTGCGAATTTTTGAGAACGTGTCGAAATGATGGATGTGTGTTTTCACCGAAACCGTAAACATTTCTTGATGGAATTGTTGTGACAATTTGAATGAATTGATTATCATAAATAAATCCTTCAGCAAAGAATGATGTATCAAAAATAATCGATTGAGTATCTGTACGTCTAACGCGGAAACCGGCCTGACCGTTGGCTGTTTTGGTCATTTCAAATTTAATTTTAGTTCGAACAGATGCAGGTGGTAAGGCGGCTTTCCATTGGATGGGTACAGGAACCTCATAACGTGATTGATCAGCATCACGAATTGTTAAACGGATCATGTCAGTACCGGATACACTAGCTTGTACATTTAAATGATCGATGTCGTTGCCGTACATGGAAAATTCACTTGCTCGGGTTGTAGCAAGTTCTTTCAAGTGTGATGGTGATGGTTGATGAGAGTCGTCTGTTTCCTTAGGTACATTTCCACGATTAAGATTTGGTTTCTTTGATAAGCGCGATAGTGAATATCGTGTAACAGCATCCGAGAGTTGTTGTGCCGATTCTGTTTGACCATAACCACCTTTTTCTTTAGGAATAAAACATGCTGGATAGCCAGATTGACTTGCAACTTGCCAAGTGCATCCACGAGATGCACAAGCATTACTTGAAGCACCTATATCAGTAATGTAATGAAATACAGTAAAGTTTCTAAGCATTATATTCACCTGAATCCGGATAACAGTCGACTCGATATTTCGCTTCAGTAACAACAGCAGATGGTGGTTCAACAATAACTGTGCCCGATGTTGTCCATGTTATCGTAGTACTCTTGGTCATTGATAAACCTAAACCAGTTACATCGACGATTTGTGTATGTGGTCTTGTTTTTGGATACAATTCTTTGCCATCCACAGTGAATGCAGTGGGAACGTCATCCAAGCCGTAGATTGCTAAACTGTCTAAAATTAAATTTGTCATCTGCGAATAATAGTTATCAACGACAGTGATTGTTAGTTTTTTATCCGCTGATGACCATTGATAGGTAGCATAGTAATAAGCTTTCGATCCGATTGTATCGATGGATTCACCATCATCGGAGAACAAATCGCCTGCAGCATTGCCATTCGAATTCAAGACAATAGTAAGACCGTATGGTTTGACTCTATCCAATATGAGAGAATGAAGATTTTTTATGAAAAAAAAAACACGATTTGATTTACCGAGCAAATTTAGTGTTGTTGGCAAACTCTTGTGTTGGAATGATTGCACCACCACGTAGAAGAATAGGAATGGTATCAAGAGGAGCTGATAATGTGATAAATTGTTTTTGATATGGTATTTTCGCACCAGAATAGTAATTATACCAATGAGAAGAAGGAATATATGCTTGAACTTGTCGTTTACCATCGTCTGTAACTGGTGCGATCATGATATTAGGTCCAATGAGAAATTGAAGAAACAGATCGAGTGTTGTTTTATCAGTTGGATATTCATGAAACAATGGTCGAATAACAGTTGAGCCTTGTGTATGTGCTTTGTAGAACAACGTGTAATAGTATGGAAGGAGAGTATAACGAATGTGAAGTGCGCTAATCATGGCAGCAACAGCCGATGAAGACCATGCAGCTGGATCTTGATCTGGCGTTTTCCAAATGTTGTGCTAAATGAGTCGATATTGAAGAAAGATTTTCGACGGAAGAAAACAACTTACATTTCGTGAAAATGGATAGAAAGCTCCGACTTGCATCCATCTACAAATATAATCAAAATGAAATTTCCCTCGCAAGAAAACCTTCAATTTCAATTACCGAATACACATTTCTTCTGTTGGTGTTTTATCGAATCCACAGATATCAGCACCATTGAATGGAATACCGAACCAATTGAATTCGACCATACCAATCAAAGATCGTTTCATTTCGTGCCATGTCGCTTCGTTGTCTCCAAGCCAATGGCCAGACCATTGACCCGAACCGACATATGTTGAACGTGGTAGAACTAAACTTCGTTTACCAGTAATTTCTCGCATGGCATCTAATGTTGGTTTAGTTTGACTCCAACCATAAAGACTAAAATGAATAACTTCAAGTTCTAGAATCTATCTGTCTGAGTGTTCTCACTTATGAACATCATAGTGACGATATTTTGGTTTACTTGTGAGTGAATCAATTTCACCTTGTGGAGCTGACATACATAATGTTCGATCAGAGAGACGACTGACACGGTTTGACTTTTGATCCCAACGATAGGCAGCTTTGGTACGATATGGTGGATCTTCCCAATCGTTTTGTGGACATTTCAAAGTATAGTTACTGCCTGTATCCGCCCAATTCCACGGTGCAGCATCATTGGTATCGAATAGAGCTATGGAAGTTGAGAAAAAAATATGGAATAGGTAAGGAAATGCAACAAACAGAGATCATTACCAGGTTCATTCATATCAATCCAGAGTCCGTCAAACGAGACATTGACGCGATGAAAATCTTTGATCCATTTTCCCCACCAGGTTTGTGCGCGTTGCGTAAAGAAATCTATTGGAAAGAGAAGAGATTTTGCACATCTATAAAACATCTATTTACCTGGAAAGAAGACTTCGCCAGGCCAGCAAGCACCTTTCATCAATGAATTTCCATCTTCCCATTTGATAAACACATCCTGAGCAATTCCTTCAATGGTTGGTGCATAATGTTGTTGATCATCAATCGTACCAGGATCCAAAATCACAATTGTTCGCACGCCTTCACTGTTCAATTGAGCAAAGTATTCTTTCAAACCAACGAAGTTCTTTGGATCAATGGTAAAATCTTTTTCTGCATCCATATAATCAATATCAGCATATTGAACATCGAGTGGAATACCAGCATCGCGATTTCGTTGGACAATATTTTTCATGTGAGTTATATTCGAATAATCCCAACGAGAAAGTTGAAAGCCCAGTGACCAGTATGGTGGTAGAATTGTACGGCCAACAAGCCAAGTATATTGTTGCACAACTTGTTCAGGTGTCGGACCAAGAAAAACGAAAAAGTCAAGAATGCCACCAATTGTTCTCATAGTTAATGATGGTGTTGGTTCGAATGAGTAATCCATCGCATTCGAATTAAGTAGAAGAACACCATGCATACGACCGGATGGAATTTCATTGGAATTGGCAATCTGTTCCATGACAAGATAGAATGGATGTGAACCATAATGATTGGCATTCGTATCCCAATTCGTTCCTTGGTCACGTGCAAATATGCCCCATGTTTTTCTCTCTTGAACATTGTGTTTGAGTGTATCGTGATTATTTTCTCCAAAGCCATAGACATGTGGCGATTGAAGTCGTGTGACAATTTGAAGAAATTGATTATTCAAAACAAGACCGCCAAGCGATGTGTCGAATAGAACAGCATTATCATCTCGACGCTTAATCGCGAACGAGAGAATATTAGCACGTGAACTATCTGATGAATAACTGAATTGATACTGTGGAGACGATACTTGAGCAGAGGCAGTGTTTAATGGTATAGGTACTTCATAACGTTGCTTATCAGCATCGTATAATTTGAATCGAATGATATCATTAGTATAATATTGTACATCAAGTAAAACATTTTCGATTGAGTCTTTGAACATGCTACCAATTGCTGAATTGCGTTTTAATCGTAATCGCAAACCGTTGGTTATTTGTTCTTCAGAACCTTGTAGAATATAACCAACATTTGGTGGTAGATAACAGTGTGGAACACCTTGAGCAACATTCTCATCATATAAACAATTGCGAGCTAGGCAAGATTGTTTCGAAAAACTTGAATATTTCGAAACAGCATCAGGGAAACAATCGATTCGTTGAGTTGCTCGTGTAGTTTGTCTTCGTATAATCGAAGATTTACGTGCAGATATGTCTGATATAGTTACCACAAGTATGACAAGAACGATGAGTGTAACAGCCGACCGGACCATTCTTGTCGATCGACACTGACGGAGGAACTATATCGAAAAACAAGAAGAACTAACGTTGATGTTAAATCGAGAAAAAAGTAAAACATTTCAAACAATATTTATATGAAACAAAATCATGAGAAGCAAACCAGATGACGCTCACCCTCCTCCGAGATTTTGGAATAAGACGTCGTAAATACATAATAATGATAATAACGATGATCTCTGACAGTACATGGGTAGAGTGCGCTTGGAAAGTGCAAAGTAAGAATGATTACATAATTGAATAGCTAATCAAGACTTGCCATCTACAAATCAAAATATAAGCAAATTTTAGCCCTTAGAATTCCATCAAACCATAAGAATGTTTTTTCTCACAAACCTAACCTTGAAATAGTCGATATTATGTCATCGAAAACAAATAGAAAAGTTTCACAGCGTATATGGATTAAAGAGATAAGCACAACCTTTCGAAACGAAAATATTTTCTCCGCATATATAAAACGTATATTTTTTGAGATCTGTTGAAATCTCACCTGATTTCGAAATGATTTTCTTCTGAATGTATCTTTAGTGAAAAGGATAGCATCGGAAGTTCGACTGGTCATCGAAAGAGAAATATCTATAAACATACACATAGATTGAGTAAACAATTTTTTAGGGCAGTTGGACTTAAATATCACGTGTTTGTTACATGACTAGAAGGAAAGTACGCATCTGGTATTCTAAATTTAGTTTTCTAGAGCGATAACAACAAGCAAGCGAGCATATAATCACAATCGCACCTATCACCAGAATCTCAGTGCATGTCGAAAGCAAAATATATTCGTTAGCAAGCCCAAGACAAACCTTTTCTTCTCAACTGTCACCAGGCAAAGCTTAGCTCAGTGTAACGCGCATGCTTTTATAGGCCCTTCTACCACTAAGGATTAGTCCCTGGATCAGTCTAATGCGTATTTTGTTGTTAAGGTTAACATTCTCGTTTTTTTTTGTTGCTGAATAGATTCTGTTTTATTCAACAGAGTAATACCTGAAGTAAACAATCATCAAAAAATGTGTCATCCGATTCGATGCAAGACTATTTCGAATGGACATACTCAAGTTGACTGGCAATTCTGACTTACATTTCGGTGTTTGTCGCATTGTGACTGACAGATTTCGATAGGTTCTACGTTATTTTCGTGATAATTGCGTTCACATGATTATATAACGAAGATCGTCAAGTATACGATTGAGTTGAATCGAGTTAAGCGAGTACATACTTATTCGCTTCCAGCTGTATATTGATTGGATTTCAACAATGAACCAATCAAAATCGACCGATCATATTCGAATTGAACTCTAAGTCCTTTTCTGTCTTTGACCTTTAGAAAATGTTCTACTAGTTCTGGCGAGGGCATAATCGATAATGAAAAGAGTACACGAACTATCAGTACAAGTGACATCTAACGAGTTCAATCATTTCGAAACTAGTACTTAAGAAATATCAACACAGCGCGTGTTTTTTTATTGAAATAAATACTTTCTACAAATGCAGTCAATTCTAATGTATTCGGGAAAAAAATGAGAAAATTCCGAAAGTTAACAATGATCAATTATTTATATGGATTACATTCAAGAGAAAGTTTGTTATAGGTGTTTTCGTCGATCTTGATAAAAGTTTTCTCTTTGAACGAGAACATGTAAACTTCACCTTTGTATATATCAGTCCATAAAGCATGTACTTGAAGCTCTTTTCGATTCAGTCGTTCTCTGAGAAAAGGATACGATAAAAAGTGTCGCATTTGTTCCAATGTATTGACCTAGATAACACACATCTGACTTAATGATTACGAAAGGAATCTTTACCTGCGACAGTTTATCCGACGGTTTATACTCATTATTCGGGTCAATATATGCTTCGAAATCATCTTCATGGTGTTGTGCACTAGCGAACACGAGTTTACGTTTGAAATCACTGGACGATTCGAGTTTTTGAAATTGCTCAACCGTTCCCTTAGCATGAACTTTCAACCATTGATCGAGTGGATTCTTTGACGGAATTGAAATTTCGTTTCGAATACGGTATAATAAATTCATCGCTTTACAATCAGAATGACCGAAAACAGTAATGACTGGTACGTTATTTCTTGAGCATGCTAATTCCAATGCTGCACATTCACCACCAACAATGTTATTTTTCTCAAAATAATCGTAAGGTGGAACTAAGTTACCTAAAAAACAGAGAATGTTTACGAACCATGTGGAAGAACAAGAAATCTTATTTACCAGGATTTCTTACAAAAAACAATTGACCAGGCACTGCTTGAGTTAAACGCGATGCAACCACACGACTATCAACACATGTTAGAAGAAGACCTTCAGGCTAATATAGAAAAACATACACTGTTACTGACGGTGTTCACGAAATGTATCTTCTTACAGAAGGTCCCATTGCCACTTTTTTGAATTCTTCCAAAAGTGTTGGCCTTAGCGCTTGACGATATTGCATTATTCCGTCGAGTATGCGATTCATCCCTTTACGCACTGCATGTACAGTTGACATACTTGTAGAGCTTCTAAAAAAAAGCAGGATTCTATACGCATATTAATTCAATTGCAACCAAAACACTCGCATTAACGCGTAGCCAATGCATCGCTATCTGACACAGATATGGTGAAAAATCAGATTTCATCGAAACGAATCAAAATCATACGTATATGCACGGAAAGCGACATCTAATAGCAGTAGTATATAGAGTGGGTCAAGTACCCAAATGTTAGTTGATGAAAACTAAGGCGATTGCAAAATGTCACTTGATTTCGTACGTTATACCTGCGGGACGATCAGCAATTCTACTTCTGAAGGTACAGGTGATCACGAAAGAATAAGTTTTGAGCGTGTCCTCTTAACTAATGGTTTCAACAGTCTATGGAATCATCATATATTTTGACGTCATCACAAAATAAATGAATAACTTTAAAGATCAGATTCCGAACCCTGATCAGTCGCTTTTCATATGTCTGAACTAGACCACGCCCAAGAGCAAATCGAACTTTGATCGTCATAAGGTGATTCCGATAATCTCATATCAAAATACAAAGAATTCAGTTTAAAAATTTTATATCATACAAAAAGCATGACATAGCAATAGTTACAGATCGCATTCATGATTATTTCCTAGCATCCTACTCAACGCTATCAGAAACATAGAATGATAAAACAATCCAATGTCACACGTGTCAGACTCAAGGGTACATGATACTGTTTCTATTGACGTATATGGTGATCAAATATGGAAATTATATTCATCGAAAAGATTTCTCAACTTCATGAAACAAAATGTTTCACTGAATCAATAATTGATTGACGTCCGCGGTGCCCTCGGTGTATAATGAAAAAGAATAGAGTTCCATATGCACGTTTGTCAACAGTTCCATGACGTCAGTTATAGAATATATTCTCCATCTCTTCTCTTTCTCTTTCTCTTCCTCTTCTCACCCGTTCAGTACCATTTCATTTTATACGATGGGTAGTCGCAAGTCAAAACACATCATTCCATCCACGACTCTCACTGATGAACAAATCAACAAGATGTGTCAACAACTTCATCTCTCGACCGACGAAATCCGACAACGACACTCGGACTTTATCCACCAGTATCCACATGGTTTCATCACTCGAGAACAGTTCTTCGACTCTCTCAACGAAGTCTGGCCTGAAACTCATATCGACAAGTTCGCTTCTCATCTCTTCGTCACCTTGTGAGTCAGTACTGTCCTATTCTATCCGACCGTCACTCACTTCGTTATAGAGATCGAGATCGAAATGGTGGAATCGATTTTATGGAATACATGATGTTGACTTCTAAACTCGATTCGGATCACATGAATGTGAACAACGATGAGAATGCCTATCTCGAACTGCTGTTTGACATCTTCGATCGAAACCATAATGGGTGAGTGTTGTAGTTGAGATGGAGTATGATTGACTAGATATGTTACATGTAGATATCTGGAGAAACGTGAACTGAAGCCACTAGTTGAATCGATCTATGATTTAGCTGGTTTGCCGGAAGATGAACGTCATGGAGTGAACTCAAGTCATGCTCAAGTGAAATATTTATTGAATAAGCTGGACAAGAATGGTGATAAGCGTTTATCGAAACAGGAATTTCTGAATGAGGAAAACTGGAATCGTACTGAACAATTCGGACGTCTTCTTTTTAATTACTAAGATCTAGATGATCAGCTAAAAGACAATAATACTTTTTGTTTAATAATTATACGAATAAATGTTCTCTTCAATAAACAGAAAGTTGAAGTTTTCACAATAAAAAGTTCTTTCTGTTGATTTCTGAATCTGACAAATGAACAAAGATAGGAATAACTGCAATGATATAGATACTGTGCATCGTCCAATTGTTGCTTTAGTTTCATATAGACTACCTTCGGTACTTCTATGTCTTTATTTTATTTATACTACATGCAACTGGAGGACGGTTGACGCCAGAAACTAGTTTCCTTTGAACTTTGCGCAGTTCCGTACTCAAAAATAATCCTCGACAGCGTACTAATCGATCATAAATGAAAAGTCTACTAGTGAGGCTATGATATTTAACTATGGAGAGGATAAGTCACTCGCCTGAATACTTATCGGCCAATCTTTTAATTACACTCGTTACTTCCTTTTTGGAAGTCTACAAAGTTGGTAAAATAGAATACTGAATCGTCAAGTCATTACGTGTGATCTTTACACCTACGTTAATCATTTGGTGGTGTGCTAAGAATGTACGTGCATACGATGATATTCTGTACAACTTCAATGCCTGGGCATATCTGAATGTTTTCTTTATTTCGTATTAATAAAAGTAATTTGCGAACTTCGATGAGCGTATTTCTCGCGAGTTGTAGTATACCCCTATACAGCAAACAATGCATCCTCAATTCACTTGTGTGTCTGGAGCAAGAACAAGATTATTCAATTGAACTATATCTTTCCGCACGATCATTAGTTGACATCAGCAACATGAATATTTCAACACATACGCCTGAGTTTCCATTATGCAGCTGTTCAGTTTTTTGTATCATCTGTTTTTCGTAGATTTTTCACGTTGAAAAATGCGCACAGGACTCTTGCATGGCTTCTCGAGTACTTGAGAACAACCCGTATTTTCAATCTTTTCTCTTAGGCTTTCATAGAATTAATGAGGAAAACCTATTAGCTCAAATTACATCACACAAATATCGAGGATCAACCGGCTTTCAAGATCAGAAAGATAGAATTTCTAGTACACAGCACATTTTACGGGAAAAGTACGTCAGAAAGAATAAGTCGAATGGAAAAGGTGCGTCACTTTACATTTTACTCAGGTATACATTTATCTAGCGCCATTAATCCCTTGAAATACAATAAGTTTCACGTGCATGTCTGTCAACAGTTCCATGACGTCAGTTATAGAATATATTCTCCATCTCTTCTCTTTCTCTTTCTCTTCCTCTTCTCACCCGTTCAGTACCATTTCATTTTATACAATGGGTAGTCGCAAGTCAAAACACATCATTCCATCCACGTCTCTCACTGATGAACAAATCAACAAGATGTGTCAACAACTTCATCTCTCGACCGAAGAAATCCGACAACGACACTCGGACTTTATCCACCAGTATCCACATGGTTTCATCACTCGAGAACAGTTCTTCGACTCTCTCAACGAAGTCTGGCCTGAAACTCATATCGACAAGTTCGCTTCTCATCTCTTCGTCACCTTGTGAGTCAGTACTGTCCTATTCTATCCGACCGTCACTCACTTCGTTATAGAGATCGAGATCGAAATGGTGGAATCGATTTTATGGAATACATGATGTTGACTTCTAAACTCGATTCGGATCACATGAATGTGAACAACGATGAGAATGCCTATCTCGAACTGCTGTTTGACATCTTCGATCGAAACCATAATGGGTGAGTGTTGTAGTTGAGATGGAGTATGATTGACTAGATATGTTACATGTAGATATCTGGAGAAACGTGAACTGAAGCCACTAGTTGAATCGATCTATGATTTAGCTGGTTTGCCGGAAGATGAACGTCATGGAGTGAACTCAAGTCATGCTCAAGTGAAATATTTATTGAATAAGCTGGACAAGAATGGTGATAAGCGTTTATCGAAACAGGAATTTCTGAATGAGGAAAACTGGAATCGTGCTGAACAATTTGGTGGTCTCTTTTTCAATTAATTTGATATTAATAAATTTCGCTGTGTTAAATACTGAGGATAAATTGAATACTGATGAATTTTTCTATCGTTTCCTTTTCAAACCGATGGTTAGTTAATAAAAACGTAGGTATTTCAGAAGATCTTGTTCTTGTGTGTCTTATCTTGAAAAGTACAACACTCTTGAACTGAATTCACACATGTACTTTATCAATAGTAAACCGTTTGCACGTCACAATCTATCACTCAGTGACTAATGTCATAGCTTTGTCGGTGCTTGCTATATTACACGATCTAATCATTTATTACGATCAGCTGAAGCAATATTTATTATAGTGACAGATGGTGACATAATAATCGTAAACGCTATTTAAAAAGTCTGCGTAAAACAACTGAAAGTAACACCCTATTTGAAATTATGGTTTGTTCGCTATTCAAACATCATATTGAATTGTTATCTTTGCTTAGTTTTATCTTATTTTCAGTATGAAATCATGAATAGGAAACAATGTTGCTTTCTTCCTACTCGGATAACAATATGTATACTGATCTACATAAGTAAAAGATTAGCCAATAAAGAATGCGACCGTGTTTCTTAGTCACTGTTAACATTAACGATTAGCTTTTTAACAAGTTTGTATACAACGAAGAATTTTCTAAAGTAGTTTCTTTGTCCGCAAGATTTTTTATGCGTGACAAGTCTTCGTGGATTTAACTAGATGTTAATTTTGAATTTTTCCGTGTACAATACGCTAAACATAGTTCCAGGATTTACCGATCGCTGAATGACAATAATTTTCATAGGAAACGATGATCAATAATAAAACATTCATATTTACTAGTTCAACACGATTCTATTGTATTGCTGTAGATAGTTGCAAGATGGATATTGATAATACAACAAAGTACTTTTTAAATACAAATGAACTTTACTCTCATTCTATGTTAAAATAGGTTCAAGCTGCATAGATGGACTAAATGTCTATAGTCCAATAGGAAAAGAATCTATTGTAGGATGTGTGGAGAGTATCTTGAGGAAAAATTTTGTTTTCTTCTTACTGATCAGGACACGAATTGACATATACTTTTCGATTGTATACAATCAAGAAATATCTAGAACAAATATAAATACCGTTTATCGTAATGCATTCTTCGATACCAGACGACATTTTCTTTTTTATTGCATCACATTTATTTTTATCATTCTCTTCTATTCGTTCATTGGAGTTCAAATGCACCGTACTACATGCTGCACTGTTTGTTTTCTTTCGAACTCCACTACAGTTCGACGTGCAAAATCATCAAACAGTCAAAATATTTATTGAACGTAGTTAAGCAAGCGTTCTTTTCTAATCATTTTCACAACTATTTATCTGACAAAAGGACTCGTACTTATCATTATTTTTCCGTTATCTCATCATTGAGATCTGAAGAGAGTATATATATCTTATGCAATTGCATACTTCTTTTCTATATTTTTATATCGAAAAAGAAGGCATTGAGTCCAGTAATGCAGATGGATTTATTCAAAACTAAATTATTGATATTCGTCTTGTTTATTGTTCAGTGTAAGTAACAATTTGATTGATTATCATTACAAAAAATAATCAAACTATTTTCTATTGTAAGGTAATGCTATACCTCGTTTCGCCAACTATATTCAAGATCATATGGTACTTCAACAAGCTCCACAAAGAGCTGTTGTGTGGGGATTTGGAGATACAAGCAAATTGACTACACTTCGGATGGATGATAAAATCTATACGACTATCAGTGGTGCAGAATCTGTCAACGAGCAAGATGAAAGTATTTGGTCAATAACGCTTGATCCTGTCTACGATGAAGGACCATTTGATATTCATGTTTCACAACCATTAGCGAATGGAACTCTGGTGACAATTACCATTCACGACATTCTGTTTGGTGATGTTTGGATTTGTTCAGGACAATCAAATATGCAACTTACAGTGAGTCTCATTCATAATGCAACAGAGGAAATTGTCAATGCTGGTAAGTATCCGAAAATTCGAGTATTCACTGCTGATCAAGAAGTATCAGCAATGCCACTCGAAGAACTACGTGGTATTCGATTAAACTGGTCAGTGGCATCACCTAACAGCATCGGTGGACCAAATTGGAACTATATGTCCGCTGTTTGTTGGCTCTATGGTCGTATGATTCATGTTGCCTTAGGTGAGCGACCTATTGGACTAATTGCTTCGTCGGTAGGTGGAACACCTATTGAACTTTGGATGCCACCGAAAGCACTGCAAGATTGCGGAATCCCACCGTATGTTTGATCTCTTCTATTATTTATTCACTTTATGTTTTCATTAGAGATGATAGCGTAATAGTAAAATCATGGAATTTCTCTTCTACAGAAACAGCTTCTAATCACTCGACTTTGTTCAATGCGATGATCTATCCATTTATGCGTACAGTCATCTACGGAGCTATATGGTATCAAGGTAAAACAGTCGATAGTTTCTTTTGTGTATCATTGAGCATATCTATTCTTGTCTCCAATGAAGGTGAAGCGAATAGGGACTATAATACTCATAAGTATGCCTGTTCATTTTCAAAAATGATACAATATTGGCGAGAATCGTGGAATGAACGTACCAATAATATTACAGATATTCAGTTTCCATTCGGCTTTGTTCAAGTAAACTTTACCCATTATTATCGCATACGATGTTATGTCACTGTAGTTGTCGACATTTGCGAATAACAGTGAATACATTGGTAGTTATCCCGAAATTCGTTGGCATCAAACATTTGACATCGGTTATGTTCCTAACAATGTTGTTCCAAAAGTATTTATGGCCGTAACATTAGATTTACGTGATGATCCTAATGGGTAGTATTCGATAGTCATTTTCTTGTTTGTTCATTTTCATCTGAGTTTTATTTAGTGATCATCCTCGCTATAAACACGATGTGGGATATCGTTTATCACGATCAGGTCTTGCCATTGCTTACAATCAGCAAGTCGAGTATCAAGGACCTATTGTACAAACTATCGTTTATTTCATTGGTAGTCAAACGATAAATATTACTTATACAGCTGTATCAAACATTGATTTACGTAATCCAAATGGATTCGAGATTTGTTGTCAAGGAAGCAAATGTGCTAACGATAGTTTATGGATTCCAATAACTATTTCAAGTCGAGTTGAATTGACTATCACTTTGTCAATTCCTATTTCATGTATTGGACAACAGTTGTATGGTATTCGATACCTCTGGCGTGAAACGCCGTGCCCGTTCAAACAAGCAGCGATCTATAGTTTTACAGACCCTAATTTACCTTCGCCACCGTATTTGAAATTATTTTTGACGGACCGTCGAGAAGTTGAAAATAACATTTTTACATATAAGCGCTGAGCTCAGTAACTTTGAATACAATAAAATGTAAAAGTTTTGAAAAGAAAGGATTTGTAAAAATTTTTAAAATAGGTGAATTCTTATTTGTATTGTTCTTTTTCGAATAATGTATTCATAGCCATATGAAGAAATAAAGTACAACTCTGACTGCTAGAAATAAACATTTCAATGTGTGAACTTTCACGCATTACATCTACCAATTTCAAACTGAATAGTAGAATCGAGATAATCATGCTTAATGTTAAGTAATGTATAACAATATTCTCATCAATGTTATTCAGATTTAGTTCTGGCTTTAGTGAGAAATCATCTTTGGTACCTGGACTTCTCCGTATGCAATCATTCTTTTTAAAGCAGTTAGTTCATGTCTGTTTCTTGTTCACTAACTATCCTCTCTCTCTCGCTAAACATCATTCGATTTATTTTCTAGTAGATGATTAGTATACTGCTCACACATGTTCTTTTTATTTCCAATAGAAAAGAAAGAAAACGAAAATGTGCAAATCAAAGAGAGCATTTACGAGAAAGAAGCAAGTTTTTGGAAGGTCAGAATAGTTACACCAAAGCTGAAAAATATCTCAGACAACCAACGGCAACAAAAATTACTGGAATTCGTTTGGAAGCGTTATGAGCTCGAATGAGATTTCACGAGCAATGTGCTAAATTTGTATCGAATGCAGTTGGAGGTTTTGCACACACGTCTAACTTGAAACTTGAATTCAGCTATCACTTTAACCATTCGAGTGGTCGACTAAGAACGCTTCGGAGGGTAATGAATATTATAATAGCTGAATACTCGAACAGGTAGTTAAATAATTGGATTAACGTTTCGAGTTTGACATTACTACGTTTATTAACAATGTTCTATCAACAGCTGAAATTTTAAATCGTCTATTTAGGCTTTGATACGCAACATAAACCCAGCACATCAGCTGCTTTTTTAAAGCTAAATAACCAAGAAAATAGGGGATAGAGATCTCTAGCTCAAACTCAAGTCTGGAAACATTTTTCAAAAGTCTTCTCTTGTACAGAGCGAAGATGAAGGTGAAGAGATGTGCAAACTCTGTAGAAGCAGCACCTTGTTAATAAATAATAGACGTGCTTCGATCAATGATATTTATACTTGAATGAGTTTATTTTATTGGATTGATGATTTGACAGAAAGAAAAAAGATTCTTCAATCATGATTGAAATCGTTTGTTATGTCTTTCTTTCTTTCTTTCTTGCTGACAATGATATCTATTGGATAGGGAAGCATCCAATACAAAAGAGTGAAGAATCTGAGTCAGCTATTTGTACGGTACGGTGGGTGATACGATTTTGTTCATAAAAAGAAGTGACTTTAATGGCTAAATCGATTCAGTTTTTATCGTTTCTCGTTTGGTTAATTCGTTGTTTCTTGTATCCATGGGTTTATCTTGGTTTTCGTTTAATATACGGAAATCAAAAGTTCCGTTTACCACCGATCACGAATCAACTGTTACTTCAACCAGCAACTGTAATTGCGAAACGTATCAGAACAAGAGAGGTAAGCTAATCTTTCTCAATAAAGAATTTCATAAGGAATGCTGCGTATTACAGATAACGGCTTATAATGTTGTTCGTGCTTATATCGATCGAATTCATGCTATTCAACCGTATTTAAATGTTTATGTCGACGAACGGTTTTCTCCGGCGATAGCTGAAGCACAGGAAATTGATCGTGTTTTAGATTCAGTTTTACGAGGTCAACGGTCTTTACCCGATGGATGGACAGAAGAACGTGCGCCATTCCTTGGTGTTCCATTCGCTATTAAAGAATCAATGGAGTTTGTCGGATTTCACAATTCGACAGGAATTGTTGCGCGAAAAGATTACATATGTACGCGTACAGCAACATCGGTCGAGAATATGCTGAAAGCTGGTGGTATACTTCTTTGCAATACTAATGTCAGTGAAGGATGTATGTGGTTTGAATCGTAAGTTTTCTCAATCATCTGAAATATTCAAGGAGATTTGTTCGGTCGGTTTGTTCAGACGAAATTCTCTCTATGGCACTACGAACAACCCATACGATTTAACAAGAATCGTAGGTGGAAGTTCAGGTGGTGCGGGTTGTATAGTGTCAGCAGCCGGTGTTCCATTTGCTATTGGAGCAGATATTGGTGGAAGTATTCGATTACCTTCGTTTATGAATGGAATATTTGGTCATAAAACTACACCTAGTATGACTACACAATGAATACGAAAGTAAAATATATTTCTTGATGTTGTTTTTAATAGATATCGTTCCAAACGACGGGCAATATCCACCACATAAAGAATTTCATCAGAAGTATTTATTATCCACCGGACCCATGTGCCGATATGCATGTGATTTGCAGCCAATGCTGAAAGTGTTGGCTGGTTCGCAAAATATCGAAAGATTATTGCACATTGATATTCCCGTAAGTGAATCCGATGAAGATACTTTGACTTTAGTTGTTTCGAAAACGACCAGAACCTTCTTTCTATCTCTTGATAGTCAAGGTAAAAGGTAGCTATGTACAAGGGCAATCAGCCGATGGCGAATATTTGTTCATTGTTTTCAAATTGAATATGCCGATCTATCTATTTTAGGTTAACTTAAGTAAACTACGCTATTTTTATATCGATGAACTGGACGCTTATTTTGTAAACAAAGTTGAACATGATCAAAAAGCAGCACATCGACGCGTTGTCGAACATTTCGAGAACAAATTCAAAATCCATGTGACTCGCTTACGACTAACACGTCTTCGTCATGCTGTCTCACTCTGGTCAGCGATGATGGTCGACGGACAACTATCATCACGTGATTTCTCATTAACACTCTGTGATCGTACATCCTATCTCAATGGCTATCATGAATTATTACGCAAGTTTTTATTTCGCTCCACACACACGTTACCAGCTATCGGCCTGGCCATACTCGAAGCCATTCCAAATAAACACAATAAACATTTTCACAAATTAGCACATAAATTCTTCGACGAGGTGCAATCTCTACTAGGCGATGATGGCGTGCTCTTTCTACCAACATTTCCCGTCTCCGCACCAGTTCATGCTTGGCCGGCGGTGTTGAACACTTTCGATTATATCTATTGTGGAATTATCAATGCATTAGGATTACCGTCGACCCAATGTCCCTTAGGTTTAGATCGACAACATCTACCATTGGGCATCCAATGCATTGGTGGACGTGGTCGAGATCAGTTACCACTGGCTGTTGCGCAAGAAATTGAACAAGCTATGGGTGGTTGGGTGCCACCAAGTCTCACATCAGTAGTTTAACATTTTTTTAATATTGACAATATTGTTTTTTTTTCTCTTAGCATTCCGCTCTGAATTGAATACTTTTTTTTCATTTCTTTTTTTCAGATGTCTGAACACGAAAGTGCCTCATCAGATGACGAAGAACGTATCAATGAAGTGACAAAAGCAAAAAAGCCGAGAAAAAACATTGCATATCAACGTGCGGCACGTCCGACGACTTACGATGATGACGATGACGATGATAATGATGAAGATGACTTTGCTCGACAACTTCGTCTTGAAAAGACGAAAGAACTTCAAAATCAAGCTGAACAAGTCAAAACGAAAACTGATCCCGATGGCACTGTCTACGAATGGGATCCGGCTGTTAAAGGATGGTTCGTACTGAAGAGAAAATCGAACTCATCTTCACTTTATTTCTTCTCTCTAGGTTTCCCAAAGTTTCCGAAGAATTTCTTGTCGAACATCACATGAACTACGGTTTAGAATCTTCGTCGGGTGTTCGCTACGATGTTCAGCATCAAACCTATGTTCACGAACGCGATGGAATGACTTACAAGTTAGACAAAGAAACACAACAGTGGATACCGTTGCAGTCCTATACTGATGAAGCTAATCATATCAAATATACCTTCTCAAAGAAACATAACACATGGATACCTGATGTTAGCACTTATTCTACAACAGATTCTGAAGGCAAACAACAAACTTATGTTTGGCTAAAAGAACAGCTTCAATGGAAGCCTTTGTCAACCGTCGATCAATACACAGATCATACAACGGGGTTAAAATATAAATGGAATAATCAGACAAATAGTTGGGACAATGATGGTGCTGAATCGATCGAAGATCAATCTTCGACAGAACAAAAACCGCCAGCAGCAACATCTACGTCAACACAAGACCAGAATACCAAAAAGAAAGCAGCCGAAGGTTAGTTTTTCAGTGACTATTTTGATCTACTAAAATAGTTCACACAGTAAAAACATTTTGTTTACGTTAGTCAAGAGTTCGAGTCTACACATAATCACTCTTTATACTTTTAAGACGCATACACGTTGAAGATGATGTAATTTTATAAATAATGGTGTTTTCTGAATGATAGAAATATCATCAATGATTGCTCCTTATATTGTTTCTGATTCAATTGTATGCAAACAAAATGTTCACTTTTTTTTCCTAATTAATCCTATTCGATTTTCTTCTTTAGGTTGGTTTGATTTACCAGATGAGAAGAATTGTAATGTATACATAAGTGGTCTTCCATTTGACATCACCGACGAAGAATTCGAAGAGCTAATGTCCAAATATGGTGTTATCTCACCTGATCCAAATAATCTGCGCAAGAAAAAGATGAAATTGTATCGAGATGAACAAGGAAATCTTAAAGGTGATGGAACATGTCGATATCTGAGAGTAAGTTGTTCATTTTCCTCCGTAAAAGAATATATCTTGTTTTTCAGCCCGAGTCTGTGAAACTGTGTATCGATATGCTGGACGAAAGTGAATTTCGTTCGTCGAAACTTCATGTTGAACGTGCAAAATTCGAAGCTAAAGGAACATTCAATCCTGATCTGAAACGAAAACGAAAGAAATTGGATAAGAAAGCGAAAGAACGACAACGAGATCAAGTGTTGAACTGGGAAGATCGTCCTGAAGTTATTCGGCATAAATACGAACGAATTATCGTCATGAAAAATATGTTCAACTTGCAGCAATTCAAAGTAAATTACTTTCCAAAGCTTTTCACAACTCACTTTGGATTTGTTTTGCAGAATGATCCATTATTCATCGATAAATTACGAAATTACATTCAAGAATCTTGCAGTGAATACGGAGAAGTGAAAAAGATCAATATATACGATGTAAGTAGCATTGAAAATGACACGAATCTAATTTTTCATTCTTCTTCTACAGACGAATCCCGCTGGTATAGTGACCGTCGGTTTCGCTGACATTGATCAAGCAGACGCCTGTTGTCAGTACATGAATGATCGAATTTGGCATGGCAGAGTTATTCAATGTCAAACTTGGGATGGTAATTTTTCGCTTCTTTGTCTCGATATGACACTCGATGTTTGTCTCTCCTTGTTTTAGGTACATCAAAATATGATGTCGCACCGCAAGAAGAAGAAGAAAAGCAACGCATTGATGAATGGCATCGATATTTGAACGAGGACGATGATGAGCTAGAATCCTAGTTCTTTCTGTATAGTTTATTTATACCTGTGGAATTAAAAAGGAAGGAAAACTGACTCATTGTTTCTTGAACTCTCTCGTCTTAGTGTGAGGAATTCAAATAGCGCTGTGTCCCGCATCAAAGTCTGTGTTTCAAAACGACATTTAACTTTTGAGAAATTTCGCATATAGATGCCCCACTCTATCGCCAACAGTTTCTCGAAAGAACTTAGATGTCGCTGCAAAATTATTCTCTTTCTTGTTGATTCATGTCGGCTTGCTCTGTATATTTTGTTGATCAGTGTATTGCCGATGTAATAACTTCTTACATTTCATAATCGTCTGTAGCATCTACATTGAATATTCTTGTTTCAAGATATGCTTAACATATTCAGTCTTAAACAACAACCTCGGCCTGGTGAGAGTGCATCCTCCGATACCGGCGGAAAGAAATTATCAGCAGCTCTGTTACGTGTCACAAAAGGTTACGTATCATTGTGCGTAAATTTCGAAGTAATCATCTTTAATTGTATTGTTTACTAGATTTGAGTGAAATCGGCACGTTACCACCAACATGTCAAGTAACATATCCTAACAAAGATGATCTTCTCCATTTTACACTTACAATCACACCTGATGATGTATGATAAGATTAATCTAAAACAATAAACTAATAAACTTCTTTCATAGGGTTTTTATAAAGGCGGACGCTTTGTGTTCTTATTCACGATCGAGTCTGAGTATCCTCATACACCACCGAAAGTCAAATGTACCCAAAAAATCTATCATCCAAACATCGACCTCGAAGGCAACGTTTGCTTGAATATTCTTCGGTAATTGTATTGAAAATTTCGCTATTTTGTTTTTCTTAAACCAAATTCCTTGTAGAGAAGATTGGAAACCTGTCTTAACAATTTTATCTGTTATTCTCGGCATGGGTTTTCTTTTTTCGGTAAGCTCAACATTTTCTGAACTGATTACTGAACAACAAATTGGTATTTTAGGAACCTAATCCAGATGATCCATTGAACAAAGAAGCTGCCGAAGTATTGAAAACCAACGTTAATACATTTCGATCAAATGTCACGAAAACAATGGCAGGTGGAGTATTAAATGGTGTTCAATTTGATCGGGTACTTACTCGATAATTTAATTGAAAATATTAATCAGACAATATCACTCAAGACATATATTTATTGGAGAAAATTTGTCCTTTTGTTTGCTATTTACATTTAAAAACTAAATCAAGATATAAACGAAACTTACACAGACACGTGTTCTTGTTCATTTTTGTTGTCGGATTGTTGACGACAGTTATAAACATGTTCAGTAATGCGAGTATTTATTGAAATGACCCCGACGAGAAGTTCAGTTAATCATTTTGCAAAACAATCCAGAAGAAGAAGAAGAAAAGTATTCAAACAAACACAAGAAGGAATGAGCGCACACTCTGTTTACGTATGAAAATAGATTAAATGTATACATATCACAAGAAAAATCAAGAGTTATTTGTTATCATTTGTATACTAGATATCAGTTTTATCATTAGTATCATTAAACGATTTATGCCGAAAAATATTTTCATTTTGAGATTCATCGGAATCACTTGAATGATCTCCTGAATTTTTTCTACCCAACTGACTTGCTGGTCGCCATATATCAATATTTGGTTGTGTTGTCGTTGATGTTTCTTTAGATTTGTCACCTGTCTCGAAAGTATCTTGACGACCACGTCGAGTCTTCGGTCGAGACAATGGTGAAGTCACTTTAGGCTTCATAGAATCCTCGTTGTCGTTAAACATTTGATTGTAATCAATATTCTCCTCCTTCTCATCATCATCGGTGCTATGATGTGAATGTATGGGTAGAATCTTTTTGTCGTCTTTCTTCGGTGTTGTAACGACTCGTTTAGGAGAAGATAGAGGACTTCCTTTCGATGGCGTATGTTCGCCGCTATTCGATTGCGATGTGGAGTGTTTAGTTACACGAGTTCGATGAGGTGAATCTTTGGAAATTATGAGAATAAATTCGAGTTCACGACTGGATGAAAACCTACTTTTTTGTTCATCGTCATCGTCAGTGTCTTTCGATCGTGCCAAGAAAGTTCGTTCTGCACGTAAGTTATGGTCGTTTCTAAGCAGCGGTTCTTTACAAACAAAAGTTGTTTCTTCCTTGGTTTGAATATTGATCAAAACAATCTAGAGAAACAATAATTCGTTAATTGAAAACAAATGCAAACGAAAGAAACCTTATGAATTTTCCATTTTCTTGCTGTAATGCCCGAATTGTAATATCCAATCGTTAATTTTCTTGGTTGTTCATGCAGATTGTGTATCAAATCCATGTCGAATGTTTGACTTTCACCCGATTCAAATGAAGGACACATCTTCGTGCCTTTCTGATAGATGAACGAATCTTTTGTTTGATTATTCAAACGAATATACATTTGAGTGTCTTCCACGGCATCAAATTCTCCATCAGTCTCTTTCGAAGGATAAATCATCACTCGATACCGGACGGAATCGTGTTCATCATCACTTGATAATGATTCGGTCCGATTCTTTGCAAATTCTTCTGGTGAGGATGATGCGCGTTTCGTGACGTTTGCTTTGGGTTTTACAGGTATAATCGTTTTCTTCGTAGAAGATTTTCGACTGCTGGTTTCTTCGAATGTTTCGGATAGATCGAGAAGTTTTTCTTGCAATGGACGAATCCATTGCTTATATGAGAATTTATAATGTACTCGGCGGTCGACGTCAGTGAGTTCGATATGATCGAGATGCCATTTGATGATATCTTTCTCTTCATCTTCTGTTTGCAGTAATAATCGAATCTGTTTGGGTTTGCCGATATCCCGAAGTTCGATCTGGAATGTATCTTCTCGGCCAGATTTAAAACACTGAGGATATTCTCGCATATCAAGTTCATACGGATCTGTTTCGCTTTGACCGTCAGTTGATAGGAGTGAAATGTGAAGAGATATGTCCGTCAACGAGTTCTTTGGTAATTGAAAACTTCCAGTAGGAACATGTGAAGAATGAAATGTGATGTACCAAGTTTTCGGCGATTTATCAGTTTTAGTCTGACCTGACGACGAAATGGCCTGTAGAAAAAGAAATTTGACCAGTTTTACATAGATCAATTTAGTGATGACTGACTTTTGATGAAGAATCTTTGTCTTTTTTTCTCTGACCACTCAAATCTGAAGCATGTCCATCTTTTGATTCGTTGACATTTTCCATCTCATCAGCATCGTCTGATTGATGCTCTGAATTGGCTCCGTGTTTGACAGGAATCTGAACTGATTTCTTCTTCGTTCCCGCCCGATCCGAAACCGGCATTGAGATAGTTATCGTTTTCTCCTCTTCATCTTCAACGTCATCGCAATTCTTTGATTGCATTTGTTGCTGAAAACGGCACTTCAGGCAAGGTTTTGTTCCCTGAACAGAGAGTATCGCGAAATGACCACGTTCACCACCCAATCGAACACCATGTCGATGTTTGTATTCACAACATGTGGAGATTCGACTATCGATGAAGCCTTTGACGTACAACGATAAACCAAGTGGAAAATCAGAATGACGACGCGAATAAAAAGAAAACTCATCTGGAAAATAGTCGACAGAAAGATGTCAAAAAGATGAGAAGAAAATCATATCAAACCTCCTGGTCGATGGTTTCCTTTATAAACAATCAGATTTTCTCCTCCACAATGCTGTTGCATAACCATAATTTCATCGGTTGAGTCGAATACCGAATGATCATAATCGACTTTAGTATGCAAACCGTAATAGATCATTTTAATTTGACATGAAGAGTCCGTTGGTTTCGTTGCCGAACGAGAGTGCTATTCAAACACCGATAAGACATATGAAACGGTACGATTTTCGAAAATATTTCTTACTAGAGAAGACGAACGGTGAACAGCAGATGATTTTGGTCGATGAATTGGTCGTTGTTGAAATGATGAGCTCTTCGATGGATGCTTTCGTGAAAGGTCATCACTGACGTTTGCTGATTGTACACGTAGAACGCGAGGCTGTCCATCGAATTCTTCGTCCATCTAATTAATATGAAATCTATCTTCAATCAGTGAGTCTTTGTAAGAACTTACTAGTTGGACATCTCGACGTTGACGTGTCGATTTTGATCGAGTTTGCAACCACGAATCATGCATCGAATGCGCACTTATTTCATCCGATCTCGACGCGTTCACTGACGAATATCCACTGCCCCTCGCCGGACGCCGTCTTGATTCCTAAAAGCTGTCTCATAAATTCGACAAAAAATGAAATTCATCACTTTTACTTTGACACTATGTACTAATGCAGCTTTTTCGATCTTATCGAGTTTACGTTTGATTTCAGCTTGGCGAGCTCGTTCCATATCGATTGCTCTGAAAAAACAATTAAATGTTCGGAAGTACAAGAGAGAGAGAGCATTGCTTCAATACCGATGAACAATATTTTCAGCAAGCACTTGTCGAACATGTTTCTTCCGTTCATATCGAGCTAATTTCGTTCGGTATTCTTTTTCCGAGATGATGTCGCCTCGGCGACCAATCTAAACACCACACGTTTATGAAAGAATCTTCTTTTTCTAATCAATTTACTAGTCCCGCTTGTCTTAAATGAGTTTGAATACGTTCATGGCTGAAATAGGATTGTAAATGCTCGTCAGTTAAGGCATTGTAATTAGCCAGGACTCTAGATGATAGATGTTTTCAACACTTTTGTACAAAGTAAAGTAGTACCTCGAATCCAGTAGATGACTCATGAGAGAAGAATAAATGCGATGTGTCGAGTGCCCGTTAATCGATTAATAGACACACACTTGCCGCTGTCAATAACTGAGATTCTGGCAATATTTTAAAATAAATAGAGACAAACGCCATTGTTCTTTTCTCATTCAGTAGTTGTTGAGCAACCATTAGATGAAAAAGAGCATTCGATTTTCGAATTGAAATGAAAATTCGCCTTTATATTTGCTTTGATTACGATCAAATCTGATCGTTCGATGAAATTTGTTTTCCTTGTTGAATGAATTCGACTTTCGGAAATGTGAATGTGGCTCCATCTTCAATGAAATGATCGTCTATACATCCCTTGTTGGCCTTCTCTTATTATAGAAACCCGATAGTCAATACTATCTATACAAATGTAGGCATATTTCGTTTGTGCATACTCCGACCAGTTCATCGGCCCGTCTGATCGTCACATTCTATTCAGTCTAGACCAGACATATATGACGTTCTTCACAATAGACCTGGGAAAGTATATTCGAGAGATGAAAATACGAAATCGTTCATTGCATAATACATAGTCCGCCAGTTAGATCTATTAATGATTTCATCTTTTGTTCTTGTCTTTATTTAACCGATATCATCTATCTTAAGATTTTTTTTTTCTTTGTTTTATCGCACATATAAAAGTTTCACGTTTAGTCACATATCTTTACAAGAAAAGCTTACCGTTAATTCCTGATTATTGCTAAGTGAATCGAATAATGGCTTCAATAACTTCAATCATATCAATTTTCGTCTTATTATTGGCTACTTATTGCCATTCAGCTCCAATTGAAACAGAATTTCAATTTTCAACAGTAGAAAATGAACTTACATCTGTCACACCAAAACCGATCGTAAGTCAAATTTGCACTGACAGCTGATCAATTTAAAACGAACAAATCTCTCTGTTTAGAAAGTCGCAATAGAATTCAACACCGTTCCAAACACACATTCTAAACGATTAGAAGGTCACTCAATTGAACAATTTACAACTGAACGTTCAATTCCAGAAAAACATAACAGCAATAAACGTACCTTATTGGATGAATTCACAACAGTATCATCATTCACCGTTCCCACGGCCCACAAACGATCAGATGACGATTCGAGTGAAGAATTCACAACAGTATCATCATTCACCGTTCCCATGACCCACAAACGATCAGATGACGATTCGAGTGAAGAATTCACAACAGTATCATCATTCACCGTTCCCATGACCCACAAACGATCAGATGACGATTCGAGTGAAGAGTTCACAACTGAACTTTCACATGTCGATAGTAAACGAGGAAGTGATGAAGTAGATGGTGAAAGCACCTCTGAAGTTACAGTTGGAGACGTCAACGACAAACGATCAGTTGAAGTTCAAAACGAAGAAGACTCCGAAGAGGCAAAACGATCGATTGATGAATGGACCACCGAAAAAGCCGAAATGATCGATGGAAAGCAAAAACGAACAGAAGAACACACCTTCCCAAACGAATTCTTCACCACAGTAGAATCAAGCACAGATTTCAACAACCGTGTTGTTCGACTGTTGGAACATGAACCCGTCGACTTAGAATTAACCACCATTCCTGAAGTAAATTTTCATAGATTTTCTCGTGATTTCAATAGCGAACGTCTTCTTTAAAATTTCTAGTCATCGTCATTTGAAACACTCGCTCATACAACTGGACTTCTTAAACAACGCCACGTTCCAGTTCCAGAAACCGAAACTCCAAAAGGTGAGCGAACAGATACAAAGTATATAAGCATAACTGAAAATGTCGGTACAGGCGAAACCAGAGACACAGAATACTTTCGTGCTAACGATTTATCTACATTCAATCAAACTGCACATGAACAGTATTCTTCATCATTTAATGATGAATCAATTCTGCTTCTATTTCTTCTTGCTGCACTTCTATTTTGTATAATTTTCGTGGCGAGTTTCATCGCCTTCGTAAGTTCGCTATGAGACCAGAGACAATGAATAGAAGATGAGATCGACGAACATTTTATTTGATCATGACAAATGTAATATTAACTTTTCTCTCTTTAGAATCAAATGAAAAAGAATTTTCAACGCCAGAGCCCAATAAATGAAATGGAAGCCGAATTAGACAAGCAATATGACCAACATGAAAGTTAAATCTTTTACTTAATTCACATTTTTATTCATTTTGGGAGCTTTTCTCTCATTCAATAACAATAATGTTAACTCATCTACCTTTTTCTTTAATAAAATAGAAAAATTTTCTCATTAACTGCTCACATCTTAATCAAATCCAATTCGGGGATATTTGGTCACTGTCTGTCCGTATCGATAGAATTCACTTGAGGATGATATCCGCAAAGGTATAGTTGATATTCTTGAGTGTATCTGTTTATTTCTTCTTGTCAAAAATGTACCCAATGCAAACGAAGATGTGAATGTTGCCAGTAAGGAAAACGACAAAGCTGCGTTGAATATAATCGCACTTCCACCATTCAAGTACAAGTGTAAGTTAATGGTTAGAATGGTAATCCAGAAGAAGCTCGACGCGAAAATCAGACAACTAGTTACACAAATCGAACCCAGTCGATGTTGATAAATAAATGCATTCATGAATGAACTGATAATCCCAACGAGAATCAACACTTGACCAAGAATGGCAAATACAATTGCAATCTCATGTCTTTCTGCTACACTTGTGCATCTATCTTTAAAGCAACTTCGGAAAAGGCCTGTTTTGTTGTCGTAACTATCGATTTGCCACCCAGAAGTCGTAATGGCCAACATAGACATAATACACGAAATCAAGGCAAAGATAGCACTAACAAGAAGAATCAGTTGTTCGGGAGATTCATCGTTGGAACTCATGACGATTTAGCTTTTTCTTTGTTGAATAGACGAAGAGAACGAAAATAACATATTTCAGTGAAAAAATTACGCGAAAAAAAAAACAGCGCCTAGCGTGTTTCTAACTTACGAAAAGTCCGCTGAAAAACAGCGCGAGCTTCATTCGTTCTATTCTCATCTTAAGTTAAATTCTGTAATATTATTCATCATGTTGAACAACTACTTAGGTATGGACACACCAAAATCTCGTTATTTTACTGTGAATTTATATTTAGTTTCTCTTCTGTTCACTATCGTCTTCAGTTTCAATGCATTGAATGGAAATCCTGTGCGGCCTTCAGGCGGTCTGCTTGGTTCACAAGATCTCCATCATCACGTCAAAGGATTCGCGTATGCCCATCCATGCGAAATCCTTTGTATGGGAAAATTATCCTCAAAAATGTCTATTAAAGAAAAATCAGTAAGTGACTTCCGATGGAAAAACCACGAATCGATTTTTGCTTTGTTTTTCAGAAAATTTGCCGAAAAGAATGCGCCGGACTTTTGTTTCGACCGGCAATTTATAGCAATTACGTTGTACAAGGAAAAAAATACTAATCTATGTCGATTATTTGATTCTTTTGTCGATAAATAAAGTTTTTCGTGAATTTTCTTAAAATAAAAATTCGCCGTTTTCATTCAACACTCTAAACGATAGTACGTGTAGTTCTTTGCGATTAATCGCCGTTCGATTTCAACTGAAGAATTAATTCATTCCATTGACTTTTTAATAAATCGATTGAAATGCAAATCGATGAATCTCCTCCGCACTCAACTTTGAAAAAGAAAAACTAATCATCATCTCTTAGAGTGTTTACAATCTTTCTTCCATGCATCGATGTAAGACAAACGAAATGGTTCTATAATGACGTTTTCTTTTCGAGACATCAGGGTTATTTGAACCTTGAAGCACGGATTATTTATTATTATTTAACAATCAAATTCTGCTAGAAAGTGTTTAAATATCAATCTCGTCGAACGTACGAAAGTTGAATTGCAATAATTTCCAATCTCGTCGATAAGGATCGTCGAATAGCATGTGATGACTTTTCTGAGATGCTTTCGAACGTTTGCGATTCCGCCGTGCGATTACATAAACGTGAAGAATCTCTCCGTATAGAACAATTTTCAAGCAAATTGAAATCGTAACCAAAGAAATATTCAATGCTAATGAATATTCAGTCATGATCAGACACGAACTTCCAAAGCGTTGAATCAGCACAAGAACACTTATGATAACGATGACTGTGGCGAACACATTCGAGCAGAAATGAGTGGCAAACAGTAAACAACAGGACAGGAAATTTCGTTTCTGAAGAAAGATACCGATGCTAATCGGCGCAATAATGAGAAATGGAAATGACCAATAGCCAATCACCGTAGAGAACGGACACGTGTTCGTGATGGTTAAGACGATTTGAAAGCCTAGTATGGCAAAGATGGACACTAGTTGAACGCTGGAACAGAGAAAATGCAAAGGTATTTCCGAATCTGATTTGAATTGAAATTGCTTCTCGCGCGTTATCATCATGATTGCTGGACGACGACGAATGCTTTCTTTTTCGTTCTGTTTTCTATTTACATACTGATGAGAAGAGAACAGAGCACGAATAAAGAGAGAGAGAGAGAGAACATTCTCTCTTCGTTCAGAGAGTATCGCAATAGACTAAATGTGCGTATGAATTTATTTTCAAACAAATTTTACATGACATTCGATGCAAAAATATTGAGCAAATTGTATCTGTACAAAAATCCAAAAGACAAATTTCTATGTACACATATGTAAAAACAATAAAGATCTGACGTAAATCGAGCACATTCTCATTCAGTACTATTTTCCACGAGATAATCATCAACTGGAAGACATTCACCTGCTTTAACTGAATCTAAAACATTCGAGAAAACAAATGAGAGAAGTTCATTTGCTGAGATCCGATTTACCGATAACCCATTGTTCAGTTACTTGAGGATAAATTATGATTGGCAATGCCTTTGATGAGCGTCCAACAACAATCTTTGCCAAATTACGACTAACGGTTATCTACAAAAAACATGAAATGTAGATCTCAATATCAATGATCTGGAGATAGTTACATTTCCGCTTAATAGTGAAATCAATCTGAGCAGTAATGATCGTTGCTTAGCAATAGATGTAAGGTAAATCAATCCACAATCTTTAAATAGATGTATAGGTTTTTGTTGTTGCCGAGATTTTCGATAAATGTTCAATGATGAATGTGTTTGATAGAGTTGTTTAGGTTCGAATTTGTTGACACTTAACCATTCGCCGACACGAGATGAACATTTCAACCATTCGAATGTTACTATACGACTGGAAAAGAAATAAAAACTGTTGACAAGTTTCTTCATGAGAAAATCATGTACCATCCATAGATTAAAGCAAGCAAAAAATCAATTGTTAATCTCATTTGTGGATCATCTTCTGGTATGATAACATGTGTAGTTGTCATATCAATGGTGTCGAAAGAAAAACAATCACCCATACGACGTGTCAATCGTTTTGCTTCTGCTAATAGACTGAAACGAAATCAGATTAAATGAGAATATTATTTGTTAATTTTCGAATTCAGTTACGTTGGTTCGAATTCATAGAAAACAAAGGAATAGTTTGCTGGTGCATTTGGTAAGTCTTTCATTGATGGTAATTGATCATTTAGTTTAGTGTCAATCAGTCGTTCAGGATGTTTCCTGCGGATTGCTTGGGAAAGTGCAAGGAGGGGTGGTGGCCGAGGTATGTCATCCTCATTCGTTTTTGGTAGCTCAGGATCATTGATCTCCTCTTGATCGTTTCGTTCATCTTCTTCGTCAGGGCGAACTTCAAAGTGAACCTTGGATTTGATTGGATGCAACGGTGAAATTCGAGTAAATGATGAATAATCTGCTGTTTTCAAAGGTGTTATACATGGTTTTTCCGCGGGAATTTTTTCAATAGGAATCTCAACAGGTGGTTCTTTCTCGACAACATTCACTGGTAATGGTCGACACACGATTGGTGAAGCGAGTGGAGTCGATTGTGGACGATTACCAAGTGCATTGTATTGTTTTTGGCTATCGAAATCGAATGTTGTCGAAGGAGACAGAGGGAGTGGACCTGGTGACTTGCGACCAGGACGGATCGCCTAAAGATAGACAGATATCAATAGCAATTGCCATCGTATGCACTTACATTAGCAAAATGAATGACCGGTGATGATTGAGATTCAGTGGGAACACTTATTGTCGTTGGTAATTCTTCATATTTGATAGGATTGACTGGCTCATCTAGATTCACCAGATATCTTCTGAGAGAAGATTTTCCGAGTGCAACTAACCTTTCAATTCTTTTTGTGGAGTTGGTTTCTCCTGAATCTGTCGACGAGCAACACTGCATCCATATCGATGTATTAACACATGATTGTCGTCTAGAACAAATCAGTCGTAATAGATTAGATGAATTAACTACGGGTATGCACACCTGGTAAGTCCATTCCCAAATTATCCAAAGTGATGATTCGCTTTTGATGATCATAATATTCGTGAGGGTCGCCTTGATCGAATTCCCCTCGTACAGGTGTATAAAGAAGTTTTTTCGTTCGTTTTTCCGAATCAACATTCGCATTTCCGAGTTGATTCGGCTAGAAGACCACAAATTAGATGAACGAAATTGAATAGGAACAAGTAAGTCATACCTTATTTTTTGGAGTCGATGGCGCCGGTAAATCGTCACTTGCAATTGCTAATCGATCAAATGTAAATACATCTAAAGTAGATAGCAATGGTTGAAGCATTTCTATTCAGATAGTTACCTATCGGTTGGACATTCTCATCGTTTTCGATTTGATATTTGTCCGTTTTAACTAGTCGTCTTTTTCGAATCGATTGTTCTAACCACATCGGATCGAGTAGAGGTATATTGTATTTTTTCGCGAATAATTTCGTTTCTACATTGCCATTTTTGAAAATAATATGTGTCGTGGTTGTATTCGAAGGATGTTCGACAATCTTTGCACCATATTTCGATTCTAATTCTTGTCCCAAGCGAAGAGAACGATCACATCCAGTTTGACTTGACCGATAATCAACGAAAAACTCACATTCTAAATAAAATTTCAGTGAGAATAAGTGCAGAAACCAATGGCCAGTACACTCACGTGAGAAGAGAACTGCTCGATCAACTTTTGTTGTTGATGTCATATCTGAAATAATTAACAATAAACGAATGAAAGAGAAATGATTGAGCAAATAAATAAATATGCGAAGAAAAAAAAAACATCAAGCTTCATCATCCGTAGTATCACTAAGCTGAAGATCTTGTTCTAGAAGAAAAAGAAAGAAAGAAAAATAAGATTAATGTGAAGGTCTTCTATCAAACCGAGTGTTGCATGCGATGCTCGTCTTTGTAAGGCATGAGTTTGTACAGGTGCAGAATTTGAAGATAATGTAGCAGTGTTCGTCGATTGGTCTGGCGACACTAAAGTAAACAGTGACTGATAACGAAATCGGATAGAATCGATTAAATAAACATACATTCTTCGTCACTCAACCGGTCGTCCATAGGAGATAGAGGCACTTTACTTGGCATTGGTTTTACTGGTGCATTCACAGTTGGTTTACTTGACGTGTTGACTTTTTGTGTTGTTACTTTAGCGGCTGCTGTAGCAGGTTTTGCGGTCTTTTTCTCCCCTTGTGAATCAGGTTGACTTGAACGTGGAATAGTTGCTTTGATCACTGGATTGGCAGGACGATTTTCCATTCTAAACAACAAAGTTTATGAATTGCATGGAATGAGAGTTAAATCTTTACCGAACATTTTTCACTCGAACATTCGCTGATAAACGTTCGAGAACAATTTTACCGGTATGTGGATCGATGATCATGACACATTCTTTCGGCGTGTAAGATTTCGTACTACCAGAAAATTTCGTCGATTGAGTTAACGAACCCTAGAAAGAAAGCAACGCGATCGATTCACAGTTTCGATTTGATGTGTCTTACTTCAACGTTAGGCAATGTAATAGAAACATCATCGGTAGATCCAACAGTTAATTCGGCTTGTTCAGACTTTACTACGGATGCTGGTTTAAAGTCATCTAGACGGGGAAAAGTTTCATTAAGTATATCACAATAGTTCATTCGTGTTGTAATTACATTTTACTGTATGATAAGCGTATTTGGATGGATGTCCGTCGTTGGTAGCATTCCATGTATCACCGAATTCTAGATCATAGACCTTTCCTTCTTCTAGATGTTCGAGTATAACATTTGTGTTTGTTGAAGCTGCCATTTTCCGAAATAAGTAACACAAAAAGAGTGAAGTTAGTTTGAAAGAAGCTATTCCAACGGTTGACTCTTCGTCACTGATTGATTAATCTTCTCAACCAATGAAATTTCATTTCACATCCTCTAATATCAAACAGGATTGGTTGCTAATGATCAAACCGTTGTTTTCTCTTCCTGTTCATCGAATATTATTCTCCCGTAGTTAATATTTTTCATAGACAAAACAATGTCGATGATTAATGAGAGCAATTCGTCATTGATGAGTTCAATTTCGACAAACAATTTCCTACGCGATTGCATCGATTTAGCAATTGATGGCTTTTTATTTCGTGGTATTACACCAGCGGATCATTACCATCGCTTTTCGAGATCATTTCCCAAAGCTTTCACACTTTTATCATCGTATCCGAATCCATCAGGAGCATCGATGATCATGACGCCCAAACAGTCTCATCATCATACAACAACAACAACAACATCAACGTCTTCTTCATCTGTCAAACAAGCGAGCATCCATCACTCTCGAACAAATAACATCCCGCCTCTTGATCTTTCATCATTAAATTCAAATATATTACTTGAACAACAACCTGTCTCGACAATTATGTCAACGAATACTCCTGGAATCACAATCAAAACCAAAAAAACCGTTTACAGTCCAAAAGATGTAAGATTTGTCTCATTCTCTTTCCCTTCCACAATAGTCTTTGCTTTTCTTGGAACCTTTGTACTCGACAGCTTCGGAGGTTAATCAGAGAGGCGAGTCATTGCTGCCAAGCATGACCAAGGACATTCGATTATATCATCGATAAAAACAAGCAAACATCTCATGTAAAAAAAAACCTTCGTCACAATATATTTAGAAAAAGAAAGTGACGTGATATTTTTTTTTCATTAATTAGACATCAGTTTTGATACGTGCCTTGTTGTTTTGAATTCAATTAAAACTAAATTGCGAAAAATTTTACCGTAAATGATCGCGCCTCGATCGAACCTATTGTGGTAAAGGCATGCGTTCATTGTACTTTGTCGCGTCCTGTCCTTTTGTCGTATCGAAGGGCTCATCTGAAAGTACCGAGACGAGAAGAACACGATAAAAATTTGTTTTTGATACACTTTTAGTCGATATCTTCATCGTCTACAACTGATCGTCGAGTGAACAGCGCTCGTCGACCGGGCGTAAGTACAACGACGACGACGACGACGACAACCACAACCAAAACGCCTCTTGTTGTATCGAATACTCCGAATACACCTTTATCATCAAATGAACATTCTCCATCTGTCCATTCTTTTAACCCTAAACGACCTGTGACAGCACCAAGTCCGTCGTCAGATATCTGGAATTCTCCTCAACAACAAATCAGTCCGCTGGAATTCGAAGCGCGTGATATTCAAGAACGAATGAGTAAGCATCGGGTACGACATGGTCGGCCAAATGACCTTTCTCACATGACGCCAAAGCAAATTTACGATGAAAAATGTGATATGCAGCAAGAATTATTACGTTTCGAGAACAAATATTCCAAGCCAACGACAAGTGAACAAAAACGTATTATGAAACCATTGTACGATTATTATCGTCAATTAAAACGTCTTGTTGAAAAGCAACAGCAAACTTAATATTATTACCAAAAACGTTTTTTTTTACATGTATTTTGTCTTTTGTACATTGTGTGCGCGTGTTTGTGTGTATGTCTGACCTTTTTCTTTTCTTTTCTTTTCTTTCTCTCAGATAAAAAATGTAGAGGCAAACAAATTGCTTCAGTATTGCAAAAGAATGACGTGTATAGAAGAAAAATGAGTGACGAAATCGAAATGAATTCTTTTTAGATTCTTCTGTTACGCAATGGCTGAAGCTCTAACATCCATACTGAACTTGTCGTCTCTTTCACTGTACAAAGCCAAATCCAATTCTATATCTTCTCTCGCAAGTCAAAAAGAACGACGAAATGAAGTTTTAACGAAGCAAAAAGAAAAACGAGAGCAGCTCGTCTCTCAACTACGTTTCATGACTAAAGATGATGAACCAGTTGAAGATAATAGACCTCACTGGCCTCCCCGTCATCACCGCAAAAATACATCTCCATCATGTCCAATCGAGATGATGCTAGCCGAATGGTTATTTGCTGCTCCCGATGATATATCATCTTGGTTTGCTATTCCATGTCCACGCGGTCAACGATGTCTTGTTGTTGTTCAATCCAATCGGACGCTTGTTTACGGCAAATTCGGTAATCTTATGTGGACAATGTACACACATTTACCCAAACAAACAATTCTCTACTGTATATATGACAAACGCTCATCGACTTATCATATTTTGGATTTGATCATGTGGAACGGACAGGATTACTCTACTCAATTCGAATGTCAATGTCGATTTTTTATGTTGGTATCATTAAATGATGACACAAGATTGCAACCGCATTTTCAAATCCTACCTCGTACGAGACTCGACGAGAAGCAAGATTTCATCGAAGCCGAAGATGGTTATTTGTTTTATCATCCACTAGGTTGTTACGAGCCCGGTTATTCTCCGCTGGTTTGTTGGCTTAAGCCATTTATGATCGAAGAAATTCTCGGACTAAAATTAACTTATCCAGTAGATAAACCTGTTGGTTATACAACAGCACAAGCTTATATGTTCAATGAACAATCCAGTAGAAAAGAACATGAACAACAACAACAACAACAATCAATTGTTAGAAAATCACGCAGAAAAAAGAAGGAAGCAGTACAAGTCGAAGAAGAATGTGAACAAGAACGAACAGGAGAAGAGAATTTAATGTCTGTTGATGAATCGATTTAGACAAGATTTTGTTTGATATCCGATGTCTCTGTATAGGCAATTCCATTCGGTGTTAAACGATACTGTTTTGAATTCGTCGTTGCTAAACTATTCGGTACAGACAACGATGTTTGAAGTGTAGAATTTTTTCGAGTCGATGTTATTGAAAGATTATTTGTTGCTGTCGGATTTGTAATCCATGTTTCTTGTTCTAATTCACAACGAATATGACGACGAATATAACTCTCATCAGAAATATCTTCATTTTCTTGTTGATCAATTGAATTCTCCAAATCAACATTTGTCAATACACGCCAACTGGGTGTAAGAATTTCATGAGGAGATGAACTGCTAATCGGCCCAGACGTATTCGCTGAGGACACGGTTAATGTCGATTGTGGAGAAGCTAGTAGAAATGACCTTTTTTTGCGAACTTTAAAAGTAAATTTCATCAACTCACCGATCCGTTTCTGTCGTTTGCTAGTAACATCATAATTAGCGGAGATGAAATTACTGTTCGATATACTCCGAGAGTCGTCTGATGGTCTTTTTTGAGCTTTGTTGGAATCTGTAACAATGAGAGATATCGACGATTGCAATTTGGATGGTTGCTTCTTCTTCATTGTTGATGTTGGCAGTTTTTTCGTGTGACTTGAAACATTCAAATTCGAACTATGACCGATACGGTCAGCTATTTTCGACAGGGATAAAATAAGATCCGATTCTAAAATGAAAACCAAACAGACTGTCAGAACTTCCGAAAGACAAACCGACAAACCTGGGGACGAATACTGAACGTAGGTAGTTGAATAATTATGTTCAATATGAATACGTTGAGTACGCTTTAGTTTCTTCAACAACTGACTATCTTCTTCTTTTCTTCTTCGATACACTCTACAACGAGCACAAGATGATTCTTCGATGTCATCGTCGTCCGAAGATTTCTTTTCATCGGATTGCTTTGTGAGTAGTTCCAATGAATTATCGAGAATCTTTAGACGATGATTAAACCAAATGTTTTCTAATGCATTCAAATCCGAACTAAAAGTGCGAAAAATACAATCGAGACTTTCAAATAACATCGACATACTATGTTTGTGGAATTGTTTTATCTTGATTACTATCCAATTGTTTCAGTAGCATTTGCCTTTGTTCGATCCAATGCAATCTTTTCTTCAAATCATTTGTCTGTTTCAATGCAGTAGCCGGATTGTAATACCGACTATGACGAATGTTGGATGCGCTTGTTAGTTGACCATTGTTGACAACACTGTGCAATTCGTAGGTTAACAATTGTTTTATTGACTTATTAAGAATATTAATTGATTGCTGAAATTTATTCTCAAGTGATTTCGATGAATAATAAGCTGAAGAACTGATCGGCAAGGGTGAACTGGTGGGTGAACATATTCGATCGAGTAAATCGTCTACGAGACATTGGATTATATCGGTATCAATCATTAAAGAATTTATACACATTGATTATGACTAGATTGATGACAGAAAGAAGTAGAAGTTCTATTCAAAGAAAGAAATTGAATGAGTCAGAAAGATTGCATATGTCATTCGTTTGTTCACGGAGACCAATTGAAATTGTCCAAGAATATCCTGTAAACGAAATCTTCTCGATTTTTATATGCAAAACAAACATCTGGAATAATGAATCTTGAATAAAAAATAGTATTTTGAAAATTCGAATAGATGTCGTTAGCACACACTGTCTGTTACCATTGTGAAAGCCGATATTCATATATGTGTTTGCAAAGCTGTTATTCACTTCCATCCATCGATTTCTGTTCTGTTAAAAGATCCGTCTTATAACGTGTATCACGTGACATGAAAAAAAAATGCAGAGAATACACATGATCTATCGTCTTGAACAATTTTTGATATATGATGCAATTAATTGATCTGAAAACAGCATAAATCTCACTCATACTTCTTTTGATGTTTTATCATTGATGATTCCGTTTAGTATCACTTAGTGTCAAACTGTGTTTGATATGTTTTTGTTCATCTTTATGGGCTATTCTGATAAAAGTATTTTCCTTTCGATATGATCGACTCCCTACGTGCATATATTTATGTCAATTCACACACACTCTCTATGCGTATCATTAATCTTGGACAGCGCAAACTTCATTTCTTTGATGTGTTCAAATTATGTTCTTTCTCGCACGTCCCAAAGTATTTTTTTCTCCTTTACATGCCGACTTCTAATAGTCAATGTATCAGAGAAGTTTATCCATGTCGGCTATGTTGATGTCATGTAAGAACAAGTGCGAGAACTCTCTTGTATACATGCATAGAATGATCGATGTCTGACAACGAAAGGCACTTAATTCGAGATTTATGATTTTTTTTGTTTCGTCCAACGATTCATAAAGAAAGATGAAAGAGATGCGAAAACGATATCGTTATATGTTCATGAAAAGACAGATGAGACTGCCCACATAAACTCAATCGATCAAGACGATCGAACTTTTTCGCAACTGGTAGAAGAAGTTCAAAAACGAAACGATTGATAAGTAAAAAACAATCGATCATACGAATTAGGAAAGGAAAGAAGACTCGCTAGAATATTCCATCAGCAGACACTTGTCAATCATAACAAGAGCAGAATGGAAAAAGAAAGAGCGACCACGTCGATCGATATTGGCTAAAAACGAATCGATGTCTGTCGCTTTCAACCAATGACTATATAAATGGTTTCTCTTTCTCTCTCTTTCATCTGTAATAGAGAGAGAGAGAAAAGAGAAAGACAGAGAGAGAAACATCGTGATTTATGATCGATCGAACGCGCGCCTGTGTATGTATTCTTCTCCACCTTCAATCACTCATCATTTGCATTTATTCTCCTATACATCTACACATTTGATTCAATGACAATGTCAATGAAGAAACAAGAGCAACAACAACTCTATGGCGAATATATTAATCCAACAGTAAATTCTAGTCAAAAGTATTAGTAATTTACATTCAATTTCGATTGTTTAGATTGATCAATATCCAGCTAAACAAGAAAATCCTTTAGTGTTGATGGCACAAGCATGTAACAATATCGGGAAAGAATTATCGTCCTCCTCGACGATGTTAGTCACTTCAAAACAACGAAAATCAAATTCATCACCCGAAGTTAAGAAATCATTGAAACGAACCGCACCTTCGACTCCTTCACCTCCGGCGAAGAAAATCTCCTTGCAGCAACCGTCGCTTCCATCACAAAATTCAGCTCCACCTCTATCCTCATCAACTTCATCGTTGTTGCCGCCAACAAATGCACAATCATTCTATTTTCCCCCGTCACCTTTCATGTTCGATTCACTTCTTCTCCATCATTTAAGTAAAACTTTCACAGCTTCACCATTCTTTCCAACACCGCCGTTCGGACACTCATCAAGTTCGGCATTTTCTCCTTCGTCGCAACGCTCTCCTTACTTCATGGATTCAATCTTAACACCATTGAAGCCTTCGCCACAGCTGCCAGCATTCGTTTGCAATTGGATGGAATCCAATAATCCCGATGGATTCTGTGGAAAACGGTTTGCCAACAATCTCAGTCTGCTTGAACATCTCTGTACAGCACATACATCGTTATCGTCGTTTAAATCTTCATATCCAACATCTATATTTTCGTCGTATTATTCACCGACGTCAGTAGGAAAACTTTGAACAAAATAAAACAACTCTACAGTCATAAGGCGAGGCTCATTTTCTCTCTTGTTTTGTAAAATTTTTCAATTTTCGTGTGTGTGTGTGTGCTGTTGCTTTGTATGATTTTCGTTTCTCTCATTTTCTTTTGTATATATAAAATATCGATAAAACAAATCTTCGTTTTAAAATGAATATTAACATTCCTATGATGTAAAAAAGAGTGCATTGAATGTATTTATTCATTCATTTCTTTTGACGGGGTTATAGATGGATATTATATTGTCTCGATTAGTACACCTTGAATATGTCTTATTTGCTATTCTTTTCATTCGCGATGATGACGATACAGTGATTGATTCTCATGTTGGATATAATACACAATCAGCAAGTAAAGGTAAGGAGAAAGTTTGTCATCGTTTCTCTACATGTGTATAGATGACAAAGGAGTAGAGGTGGATCATCAAAAAGTCATTTATATTTTAAGCTAAGTAAAAGCGATAGAGACCACTTGAGAATATGTATTGCTTGTCGTTTGATCTCTATGATCACAAACATAGTTTCGTATACCTAAGTCGACTCTCTCATCAAGGGAATAGACACAAAAGTGTCAATTACAAATTCATAACGCCTTTAGAGAAATCAAATAACACGAAAAGAAAAGAGAAACAACGAAAGAGTCATTGAACTCACAACACTAATCGATTAGATTCGATGTTGTAACAGTACAACACATTCCAATGGGAAATTTTAACCAATAACTGAACATCTCTGCTTTCTTCCACTTCTTTTCTCTTCTTCGTTCGTCATTAGGTATCATATTTAGTCAATTGGACATGAAAGAAAAATGTCGACTGCAATTGAAATGACACAATCAAAGTCAATAAAATGTATCGATTATTGACTCTGCCTTGTTCTGGATGCATTCGAAACAAAGGAAAAAAAAGTGAAGAAAAAGAAAAACACAGTTGTCGTTTTGTCTATCTTTATTTGAGTTAACGATGCTTTTAAAGGAGGAGGATCTTCTTCGCTTTGATCGGTGTGTGTCACAGCATGTTCGATTAATCGACTCTCATATTGCCCATTAGATTGGAGATATCGATAGATAGACGACACGCTTCTTCACCTGCTGCACAGTCAGTTCGACTGACACCACCTGTTTTCTTTCTGTTCTCGAAAAAGAAATCAATGATCAAAAGGCTAATCAGAAAGACCTCCTATGTGTCAATGTTATTCTTTTCTAATTGACCTCCTATCCATGCTCCTCCTTTCTTTGCCTCTCTCTCAGGCGCGTACTTATGCGATCGCTTGCTCTTTGAATTTACCCGCGCGATGTTATTGCTAATTATTGATGCTAAAGGGGGGAGAAATGAAAGTGTCATAAAACATTGAAAAGATGAGAAATCTTGTTGAGATACTAAATGGACGTGACAAGTGGTCAATCAAATTTATTCAATAGCTAGAGAATAACTTTAAGACAAAGTATCTCTGTCAATATGAACTTGAGAAACGATGAGAGAGTGAACGAGCTGCATCTTTTAACAAAATAGATCTTTTTTTTTCTCACAAACGGCAATCAATTCAGTGGGTTGATGTCGACACAGGTCGTTTCTAAGACAATAACAAACGATGTGTACGGAGAATCTAATTCGTATATGATATTCTGATCTCCGATGATCGATTCCGTGGTGAAATGTTTGCTAAAGCATCTTTTGTCGCTACACAATCAAACATAAAATAAAAAAAGGAATCTCTATCAGTAACACAGAGTACTAAAGTATTATTTTCCAATTTAACTGAGGATCATATCTATGTAATATCGATTGGTTCGAGGAAATTTTCAAGAAATTCAGGTGATTTCTGTATTATTTATTATTCTTGACGAATAAGTCAAGTTATTTGGAATAACATTGGTTCTACAATTCCTAGACATGTTCTTCGACTTGTTTAGTCACGCAACAATCGAGTCAAGTAGAAGCCAAAGGATTTTTCGGTTTGAAAATATGTTGAAGTAGTATAAAGTCATTGAAGTGCGCACAGACATGCAATGTGTGACAGAGTCGACCTTACAACGTAAAAGTCTGTTAACGACTAACGAACAGTTTTGAGCAACTAGGGCGATGTTGTAAGTATTTCAATAGCTCATTTTTCTGTTTAATTACGTGTGAAAATGCAATATCTTTGTTCACTTGATTAAATTTCAATGTTTTCAAGGACAACACTACGCCTATTTTGAGAGAAAAAAAACAGGGAAACTTTAGAAATTATTCATGAGATTGTGGAGTTTTTTTGTTTGGCCTGTGATTTAGTTACAGGCAAATTCGCCGATTGGATTTCAAACCGCATGTCATCATGTGAGAGAAAGAAAAAACAATCTGGTTGATAATTGAAAGACCGAAGGGCTTCTCTTAAGAACAAACAGCATTGGCAAAACAAGTCGATGGTTGAAATGTTGAAAATAGAAAATTTGTTAAAATATTAAACTATCAAATTAAGTGGCAAAGTTCGTCGCAATTTGTCGAGTGACGAAAAGAAATGTTTGGTTTTCATTGCGTCTGAAATAGAAAAGAAAATAGAACTATTTTACACAACAACATCAACGCAATTTCTTTTTCTTCACAATCGGTTCGATTAAGTCTCGAGTTCTATCTAAACATTTATTGATATATATATAAATATTCCTCGATTTTGAAAAGAAAGAAAAATAATCAAATGAGTTCAAATTCAAACACGAAGAAGAGAAAATGTGTTTATGCTGCACTTGTGATGGGAGAAAGTAGTTGTTGATCTAACAAATAACTTGTCAAGAGTGACGAGTAATCGTTGGTTCGCTCGGGAACTAAACATCGATCAAGTAGGCGAGAGAAGTTGTACATTTCTCGAAAGCTAACGTCATTGTATAGGCGATAGTACCGCGGGATACTGAATGGCTTCAATGTATGCAGTTTACCATCGACTTTACTTCGCCAAACGTGTGTTGATTCAGTTACGCTTGTTGTTGGAACACTTGTGCGACGTAAAATGGAAACAATAGGCCGAGAAGTCGAGGATGCCGATGTTGAGGTGGATAATTTCTGAGCACGAGGAGTGGTCGGAACAGATCGAGTGGAGATGCGAACCGATTTGGAAATGGGTGTTGTTGAACGTGTTCCAGATCGACTTGTTTGGCGGGGTGTAGCCGGTAAGGATTGGTTTGATCGATAAGGTAATCGATAGTGGTATCGACGAGATGATACTAAATGAAAACGAAAACATACAATTCACTCTTGTTTCGCAAATAATCGAACAACGATGAGATTACACGAAGAGAAATATTTAACTTCGTATCGAGTTTCAAAATATAAACCTTGAGATTTCGTGGTGATTTTCAGGAATGTCAGAATTGTAAACTTACCGATGCGGTCGGGAGGAAAGAGTAATGGCGAACGATATTGTGGTTTTCGCAAAAGAATGTCGTCGATTCGCTGCGAAACTGTTGCTACTGTCGTCGGATAGACTGATCGTGTCAGCAGCATGTCAGCTTCTTCATTATCATCAATTTGCAGCATGAGATCAATTCGTCTTTGTAGTTGTTCAACTCTTCTTTCGTTATATTTAACCCATGCTGAACTGGAATGATGATCCTGGAAACATAAGGTACAGTAATCAGGTCGAATCACTTCCGAAGGTGGTGGAACGACAAATCGAGGCTGACGTTCGGAAGTTGTCAAATGTCTTCGAGGCGATGAAACGTAGCCTTGTAGCATTTCTTCCGGTGTTATGTCGGGCATCGTTCGATATTTATCTCGCGTCACATTTGTTAACGATGACACTGACCGATCGTCTTTGGATCGAGTCGAGAGCAAGGAAACATCTCGGTAGAGTTCCATAGTCTGCAGAAATATATGTTTAGAAATCAAATGTATGTTTGGTTGACAGTGAAAAGATGAAAAAATTGATTCTCGTATGAAAAAAAAAATAAATTAAAGTATAAAGCCCTGACAAGGTCGAGAAAGTGAAGTGCTTCTGTTCGTCTTTCTCTCTTCTCTCGTTATTTCGTTTTCGAACAACTAAACAGACAAATTACTTACCGCATTCGATTGTTCTATATTTTGTACTTTACTTCGATAATGATTGAGAACATCATCAATGTCTAACAATTGATCGTTGATGATCGTAAAAGCACGTTGACGTTCTCGCAGAGTCTTTTCATAACGTTCGAGTAGATTTCCCAATACAACTGTTGACTCGCTTTCCATTCGTCGTTCTCGAATGGGCGTTGTATTCATCGATGAATGATGTCGTTCCGTGCGACTGCTTAGGTTGTCTGGCGTAGAAGATTGTTGTTGATGATTCAACGATGAGACGAACAGATTGTAATCAGCTTCGGAATGTTTGGATGATGATGAATGTTGCTTCACGTGTCGAGAATTGCGCACCGGAGTATGTTCGATGTGAGTTAAATCACTCAAACGAAAATCAATCTAGAAAACAACGGACAGTAAACAAAATATGAGATCTTTTCGGTTGACCGTACTCTCTGACGATGACTTTCATCCCCGAGTTCATCAATCGATTCGTAATGATTACTGGTTGTTGTCGTCGATGATGGCCGAGACTTTTCTACATCGGTCTGAATACTCTGATCATGTCGAGGAGAAGGAGGTGGCAAAGATTTCTCCTTCTCCTCACCTTGATTCGTTATAAAATCAGCTAGGATCAGATCGGTAGTTAATCGTAGCCACCAATGTGGAAAATCATCACCGGTTGATGTCGGTCGATGTTTATACTCTTTCCCGAGACGATGAAAGGTCAAAACATCGGAGAACTCTTTCGATGGTACAACGCGTCTGTATGGATTAACAATAGATGAAAGAAGAATTTCGTTCGTTTCTAAGTTAAGGTTGTACATTCGAACGAACTGATAATCAATAGCAGTTGATTGATTTACAAACAGAACTCTACAACGACAAAGCATTTTTTTTCTTTCTTGACAAAATTCAATGAAGTAAAACAATCGGATGCATTACTCTGTTTGTGTT